AAGGATTGGCTCACCTTGGTCTTGGTATCCGACAGTGCGCAAGTGTGAAAATCTAGGAGAATTTTGAACAACACGCATTTCAGGGCCACATTTACATCGTTTTCCTCCTTCATGCCGTCCCGGATGTTCTCCAAGATCCAATGCCGATGCGCGTTGTGCTCCACATGCGAGCTGTGCAACAACTGCAGCAGTTCCGGTATGGTATTTAGGTCCAGCGCGGTTTTGGCCATTAGGAAGGTGTGCAAGGGCGAATAAAGTGGGTGCAGAGGTTGACTGGCGATCAGTGAGGCCCTAGCTAGGAAGGTAGTCATTAGGCAACTCAGCCGGACATCCTTCAATGGACAATTTAAGGAAGCGATTCCATTTCGCATAGCATCAATTAAACGCATCCACAATAACTTTTCTTTAGACCTGGTAAATAAGAAAATTTAGATCGTTTTTTTATCAAATCTTTTTTGCCGAAATATGGATTTGTTATAGAGATCTAAAAAATATACTTCTAATTTATATGGCAATTGATGGGAAAAAGATATCTGCCCTTTTAATATAAAGTTTGAAAAGAACCTCCAAATTGTAAATTGCATTAATTTACAAAAAAGTAGAACATAAAAGAAAGACCAATAATAATAAAAAAAAACTAAACTAATTGAATTTAAAATTTGACATTAAAATAACTTGACAATAAATAAGTAATTAAATTACTGATAAATGGACTAAATTATAAATTATGACAAATAATAAAGTTCCATATTGTAAAAGACCTATTATTTATCATAACGCAATCTAGCCGATTTAATCTCTCGCTTAATTACTAAAATTGCTATTGTACTTAGATGCTTCCAAGTGAAAGTAGTATCTAGAGATGATGGTATATGCTGTCATCCGAATATCGCTTGAATCACTGCAACATGTAGCAAGCACTAACGCTAATGCACCACTCTGGCTTATTTTGTGACACGCGACGATATTATTTTCTGCTAATAGGGTACACAGTAACGGCAGATAAAATGCTGGATCATATACATTACTATTCTCATGTAAGTCATCACTCTGCAAAAAAAACAATAGAATTTTTAATTAATCTCCAAAGAAAAACGACAAATATCTAAGCGATATCACGTCCTACGAGGTATCTAATTCTCGCCTTTTCCTTGCTGGCAACTTATACAAAAATTTGATTTTTTATTTTTTATTTTTAAAAAAGGTTTATAAAGTAGAGATCGAATATCTCATACTAAAAATTTGTCTAAAATTTTGATATCGTTCTTGAAAAAATATTCGGATTATTTACCTTTATTGCTCGGTGTATGGGATAATTTTTTATAGTCTCGTTGACAATGTCCTTATTGAACAAGTTAAAGATCTCGGAAGTGGAAGGTTGCCTCCACAGAGCAGTATCCGTCTCTCCCTTTACGCTGTAACGTGTTGCTGCGGCGTTTCCCCATAAGTACGGCCAGTACTGTTGGAGCTTAACATTATGAGTTTCATAATACTGAAGAATCTGAAAGAATTAGATATTATAACTTCAATATTCCTTCAATGACGCGCGATAATCGTGATTCTTACCTGCAAAATGCGCTGATCAACGTGACAAAGGGTGGCATTGTAAGCCGCAAGATAAAGAGGCACGTGCGAGGCAGTCATTACAGAGTGATTCTTTCGAGTGAGTATTCTCAGTAATTCGACCAGGTCGCCTGAAATGTCATGAAATGTCATCAAAGATTAAACTTATTTATGTAACGATAAATTCCTGCAAGATTTTAATACTTTATAGAGTCGCGAATCAAGACTGATTTTTAAATGACGCAATTAGAATTTGTATCACTGGAGAAAAATATAAATTTTTTTGGTCGAATAAGCATATTTCCACGTGTTCCCTCTTGATGATAGAACACGCGCGGGCAAGCTCACCTTTAACAGCGGATGACCCAAGCATAATATTAACAAACTCCGAATGGGACGTCGTCATTTCGAATAGCGTCTTCATATATTCATCGTCAACATTATCTCCATAAGCGATATCACATAAATTGCTCAGGGTTTTCAATACGTTCGATTGAGTCTCCTCGTCCTTAGCGTCTTTCAGACCTAATTTTAAGGAAAACCTAGTAAATTGCGGCCACGAGTAACTCTTGCTCAGCGAACTGAAGACAAAATTATCTTCAGTCTTTTTCAAACGAATCACCGCGCTGTTCAGCTTCTCGCATAAAACTTTGATTTTCTCCATGTTCTTCGACTCCTTCTTTAATGTCGAAGTCATTATGTGCAACAATACCTTTATCAGATCCATTAAAGATTTCTCTTTAGCCGTTATCAAACTTTCGTACTTCTTATATACGCTTTCCAGCAATTGCACGAAACAAACGGACACCATATCCAGTTTGTCACCGTTCTGGGAAATGTTGTTGCAAATTTTCTCACACAGGACAAGATCGAAAGTGCTTTCGATGAGATAGACGATCGCTGCCGCGTTTTCTTCGATCCAGGAAACGGGATTTTGTGGCTCGGTCATATACGCGGCGATGTCGCTGCCGTAACGCTCGCGAAGACTTTGAAGAAACTTTTCATTCCATTTGTATTTTAAATTGCTGTTCAGTATTGGAAACACAATGTCTTGCTTCACGTTCTCCTTGAGGAAGTATTTCACCAGCGATGGAATAAGTCTGGTATTCTTGGTGATCAAGGTCGTTATCAGCTGGATCGTGGACGCGTTAATACTTTTTGTTAGCAACAATGCAAAAGTATTGGTACTGACACCGGAAACATTATGCGGAGAGATGGATAAATACTTTGCCAAGGCTTGCTCCCACCTTTCCACGTGATTTATCTTACAGGACTTCAGGTAAACCAAGTGTAAGCTAAACTTTTCTACGAACTGCTCGTTCATCGTGTCACGCAGTCTTGACTCCTTGCTGCAATACATGTCCAACAATACCGGAACGACGTGTCCGAATATAGACAGATTTTCTTTATCGCTCGAAATAAATACAATCTTCTCCAACTTCATCAAGGCACACAACAAGCTCGCGATATCCATCGTTCCCAGCTGCAATATTTTCAATAAATCAATGGCGATATCATAATTATTACTGCAGGCTTTCAAAGGATTCCTTTCAATAATATTCCTCAATTGCGTGAGAAACTTGTCTTTAAACGCGAAAAAAATATAGATCCCTGCATCATCATGTTTGTACAAATTCAAAACAGACTCACAGACTTTCAGGATAGTTTCAGTGATCATATATTCCATCGAATCTTTCGAAGTTTCTTCACAAAATGGCGAGAAATAATGCAATAAAATAGGATGAGTGAAGATACATCTTGCATTTTCTTCAAGTGTTGCTACGTTATTTTGATTCAATTCGTCAGATTGTCGAATGCTTAATAAAAACGCAAGCATAAGTTTGCAATTTTCGTTCTGGGTTTGTCGTAAGATTTTAGACTGTGCTAACTGTGCTAAATAAAATACAGTCATTTTTAACAACGTCTTGACATCGTACAAAGATAAGGAGTACTTAATAGTAACTTCCTTGCCGTTGTATTTAAAACAAAATGTCGAATGACCATCGTTAAACAATTTAGAAAATTCAATCAAGTCCATCTTGGAATCTGCCAACAGTATACTACTCAGTTTATGCAATAATCTTAAAGACGGCAACTTATCCTTCAAGGAAATAGGTTGTTTGTTACTTGACCAACTTTGCAAGTATTTATAAACTGGCAGGTTAATCAAATCTGTTGCCATATAAACCAGCAGATCTGGCACGACTTGACAATGTAGAGTATGGACCGTTACATAGGATAAATAAGCCCAGATCGTGGGGGTGCAATTTTTCTCATTTATCTTTTGCAGCGCACAGCATAAAAGTGGTGACACTGCCGTGCACGCTTGCATTCTGCAATGATTCTCTCTCTTCTCTTTACCGGAATTATTCAAAAGAGTGCCAATTACCTCATTAGTTTTCTTTATATCAGAATTAGTAAATTCATTCATTGAAGGTGATATTATTGTAGATGAAATTTTATTCGGCTGACCTTTGTTAAAAGGAAAGTTCTTTAGATTTACCTTGTCAAGTAACCGATTAATCGCATCCTCTATCTCCTTTGTATCAAAGTTGGTCACTTGCTCGTTCCTCTGTGTTACACACTTAACAAGTTTAGTATCTTTCGAATTTTCTTGTTTAAATTTATAAAAGCTATCATCAATTGTATCATCCTTCTTCTCGTCAAAACTAAATTGTCCGTTAATTAAAGACGAACCTACTGTAGATAATTCTTCTTGGCAGAGACTAATTTTGTCAGTTTTATCAAACAGTTCATTAATTATATCCTCCGCCGTTTTGACGTTGAGATTAGATATCTGATCGTTTATTACTCCTTCCGCTTGCGTTATGATATTTATATACTTGTCAATGTGTTTAATGGCGCTTTTCAGGACAGACATGAACCACTGCGTCAACTGCTCATTCTCTTTGGAATCCGCGACTACTGAAAAGCCATTGATCCAAATATCTAGTTGATCTTCACAGGTTTCAAACAAACCCGTTGCGTTTAGCAGTTTTCTAGTAGCATTGTAGCTGTCCGGTGACGGATCTTTTTGACGAATCAGAGATATCAAGAAGACAAGAGCTTCCTTGAAAGCCTTTTCTTTTGGCGCAAAAATGGAAGAGTCCAAGGCAAGCAGGAACTGTATTGTCTTGACTTTCATGCAATTTACTTTCTCTATCTTGGTGATTTCTCCATCGTCTCCATCATCTTGGAGGCTATTTAAATTCGATAGCAACAAACTCGGCTGTAAATTTGTCGAGATGTCTAATAACTCTGGACATATATCTTGATACAAATGAAGAACGCTCAAGATAACATCAAGATGATCCACTAATTCTGGATCCTGAATGCGTTCTGCGTTTTCTGAAGCCTTTACGTTAGTGTCATTTTCAAAAGCTCGGTTCCACATTCGTAAGATAGTTTCCAAGGTGGGGATAGTCCTTAAAATAAAATCTGTTATTTGATTTTGAACTATGGATGTTTTATAGAACTCTTTTGCAGCTAAAGAAATAGCTTTCAGCTGATTAGCAATTATTAGAAGAAGAGATAAAGCTTCGTGTCTAACAGAAAGACTATCGTGATCTAATCCTGGTAAGATAGCGACTTTTACAATCGTGCTTGGAACCGCCAGAGAAAGTAATGCACTTATCAAATTGTTCGCTTTCAGTTCCACAGCGCAAGTTTTGAGGCAACTAACTGGATCGACTGATTTTACTATCTGCGAAAAGAACATATGATAAGTCAAACTGAAAAGACAGTGCACAAAACAATAATCAATTTAGCAGCACACCTGGAAGCATCTCTCACCTTCCCTATAAATTTGAGAAGACAATTCCATTTGAGTGACACTCTGGGTTCAAGAAACGGTTCGATGGCATTATATTGCGAACGAATAAGATCTGGGCAGGCACCCATTATCCTAACAATCAGATCTGATGGCTTTTCATGTTCCCAAGGCTTCTCCAAGTTCTGAAGGACTATATGTACCAGTTGATTGTGTTTATTTCGCGAACCACCCAATGTTCGGTCATGGAAAATAACTCCATAACGATGTGACGTTAACAAAGTAATTAAGAACTCATGAACTATGTCACTAATGACCTAAATTAAGCGGGAAGAATAAAGAAGAAAAGTAATAACAAGAAATTCAATAGCCGTGAATTAATATCGTAAAAGATTATTTAAAAGTTTATTTTTCACAATACTGCTCCTCAATTAAAGAATATATACTTTAATTTGCTTTTGTCAGAATTACTTCAATAAATCAATATGTAAAATTGTTCTTCGTATACATTTTAATAAATTTTTATTCTGACTGATATTGCAATTAAACTAATTCTTGACATAAAGTCATATTGTAGATGATAACATACTTTATAATTATTAGAATAAACATCGTAATTTATAATAAAGAGATAGTGACAATTACCTCTTTGTCCGCTCGAAAGTTCTCGCTCTCATCGAAAGTGTGAGTTTTGTTTTTGGGCCAGTTGTTCGGGCCTTTCCAATTGTACAACGATATCAGATTCAACACAGCAGGTATGGAAAATACGTGCATCTTTGTCGTTTTACTTACGCCAGTATTCTCCAGCACGTACGTCTTCACAGTGGTGAGAACCAAGGTGACGACTTCTTTCGTGTCGTACAGCAAATCTGAGAAGATGCAGCAGAGCATATTACGCTTGTCCAAGAGCGTTCTGATCACCAGCGTGTTTCCCTCCACGAGGAAGGCAAGAACAAAGTGAATGAAGCACGTTCGAACACTTTGAGAATCCGTGGGCTTGGTGTGTTGCGCTAGGCTCTCTAACGTTTGCTGCTGCAGCGACAAATGGATGAGCAGCTCCTTGGATAGGCTGCTGTCCAAGGACGCTATCGCCGCTAGCAGCCTCAGCACCACCTTACGCTGTTTACTGCTCTGAGTCGAAAGCATGGAGTGCACGACAGACATGTACGAATTCAACAGATGACGACAAGCTTCTATCGCGCTACTGTGGTGCTGTGGGCACTCCGTCAAAATCCTACAACCAGAAAAATGTCCTTGAATGAAGTAAAGGTGTGAATTCTCATGCGCGTTGCATCAATATACATGCCTAATGAGTAAAATATGGATCGCAGAGAAGACAATGGTAGCATTGGCAGTACTCTTCTTGTCGGAAGACTCCAACAGCCTCAGAACTTCGAGAACGCTGCCGCCGGCGAGCAGGTACTCCGCCGCAAGATCCCTCTCCTTGTTCTCGTTGCATATCGTCACGAACTTCCTCAACACAGTCAAGTCGGCGGAGGTGGAAAAAAGCGTTCTCAGAGATTGTCCATTAAATATATCCTGCCTGTCGTTGCAAGCAGCCTCGTCCTTCGCGTCATTTTTATCAAAATCTACGTTTTCTCGTGCTACGTCACGTTCAGGTTCAGGTTCAGGTACCTCCTCGAGAGAGCCGTTGATCTTTGCCTTTTTCGTCGACGTTTCATCCTCGTTTCTCGAGGTCCGCTTGCGTGCCTTCTTCTTCGGCTTACTAGCCGAATCCATTCTCATGTGTTTACTTGTGTTTATCCGCGCACGTGCTTTATGGGCGCCGCCATACTTTCCCGACCATTCCCGACTTTCCGCCTCGAACTGCCTCGAAGCTCACTAGCAACGCCGGTCACGTGGCTACGAAAAGCCAATCAGGAATTCTATCGGAGGGAGACAGCGCACAGCGCACAGCACTTCTTTCGGATAGTGCTGTCAAGTGTCAGTACTGTCAGTACATTTGGAATAATTGGAATGTGTATGTGTACAATTTAATATTAATAAAAATATAACAAGATACTGTGTAATATTTATTGTAACACGTATTACAAAATATAACGATATGTTATAAAATAAATTACACGAGAAAGCATTTGACATGCAGAATGTGCTAGTTTGACGTACGAGTATATATAACTCATAACTTAAAACGTATATATATACACCGATACCGAGTACGGAAAAAATAAACGGATAAAATGAAAAGTAGAATAAATTAATCAGTTTTGTATTAGAAATTAATTGTTAAGGTATTATGTTATCCGAAAGTTATTTACTCGTGAAACATGGATAACACCGAATTGCTGTTCTTCGATACATTTTCCCACGAAATTTCAGAGGTTTGTTTACATTCATTTAATAACGATTAATTGAATCCGAGGACAAGCTGTTTATTGACGATTTTGTTAAAATTTACCCCGATGACACATAAAAGTAAAAACGAATTGAAAAGATGCTTTTTCTCTATTACGCTTAATCGCACAATATGCTTTTGAGGTTATGATTGTTACCAGAAAGAATACTTCTCAATTTTGTTAAAATTTATCTTTGTAATTGCTGCACGCAAAGAGAATACAGATTTGGATAAACGAGATTTGTTACGATAATTGTTATTTATATTTAAAAATTAATCTTTTAGAGTTAAAATTATTATTCGCCAATTTTGTTATGTTTTTTGTATGTACATTGTGTACTGCATATAGAAAAATGTTGGTTAATTCTTAAAGAGTTTAGTTTGTTTTCTAAGAACGTTTATATTTAATTTAGAAATAAACTGCTCAAAAATTTCTAGATCACCTTGCTCACAACAAAATTTTCTGAAAACACATTACCAACAAATAATTTTTATAATCTTTTCTTTTCCTTGAAAATTTACATGACGTATTGGGCAACATGATGTTTACGTTGATATCATATTTCCAGGAATTGAATTTGGACCTGGTGCAATTTCCCAAGCCTGTTTATATTAGCGAAGTAAGAATAATTCCTCTGGGTGCCAGAGTACAGGCAGACTTCCCAGGAGGAGTGCGACTTGGGTAATTATGCTTTATTCTTGGCATTGAAAACTACAGGAGCTTCTTTAATAAAGTGATATTAGTGTTCGAACTTCTGAGAAATACAAAGAAATTCATTCTTTCTTTTAGAGCGACCAATCCTTCTCAATTCGAGATCGAGTTTTTCGTGAACGATCTCAGCAAACCTGGAGCCTCCACCTTCGAGTTTTTAGGTGGTTTAGAGTACAAGCAGAACATCCACATCCAGCTGGAATGCGAACGGAAACAAATACCAACGGATGGGTTGGTGCTGAGAGGATGGTATACCACCATAACGTTGGCGGTGTACGGTACCCTAACCAAATCACTGAACAATCCCCAGGAAGTCATCAGTTCGGCAGCTGGCTCCACCGCTTGCGTCAGCTCCATAGAAGAAAATCCTGAAACTGCTGTGCAAATTCCTTCCGAGCAGCAGTCTGAATGGTATTACGAGAATCAGCATCAAACGAGTTTATCGGTAAGGAAATCTGCTTGCTGATATTGTAACGCGATGTTCGTTTAAAACAAATTCCAAACAATAAAAATATCTAAAGGATTATCTAGAAAAAGTACAAGAGACATTGCATATTACTTTAGATGTCTTTCAATTCTGATATAGTTTGTTATTTAATGTGCATTTGATTCTGATAGCATATTGATTCGATAATTGTAGAACAGTTGTAATTATACGTTATTATTTTTTTTTATTATCGTCTTAACGATTCAACTTTCGTTTAAATTCAAATTTGAGCGCATAACTGTATCAGCAGGAAACATGCATAACGGCAACTCCATCGCCACAACCGATCCAGGTGGTTGAACCGTCCAGGACGTCTACATCGGACACAGGAAAGACGGAATCGAGACAATGGGAAGAAGAGACGTCCAACGCAGGCGAAAAATCGTCGAAGCGACCTTTGTCTCCACCTCTTGAATCCCTGATCTCTCTGAGTCCCGAGTCCATCTCCGCCGAAGAAGAAGAAGCGGAGCAGCAAGAAGCTAGCGAGCCGGAAACTGGCGAGCCTTTCGAGCCGATATTATCGGACGAGGACATAATAACGGACGATGTTCCGTCTACAGCCGAATTTGAGTGTGAAGCATCGCAGATCGATGAAATCTACGCGATGGTGCCGCCCGATTTGCTAAGCTTGGAAAAGCCGGAGAACTTGGAAAACACTCGCGTGAACCGTGAGACTTTGTTAAAGATCAGAGAGCTTCTACAATCCCTCTCCAAATCGGTCTCGCATTTCCACAATGCGTCCGGTCAGGAAAAGGAAACGTTCGTGCACAACTGCGAGACTTTGTGCGCCATACTGGGTCCATTTGACTCCGACGTAAACGATATCAATGACTTGACTGACATTGTCAATGCCAGTTTAGATATGGAGCTCGCTAGGGCCCAACCACAACCAGCGTATAAAGTGCGTCACGTGAAGGTGGGAGTTCGCTTAGCGGAGGCTCTCTGTCGATTATCGAAGGGCCCGGTAATTCTGTTGAAGGTCGAAGCCCCGTACAAATTGCTATCCCTCTGTATGCGCGAGAATGTGGCGTTACCGGTGAAACTTTCCGCTCTGCGAGCCCTCGATGCCGCATTGATCAGCCCGATAATCGTGCAGGAGTTTCTAAAGAACAATCTGTATAGCAATGCACTAACGATGCTGGACTCGGCAAAGCTGGCCAGACTCAAATACGCCCTCAGCTCACTCTTCCGCAAAGTCCACGTGTACGAGTATCTAGAAGAAATCAAGAATTTCGACGAGTTCGGTTTAGCAGAGCTAATGAACGTTTACGTGTGCGCTCCGACGTTGATGGCGCAGCCTAAACGCCAGTTGCCAGCTGGTGCCCAGATGGAATTCGAACGAGAGCACACTCGCAATCCTCGCGCTCATCTGGTGGCTTATTTCGAACATCATAAATTGGCCCATCATCTTCTACTGGCGTTATCTTCTCCGAATTGTGATTTGCAGATGATCAAGTTAATCCGTCGCTTCCTCTTGCATCTCTCCAATACTAAGGAAGGCCTGTTCTACTTGTTGAGGGAAGTCGAAGTAGTTCGACTGATACTGAAAGCTCTGAAACACGATCTACCAGGCGCCGGGCGCATTCTAGCGTGGCGTCTTCAGGTCGCGCAGTGTCTAATTCGCCTGAGACAAACTTCCGACTGGACGATTTTGAAGAGATTGCACTCGTTCCTCATTTTTCCAGATGGTTTGCGGGCCATTCTCACGATTCTGCCTCTGGATGACTTCATAGATATTCTGATCCCTTTTTTGTCGGATTCTAATCTTTGCGAGTTCGCCGCCGAAGTGATCTCCGCAGTTGTTCGTTATTCCGATAGGGTAGAGATCTTCCAGAACCGTGCGGAATTGATACTGGACAAAGCTCGCGAGCATGTCATCCTCAGGGACGTAATATCGTACTTGACAGTCGCGGCCCAAGCTTCTCATTGGGATTACTGCGACGTCTCCCCGTTGGTGACGATTATCAGGAAAAGCGCTGAGAAGGCTGCGTCGCTTCCCGGTCAGTTAATCACCGCCTGTAGAATTCTGCATTATCTCATCTTCCCATCAAATAACGACGTCGATCCTTTGGAGCCGTATGTTGAGCTGAAATACAGGAACGCTCTGACTCAACTATTTGCTGCTGACGGCCTCACCGCTCTGGTTGCCGTAATGGCAAACGTGTCCGAGTTCTATGAACAACCGTTCCTTCATCGTCCTGCCTTGACTGGTCGCAGAGGCATGGCGTTAATTGCCTTATTGCTTCCTTGCGTGAAGCTGACCAGGGCGTTGCTCGAGAGACTTGTTAAGTGCATGGCGACGGACTTCAAAGATCTTACGGCCGTCGTTCCGTTGCTCGGAGTCTATTCCCTGATCGAAGCCATCCCGTCTAACTTAATGGTGCAGACTCTGTCCGAAGAAATTGTGGGAACGCTTCTGGTCTTCACCCAGGCCGTTGATTCCGACGGTTCTGGCAACGTGGCCAAATCACTATGGACTCAGATGCTTGGCGAAGTTCTAAAGATGATCTCCCTCCGTCCTTGCAACTTTGTGCCGGGTCTAAAGCTGCTAGCTCGTCTGCTACCACCTGTTCTAACGCCGAAAGAGACCACTACTGAAGACGCAACGAGGATCCTGGGCCTAAGAAAACTCTGGTCAGCACATCTTCAAGCTCAGGCAGCGAATCTCACTGAAACTCTTCGGCTACTCTGCACGAGTTGGAACGGAGACGTCTTACTTCTTTTATCGACAGTTTGCAAGCAACTAAGCGACCTAGCAGCACCGACAGCTCTTTTAGTTGGAAGATGTCTTTTAGATGGTATTTTAGCAGCCACTCCTCTAGAAAACAATATTCCTATTCTCGCTCTAATCAGCGATCTGGCCAGACATGCGCCTATGAAAGCTACTTTATTGACCTTAACCAGCCCGGCGTCCAGAGCGCAAGTAAAGTCCGATCAAAAATATCCGCCAGTTATCGAGATGATGTGCTCTACTCTGAAAAGTAGCAGCGATGTTAACGTACAATACGAGATCCTCAGCATCTTCGAGACTCTGTGTAACTGCAGCCTCAGTCTAGTACAAGAAGACAACGAACCTTTGGAGAAGAGACTGACGCACTCGGTGCCCAGCAAGGAACCTCTTTTATCTATCCTCGCGGCTCTAATCGATATCCTAGCAATCAGCACAAAGTTCCAGTTGGATGTGATAGAAAATACGTTGCACATACTCTTGTCCCTCAGCAACCACAATTATGGTCTGTATCATGTAAAGAGCTGCCTGGAAAACAACCCTGGAGCCTTGCGCGCGCTCTTAGACCACGTGTCCAGCTTGGAAGAGTCCGAAACAAACCCCGTCGTGGGTTTGACCGTGACTTTCCTAGAAAACCTAATCGCCTCTGACTCGGAAGCGAGGACCTTGCATCTACGCGCGCAGCAATTGGCATTCTTGATATCTTGGGAGAAGAACGATCATCCCTTAGAGAAATTGAAACGCGCAAAAGATCTGACAGAAATTTTGAGAAGCGCCGAAGAGAAAGAAGAAAAAGAACCTATCCCGGAGATGTTGGAGCCTCTGTTGCCAACCCCGGAAGCACTATTGAATCAGTTCTCACAAAGATGTACGATTAATAATAGTCCAGTCCGACCCAAGAAGTTCGCACTCACGGCCAATCAGACACAAACTGAAGATACGGTAGACTTGTTAGCGCTCGCCACTGAATTACTGCCCGCTGACTTTAATCTGTTAGCGGAGGCGCAAAACCTATGTTCTAAAATACCTCCTGATGACGCCACTCAACCTCTGCAATCAAAACCCCAGGATGAAGAACAGGAAAGCAGAACGGAAAAACAGATTTCCCCAATGGCAAAATCAAAACAACCATTTGGTAAGATCATTAAAGATTTGTCAGAGATGACTTTTCTACATACTTACAAATATTAAGATATTGAAACGAAATAAAATTAACAATTTTTAATCGACATCATCAAATTCTTATATTAAATTATGTAGTGCTCCTGATTAAAGATTTGACGATTTTCTGTTCTTTTAGTAACACCAGTGCGAGGTCGAACACAGTTCGCCAATTCTCTACGAGGTGGTCCAGTAGGCGGAGGAGTGGGTAGAGGGTCCGATCCCTTCCGATCGAGGCCGCCCAATACCTCGCGACCACCGTCTCTTCACGTGGATGAATTCGTGGCGCTGGAAACATGCGGGGCTCAGCCAACCGGTCCTACCGGATACAACAAGCTGAACATCCGTGGAACGTGCCCGTCGCGTGCTATCAGCAGCGGTACCAGGAGTCGACCCTGGACCCAAGAAATTCGTCCCACGTACCTTCGCTAATTTATTACTGTCTGTCCCCTTTTCGTTTCATATATGTGTATATTTACAAAACATATCAATTATATCAACAATATATAAATTTGTCTTGAAAGGCTGTATTTTGCAGAAATAATATTTCGTCTTGTAATGAGTCACTGTTTTATCGTCTTTTGCCATTTAGGATACTGCTGTTCGAATTTCTCAATGTTCTCTTCCAAACGCTTCTGTTTTCGAAGTCTGTATTTTCCCTGGAAAAAAATTTTATAAGTGTACATCTGTCTTTCATTTATTAAAAGTTAAATGCTTAAGAAAGGATTAATTCTAATAGTAGCCATAGCAAATATTTTGTTAACGTACTGTCGGTTTCTCCATCTTCGATAATTCTTTCGAAAACTCCTCTAAGGATTTGACGGCTTGCTCACTGGGTCTCATCTTGTTTTCCATCATATAGTTCATCACAAACAACAAATATTTAAAATCTTTTTTATGGCAAGCTGTTTTGATGAGAGTACCCATGATTACAGAATTGGGTTTATAGCCAAAGGCCTCTATTCCTGCCAGGAACTCTTGGGCTTCTCCGCACTCTTGACAACCAAGCGCCAAGACCCCGAATGTCATTACGTTTGGAGAGAGCCTTTTCTTCTCCGCTATTTTTATGACCTCCTAAGTTATTAAAAATCGTATCAGTACGACATTCGAATGGCTAATTAGGAGTTTCTAACACTTACCTTTGCAGCTTTGTAATCGAATCGCATGCTGCGCCTTTTAATGACCATATTAAAGAAATCGATATCCAGTTCGATATTTTTGTCATCTGCAACCTTGATGAGCAGATCTTCAGCGGGTGTCGAGTTCGGAATTAAATCCAGGAGTAACGTAATGGTTTTGGCGTCGGGCTTAACACCGTCGTTAAACATTCGATCCAGAAATCCTTCTAGACCACCAAATAAAATCAGACGATTATTGATAAACACATCGTTCAAATTTACCGATTTTTTCCATATATTTGCAGCGGTGTCACGTTGCATAATGTTCTGTTTTTCTCCTAACGGTAAAAGTGTGCTCATAACAGGCGGCGAGGCCAGCAGATCTGGCCTCTCGCCTTCTGTTATTGAAATCCTAGTCTGGTCCAATCCCGAGAGAAGGACATCGTCGGGCTTCAAATTTCCCAAATTGGTGTCTCTCATCGCTCTCAGGAGAAGATTATAAGTCGTCAAAGTCGGCTTAATATTCTTCAGGTGCATTAAGTGCCACACGATCAGAGCGTGACGCAGGCCGGCCTCCTTGTCAGAAATCGCCCCGTGAAACAGGGAGTTGTAGGTGCTCTCCCCGATGGGAATAGATCTGTCCCTCATCTCGTCCGCCAACTGAAATGCCTCGACGATCTGACCGTGCCAACTGTACGCCTTTACCATAGCGTTGTAGTGCGTTTCGTTCGCTGGAAACTGTTGCTGAGAAAGTGACTTTCGAAAGTTGTTCAAATGTTCCAAAGCTATCTTTTTGTTGTCGGCTAAAGCACACGCATTGAACAGACTGGTGTAGGTCGCCGCGTTCGGCTGCAATCCGCGCTTCCTCGCCTTGGTGTACAGACCGAAGCATCGCTTTATGTCGCCCTGCTTGGCAAACGCACGCAACAGAAGATTGTACAAGTACAACGTGGGCTTGTCGTGGTTCTCCATCATCGAATCGAGCACTTTCAAAGCGGAATTCAAATCGTTTTTAGATATATTCGACTTGATCATCTTAGCGTACTGGCCCATGCTCGGCTTCAGTCGACGTGGAATGCACCCTTCCCTATCCTGAAAATCCTCCTCTTCCTGTTCGCGCTCGTCCATGGGAGCGCGCTCAAACTTCCTGCCCGAGATATCCCCGAAGACATCGGCGCTCTTCGGGAGCTTCTGCGTGCAAAAATTGCTGACCGGGAGTAGAGATCTGTGCTGCAAACGCTCATTCTTGCCTGCGTAATAAATATATTATTAAATTTCTTTTCGCATATGATTATATGCTCTTCTATTACTATGTAATATAGCTATTCTTTTATTATTAAATTTTATACATGTATACTTCCTATATATAAAAAATTAAAAAATATTTTTTTCTAAAAATAATTAGGAAAAAGGAGAATCATATATGGTATAAAATACGGAATACTTATTCGTTATTCGTTCTTTCTTTCACGTACATTGTTTTGCTGCGATAGAGTGATTTAATTCACTGACATAACCTATGACGTTTTTTAGTTTGATTGTTGAGCGAAATTTTTGACAAAACATTTTATAAACGGAAGTATTCACATTGAAAAGAGAGTTTATCTTTATCGGAGTATCTGGTTTCGTAAATGTATTAAACTTTAATGAAATAAACGAGATAAACACATGGCAGCAGTATATACCCAGTAGACCGGTTAAATTATTTTGTCACACGGCAAATTTTTGAAGCGTGTGTTGATTGGCTGTAGGATAGAGAAATTCTCGAGTCTCCAGAAATGGTGCAAATTTATAGGTTTGTTCCTTTTAGATGAACTTCTTGCGCCGTTCCTCTTTCATCTTTCTCTCCCTACTTGAAGAGAAAAGGAGAAAAGATAAATGGTGCAAGAAGTTCAGCTAAAAAGAACATACCTTAGTGCATCGAGGAACTAGGTATGTTCGTATTGCTTACACTTTTTGCACTCAGAATGCAAAAGCTTCGCTTTCTCTCTTTTTTAAATTAAATATTTATCTCTTCAAGGGCAAATATTTGTCGAGATTTCTAGCAACGCGACAAATTTATTTGTGATCTCTCTCTTTCTAACATTTAATTGCAAACACAGTGCAGATCCAACGAACAGATTTGCAACCATCGTCATCACGCGACACGCCGCTACCTTCCGTCAGGAATAAATGCATGTCTCGAGACGGATGTAAACATTTGTAAACAAGAGAAATAGGAAAGTGGACGAAGCGACGAAGCGACGCGAATAGATTTAAAGCGCTGCACCCTTGGATCGTTTCAACTCGGTCTCGGCAAGAGAAGTCGATCGAATATGTGATCTGTGTTGTCCGACGTGGTGTCCGATGAGTGTTTATACGTTTATACTTGAGGTGTATCGTTTCGACATCCGCTAAATCCTGCCGATTAAGCAAATGGTAAGGACTCTTATCGTTATAATTAACAACTTTATATCCAGTTGTTCACAATTTTTATCTTATCGCTGACTCTCGAAAAAGAGATAACAAACACATGTTGGGGAGGGGTAAATCTCGTATCACGTTCTATACCCATAGAAGGACAGATAGAGCGTATATACGTCGCTTGCAGTCTGCACTTCGACCAATAGCTTCTTCGTAACAAGTCTTACGTTTATTGTCATAGATCTTAACGTTGTATACCAAAGGAATCTATCCGGGAAAAGACCCACAGTTTTATTCAACAAAAGTTACAGCAGGTCTATTTGGCTACTTCTTTCTTTATCCATTAGAATTTACCCTTGTCGACTCCCACTGATTGGAGAGCTCAGACTTATCTGGTCGCTGCTGGATAAAGATTTTAGAAACCATTTTTTTTTTTTAATAATTATTGACATTGAAACAAGTACATTTCTTGCTTCTCTTTTCTTGCAGCTGCTGCAACTTTTTCTTTACCTTGAGATTTTTTTTATGACACTAAACTGTATGTGTGTTATTATTTACATTGATTATAACTGACAGGCGCTGTGTAATTATATCTAACAATTTTATAGACCGAATCTACAGTGAACCTGGATCTGTTTACTGCTGCTAAACAATTAGCAGACAGCGAGATCGAGCTGATAAAAGTGATTGAGAATTCCAGCAAGTGCCAAAGAACTGCTACAAACATGTTCACGAATGCGAAGAAAACGAAGAAGTCTGGGAAGTCGAAAAATGTAAATATTATCTATTATTTGGTGATTGTTAAGAATTATGCACGTTGTAAAAGTCAGCAAAAGTACCAATCTAAGTGTTTGAATGTATGATAGACTGTAATAGTGATTAAAAGCAATGTTTTTTAAGTTATTTCAAAATATCTTAAAATTCAAGTAATGTTCCGATGAAAATTCTGATTCTGGGACAGGTTCGTCCGTCAGCTGCATTATTGGCCGCCAAGCAAGAAGCAGCGAAACGACAGCTGCTATCGGAGAGATCCAACAGCACCTTTGTACCAGACATATATCAGAGAGCAATTGATGGGTATAAGACAATGCGAAAAGAGACTGGCCTCGTATTTGACCGAAGCATGGCCGAGCACTCGTGCCTCTGGGATCCAAATTATCCCGAATGCCCAGCCAGATTTACACGAGTTTTACAGAGATGCGAGGAGCTGGGCCTGGTACAGAGGTGTAAATTCATCGAACCGAGACGTGCCACGGAGAACGAGCTCCTAAGTAAACATAGTCAGAAGCAGATTGATATTTTGAAGGCAACGGACGGCTCTATGGATTCTGAGAATTTGGAGTTGCTGTCGTCCAAGTACGATTGTGTCTATATCCACCCGGTATGTAGAAGTGTAATTCTATGTTTCTTTTAGTAAAAAGTAATCAAGTAACTGGCTTACTTTTCGACTAATATTATTTCTTAAGTATATACAAAAAATATTAGATATACCTCGAAAGAGCTTTCAAGATCTGTTTTATTTTTACAGTCTACGTATAGCTTGTCTTTACTAGCTGTTGGCTCGACAATCAATCTAGTAGAAAGTATCTGTAAAGGCGAAATACAAAATGGCATGGCTATTATCAGGTAATATGTGAAGATCTTTATATAAAATATTGATAAAATATTTAATCTGATTCAATTTTACCTTCAGCAATCTACTTTTATTTAATTTAAAAGTAAATTCTGGATTAATTTAATTTAACTTATATTAGTAACAATATAATTATGTAATAATATTCTTTCAGGCCACCTGGTCATCATGCGATGAAATCAGAATATTGTGGTTATTGCTTTTTCAACAATGTAGCTCTAGCAGCAGAGAAAGCTCTGAGTTCTGGTTTGGCGAATAGGATTCTAATTGTGGATTGGGATGTTCATCATGGGCAAGCAACGCAACAAATGTTTTACAATGATCCACGGTATACTTTTCCTTTTTTCAATTATTTTATATTAAGACATTGTTTTATTTGTTCGAAAATTAATTAATAATTACTTTAAATTTTCTTTACAGCGTAGTTTATTTTTCGATACATCGTTATGAACATGGTGAATTCTGGCCCAACTTGAGGGAATCTGATTTTCATTATGTCGGGGAGGACCTCGGAGAGGGTTACAACTTTAATATACCTTTAAATAAAACCGGCATGACTAATGCCGATTACATTGCAATCTTCCAGCAAGTTTTATTGCCAATGGCTTACGAGGTATGTGATACGTTAGCCTTTACTAGTATAAAAATTTATTCATAAAGTAATTAATTGATTAATTTAAATTAATCTTTTAATGGAAGTATTAACATTGTAGTTTCAACCGGATTTGATAATAGTATCAGCAGGTTACGATGCGGCTCTGGGTTGTCCAGAGGTAAATTTGCACATATTTATTATTCTTTTTTATTTCTTCTTTAGTTTTGTCCAGACCTCGTCCTTGTTTCTGCTGGTTTTGATGCCGCATTGGGCGATGAAAAGGTTGTAATAGTATTTTTTTATTAGGTTATTAATGTATTGTACATGCTACTCATGTCACTGTATTTGTAATATTAACAGCACTTTTATTTAATATAAATTAAAGAAATTATTTAAAATATATCTTTTTTTTTTGTATTTACATGTTTTACATGTACAGATTTTGTATAATTTAATTAATTGATAAGAATGAAAGAAAAAAAAGTGAAAGAAAGCAAAGAAAAAGGGACAATATGAGGCAATAATAATATTGTTTAGTATCTATATTACTATTTTGTGTATTAATATTAATTACAAATGTTATTTTTATCACTAATATTTGGCATATTATCTAAATTTTATAATAATTTATTCTTGCTAGAAAGTATTTTAGATATATCTTAAAATTCATTAGTTAATTAATACTTTCTTGTTAATACACAGGGTGAAATGCTGATAACTCCGGCATGCTATTCGCATTTATTATCGTTGCTATTAAGTCTGGCAAATGGAAAAGTCGCCGTGGTTTTAGAGGTGAAAGAATATATTTCTGAATATATGTTTATATCTTTACTTACGTAGGTACTATATAAATATTAAACGCAATATTTTAACACATAGGGTGGTTATTGCCTGAAATCATTAGCAGAAAGTGCAGCATTGACTTTAAGAACTTTATTAGGCGATCCATGCCCGGTTCTGCAAACACTTGAGTTACCATCATTAAGGTATAACAATCTAATCTATTAAATTATTGTTATCCCGATGTTAAGAATAATATTCTTCTTTTTCACTCTATTTTACGAAGCCTTTTATCGTTCCAGCATACGTGATACTATCCTGAATGCGATCTACGCTCATAAACCATACTGGAAATGTTATCAATACCAAGATACATACAGCATCAATAGTGTAGCGCACAATAAAGAGGAGATTGCTAATCGGCACGTAGTTATGGTTACGTACAAGTAAGAAACTACAGACATTTACGTATTACTCAAAAATGTAATGATTGATTAGCATAATTTAAAAATTTTTAATTACTTATATGCGTTTTTTATATGTTTCATTAAATAAATTGTGTGTTTCTTTTACTTAAACAAATTATTTCAAACAAATGTGTGTTTTAAACCCTAATTATATTAATTTTTATTTTATAATTGTTACTTGTTATAATTATTTAACTTATATCAACGTTATTAACATATTTTATAAATTGCTCGTTTTCTTCCTGCTGTTTCAGAGGCAGTGAAGTTAAACTAGAAAAATATGAAACTCGAAATTGTTATCCTGTACAAAGCAAAGAAACATTAGAAGCTGTGGAGAAACAATTGAATGAATTGATACAATGTAAGTATTAAAAAGTATTTAAATAAATCGCAATGTATGTTTTATTTACTGCTTGTTGCGTGTGACACTTAGTGCGAGTTCCGCATCAGTTTCTTGATATTAATCTGACATCCTGTTATTAAATTATATTCTATTCTGATATAGGTATAATGGATTTTTATCATGTTTTAAAGATGTATTAAAGATAAGGGCTATCTTTAATCTTATCTAGAATACGTCGATCGTTAAAGATAATTTCGAACGGATTCAATAAAGATTTTAATAGTAAAAACAGATTATATGATTTATAAAGTTTAAAAAATATATTTTGAAAGTTGATTATTGCTCAATTATTATTATTAAATATTTAATTTACAAAATATTTATTTTTGCAGTAACAAATTTGCGTAAAACACCTCATAAAGTATGTATCGTCTATGATGAAAAGATGCAGAGGCATTGCAACATTTCTGACAGTTCTCATCCAGAGAAACCAAGTCGCATCTCCAGCATTTATAAGAATCACGAAGAACATGACTTGTTACAACGATGCCATTTATTACAAGTATGACGATACATATACGTATATATTTGATTTATAATGTATAAATTTAGTTTTATCTATATAGTGATCAAGATCACTTAAGTTACATAATTATTTTATTTTAAAGAATTCTTAAATTAATAGGAAATCCTAACTTAATATGAATTAAAGTTATAAAGATTTTATAGAGGAAGACAATATAATGATTTCATGATTTCTTTGTATCACAAAGGGAAGGAGTGCAACGGTAGAAGAATTATCCTTGGTCCATTCAATGGACTATATAGATGACATCAAAAGGACATCGACTGTAAAGCTCAAGGAATTACAAAAGCAAGCCTCGGATTACAATTCCGTTTTTCTTCATCCTGAAACATGGTCGAGCGCCTGCTTGTCCACCGGTTCTCTCTTGCAAGTGGTGGACGCAGTTTTAAATGGGGAGTGTCAATCTGGAGTGGCCATCGTAAGGCCGCCTGGCCACCATGCTGAAATAGACATTGCGTGTGGTTTTTGTATATTTAATAATGTTGCCGTGGCTGCGATGTACGCTGTACAATTTCATCATGTTAAAAGGTATAACACTATAATAATACAACTTTGAATAGCGATAAGAACAAATTAGATGAGAAAAATATAATATATAAATACTTTATAGGGTCTTAATAGTAGATTGGGACGTACACCATGGAAATGGGACGCAATCTATTTTCGAGGAAGATCCAAGAATTCTTTACATCTCCGTTCATCGTTATGATAATGGAAGCTTCTTTCCAAATTCTAAGCTCGCTAATTATACAAACGTTGGCTTAAACGCAGGCGAGGGATTCAACGTAAACATACCGTGGAACAAAGTAATACATGTGTATATTTTAGCATTTTAAGAAATATTCTTTACAAACAATCGTTTGACATTAATATATGAAAGTCTATAGTTTGATGCAATTTAAAATTGATTTAAAAAAATTGCATTACATTTTCTTTTATTACATCTACAGAAGGGAATGGGAGATGCTGAGTACATAGCGGCTTTCCAGCAAGTTGTGATGCCCATCGCTTATCAATTTAATCCAGAGTTAGTCCTAGTTTCGGCCGGATTTGATGCTTGCATTGGTGATACACTTGGAGGTAAATTTTAGCAAATCAATTATCGTGAAATACTGAAAAAATGTATTGAAAATTTACGAAAAAAACTTAAGCATTGTCTACGATGGCAGCAGGAGTATACAGTAAGACGTAAGCAGTAAGCTATTGACCAACCATAGTCGATAGTTCTTGAATTGCAAAAATCCCATTAGTCAATAACTTACTGCTTACGTCTTACTGTATACTCCTGCTGCCATTAGACAACGCTTTATATAAAAACACGTTTTTAATATATTTTAATAATCTATAAAGAAAATTATTTTTTATTTTTGTCAGGTTGTCTCGTAAGTCCAGAACTCTATGGTCATTTGACCCATTGGCTCTCATCCCTAGCCAATGGTCGTATAATCCTAAGTCTCGAAGGAGGTTACAACATCAACTCCATCTCCCATGCGATGACCATGTGTACCAAGGCCCTTCTGGGCGATCCTTTGCCAATGCTGGACCCTAATCTCATTCCTTGCACTAGCGCGATCAATTCCATCAATAATGTACTGAAGACTCACAAGAAATTCTGGTCCAATCTGCAATATGGAATGTCCTTACCGAAAGAGAGACTACTTCCTAAACTTAAGACGATCCCGAATAAACTCGAGGAGCAAGGAAGAAACGCAGATAAATTGAAACAAACGGAATCGAAGATCGCCTTAGAGGTAATCGAGAGCGAGAAATTGGACTTGAATCTGGCGATCGACAAGAACTGCTTGAATCTAGTGACGGACGAGGAGATTTCGAAGCTAACGTGCGAGGTGGAGAATATTAAGATTAAAAATTTGCACGCGATGAAAAGCGAAGCGGTCGAGACGAGAAGGAATCCCGAGTTGAAGCAGAGCGAAACGAAAAATCTGGATGGTATATATTGAATTCACGCTTTGATTAATTTTAATAAAAGTAATTATTGTATTCTCTGACTAAGGATATATTTGATTAGCAGTTTCGCAAAGTGTACAAAAATGCGTGAACGAAACGAACCAACCGAGAGGCAGCCAGCAAGGAAATTCTAACATACGCGAGGATCGCGATGACGAGGGTGCAGCATCGTCACAACGTGAGACACGATCCACAACTCTCTCGGAGTATCTGTCTGACAATCTTCAGGTGAAACTCTTATTATTGTAATACAAGTTATTTCTCTCGTCAATGATTTCTGATAAATATATGTTTATTATTTTATATATAGATACAAATCAGTATAACTGTATCTTTTCCCCTGTGTAGGCTCTGACGACGGGAGAGATGTTCGCGGTCGTCCCCCTACAGGACTGTCCGCATCTGTTTACAGTTAACGAGGTTCCTTCAGGTGGAATCGATGTAAATTCGCCGTGTGCCGAATGTACCAGCACCGCTGAGAATTGGATTTGCCTGCAGTGTTACACTGTGCACTGCGCTCGCAGTGTTAATCAACACGCGATGCAGCACGCGGAGGAATACGAGCATCCCATCACGCTCAGCTTCAGCGATATCTCTGTCTGGTGCTACGGTTGCGAGTCTTATATCGATAATCCTGTAAGTATCCTTAAAAAATTAAAATTCGAATAAGATAATTTAGGCTTACGATAATGTAAATAATACTTTCAAATTAGAATTAGAATTACAATTTTTATATTGATGATTGCTGCATTTTTAGCGATTATATGCAGCAAGGAACGCGGCTCATCAAAGCAAGTTCAATGAAGCGCTTCCTTGGACTTATAGCGAAAGTAACTCAAACACACCTTAAATAATCAAAGAAATATATTTTAAATAATTCAATTAAAAATGTCTCTTGGGATTGGGTTTTTCAACTTGATGCGCGATAAAAATCTGAAAAAAGATAACTAATAAATGATCTGACCTAAATCTTTAATAAATATAATAAAACATAATATTTATCGCAATGTAATTAAAGTCATATATTAAATCAAAAATATTAAATTAATCAAAAATTTGAGAATATAAAAATTAATTTTGACATTTTTTGATTAACTGAAATGCTCAAGTTTTTTCAGAAATCTAATACGTATAACATATGAGAACAAATAATAATTTTTCATAAATTAAAAATGATGTCCTGTTAAAGACAAAAGGAAAAGGAGAAAAACTCAATCCGATGGATATGTATCGAAACTGGAAATAATCAAAATAATAAAAATGTTAACAATGTACTGAAATAATTTATTATTAACGCTTCAATAGAAATTATTAGTTGTACTAAACTAAAAATACCTCGTATATTGACTCGATTGTACAATTATACATAGTGTTCCGAAAAAAATTTAGTCCTCAATAAATAGAAAAAGATTTCTGAGCTTTGTTTCTTTCGTAAATAATTCATCTATTTAATTGTTTTATAAATATGCAATATTCTTTTACTGAAAATTTTCCGGTACACTATGTATATTATATTTTTATATATAGATATATTTTTCGCGTCCCACACGAGAATGATCTCGGTCTAACAATAGGCCTACTAAAATCATCACTCACACGACAGAATATAGAATAATAAGACTAAGACTACACATCACACAAATTATATCAGAGAAAAATTACATTTTTGTTAATGTGTACTTTATTTGATTTTTCAATGTTAGAAAAATACTTATTCCAATTTCAATATTAGTTCTGAAAGGAAAAGAGAGCAAGTGAGAGTGATTGGAAGAAAGAGAGGGTAACATAAGTTTTTACTTTTTTTTTTAAGATTTTATTTATGCGCTTCGCTCCACTCTTGGTCTTTCTGTAAAAGAATCCTCTTGATCACAGATTCAGAGATTAAATATCTATCTTATTAAATATATTAAACCTGTCTTCTTTTTGTACACACAAAGTCTAAGCTCTCAAGTCGAACAAAAAAGAAATAATTTTCAGTTACTTAATTATTAGTTAACATTTTATCTTCATCCAATATATATTACTTCTTAGTTAACGTTTCGGTTCTTATAAGATGTTCGGTTCTTATAATTATAAATCATATAATTTATATTATATATCTTACATAGGAATGTGAAACGTGGAAAATTATTCTCATTATCTTACACTTCTTGATTCACTCTCACTCGCAGTATAGATTGCCTGTCTTTACTTCAGAAAGTTCTTGCCTCTATGTATAATACTATCCTCTGTGTATTTGCTGTAGTAAAATGCTGCATAGTTAACACTTTAAGTTGTTTTAATAAAATGTATTTATACACGCAGATTATTTTTTTGTCAAAGAAGCTGTACTAATAATTAAAAATAAAAATGTGGAATTTTGTATTTATATCAGTCATTATTTTACTGTAAATCTCCATTGTAAATATCATTATTTTTAATATACAGTATATATTTTAAATATTATATAATTCAACAGTTTTTAATACATCACTAACAGATTTATTCATAATTATAGAATTTATCCTTAAACTTTACCGTTAATTAAGTCAATTTAGCTTTATTTATTGTTATAAAAATTTATTAAATTTATCTTGTTATAGTTAATATATATTACATGTAATTTTTACATAAACATCCGATTTACAGTTTTCCAGATCAAAGGAATTTATTTTTAAATAATTATATTAACTTCTTAATATATGAAAAATATTGTATTTTGTATTTGAATTAATTGTAATTTAAATTTTATTATATACAAATTTCATGTGCTTTCTCTATTAAACGTATAAAAAGTTACAAAGATTAATCGCTAAATAATATTTCTTCAAACTAAAATCTATTTCATTACTGCATTTTTTTCTCTTCTTTCTTTCATCAGTTCCTTTGACTAGTTATTTTATATTTAGTATAAATATATATTATAAATAATTATTATTTATGTGTGGATGTAATACAATTTTTTTAAGTTTATTTGTTATATTAGCCATTTTTGAAATTTATTTATTTATTAAGCCTATTTTGCTTCGATTCAGGCACTAAGTATTCGATTTTTAGCAATAATAATCTAAATTGCTCAACGTATTCATAAACATCTTTTGCAGTCGCGACGATACTGCTAAAAATGCCATCGTCCCGAAAACTTAACAAATGTTCAAGTACACCGAATGAACGCAACGATGGCAATTTCTCTATAGAGATGTGAGGATAGAAAGTATTGACTAGGTGGAACCTGAACAAGTGTGAATTATTGCTCGACAACTCCGTGAACTCGTTTATCGCGGAGGCCGGTAACGCGTAATACAGTCTGTATGGGATCCTGTTGACAACAAAATTCTCCTCGCAATCCTTGATCCTCCTGGCGATGCTATCGAATACCCACGGCAAAGGCTTGGAGCCTTGCTCGTACATGTGAAAGTCCTGCGTCAGTTTGTATTTGTGATTACTGCTGCTGCGATAGATCCTGCGGGTATTGCGCAGCTGCAGCAACGCTGTGGGCAGCGAGTAACTGTACGAGGTATACAGGTGCACGTGAGTGAGATGCGGTTTGGCCTTCAGCTCCGTTGTGATGTGGGACACGAGCGGTAAAACTCCGCCCTGATGCGCGAAAGCGTAGAAGAAGGCCAACAACAGATTGCTGATGTACCAGAGCATCAATTTCCTGGACTTGTGCTTCGTCGGTTCGACGGGACTGTAGGTCTCGCTATTTCCGTCATCATTGACATATCTGCGGACGATATCCAGACTGGGGACTTGACTCAGTTCAGGCGCGTAAAGAAACACCAGCGGGAAGAGCACCGGGATTATAAAACGAGGTTCTTGATGAGGAAAGACAGACAACAAGACGACTGGGATGATGAACGTAAATGTCATCAGGCCTACGATGCTCTGCAGGCGCGGTAGATGCAGCCATTGTGCCTTCAGCCCACTGGAAATGAATATTATTGTCGTTTATATGTTTCGTATCAATATCGTTATGACTCACCTATGTATCATTTTCGCGACCGTCAATAATCCAATAACTCCCAAAACGTTAAACAGCAGTGGAATGTTGACTAGGAAATGCAGGAAATGAGGATGCAGTCCATGCGACTCCAAATTCTTCGTGTCCGCATTGTACTTGAGGAAATTAACTGGCGTCACCACAAAATTGTTGATTCCGATCTCCAACTGGCCTATCTCCGCCATCGTCAGGTATCCGAAGTAGAAACTGTCGACTAGAATGAAAAATATCGCGGCCGGCAATCCGCAGAGAACAAAGACGAACATTCTGATGTGAAAGTCTCTGAAGCCGACGCTTTTCGAGTTCATTCCTCTTTGTAGCCAGAAGAAGATGGGGACGAAGGCAAACGCGACGAAAGTCGGCCTGTTAAATATCCCTATTACCGTTATCGTGGCCAGCACAAAGCAGTCGTTCAGAGAATGCGAGGGCAGCAATGCCCTGAGCTTGTAGTACTTGACTCGCTCTACGGCAGTCGCTGCTTCGCTATACTTCTTGGAGAGATAATCATTCTGCAACACCACCTAACATAAAACAATAAAATCGTTAGACCAACGCAAGGTACAAACAAGGTAATTAAAAGTTAAGGTTTCTTAATCAATTAACACAAAACGAAAAGTCTTAATCAATTAACACAAAACGAAAAGTTGATTCAAAACTGGATTCCCTAAGTCTTAATAAATTTTTTTCTAAGAGCTCATCGATTACTTTTATATCGCATAATCTTTGAAGAAATTGGTACCTTCTCCGAATACGCCATGCACCGGGAAACGAAATACAGCAGTGCGGCAGTCAGCACCAATTCAATAGAATTGGATAGCGTACGGGTAGCGTAGGTGAGCATGACGTAGGAGCTAGCGTACGTAACAAGCCTGACTCTGTAGTTCTGGCCGTACATGTAACAGATCTTATATAGAAAGTAATCCGACAGGAAAGAGAGCGCACACATGAAGAGCCGGGGGAAGAGCACGAAGAAATAAGGTTTCCTCAATGACATTCCGAAGAAGTAAAATGTATACGGAGACAGTCTCTTGAGAATTGCGTAAGGCAAACCGACAACGACTTGAGGCACGAACATAGAACGTATGGGAAAGGTAGCGTTAAACTCCCATGGTTTGTAGACATCAATATCGAAGTGGTCTCCTACAGAAAGAAAAACAGATATAATTATTAGATATAAAGTAAAATGCTGAAATAATAGCTGCATTGCAGAATGGTGGCATACCAGAGACAACTTCGATGGACTGAAAGAACTCGTCGGGATGAATGTAGCCTGTCTGTGGAGCAAAAGTGAGGACTATTCTCAATGTGGCCAGGATCCAATAGAGACCGATCCTACGTTGCACAGGTGCCGCAGTTTGGTAATCATCGATAGATCTGCGGTATTCGTTTTTATGCTGATAAACAGAAAAATTTTATGTGTAAATATAAACATATAAAAGCAAATAGAAATACATAAAAATAACATGCAAAATAAAACAGATATGTACATGCAGACTGGACAAAATTCTTTTTTTCAAAAATATAAATAAATATTAAGACAAATATATAAATATAAATGAATTATCAATGTCTATATATATATACACACACATGTATAGGTATATTCAAATAAATATATACAGATACTTATGTCAGATATTTAAAAACAAGACATATATATAAACTTTAAGATAAAAAATTATATAAATATTAATGTTAAGAATATTATGTAAAAAAAATTACCTTCAGTGACATGTTTACTGTACAAGGATTAGTTCGTCATAACTTAACCTCAATGGCAATTCTTGGACATTTATTTAAAAGTAAAAAAATTATGAAGAGTTATGAATTATCTTTTCTGTTTTATCGCAATCAAAATTCGTAATCAGAAACATCATTTGCGTTGATTAAACTAATCGGTGAAACCGGCCCATGTCCGTGCAGTTTTCTGCCAACTTCACTTTTCTCTGAAGTTTTGGAACGCGCCGAACGCGCGCTGCTTCCGAGGGAGCAAAAAGTGCAGGCGCGGTGCAGAAAAAGATGTGCAGAAAGTGCAGCCGCGAAAGAACGAGTTTATTGATTCGGAGGGCGCGCTGGCGGCGCTGGGGGCGCGCATCGTCGCCGCTGAAGTACAACGTCACAACGATGGCCGACAATGGACGCCGTGACTCGTGAACGATCCGCCGTCCGCGAGCGATTGTTTACCGTCGCCCCGTCGTCGGGAATCCTTTAACGTTCAGCGGATATTCGCGCGCAGCGAGGTCGGGAACGTGCGTGCCGTGTTGTGTGCGAGCGATCGCGCGTCGGACAAACCCCCGAGCGTGCTTCGGTGTGAAGTGTGTCAGTGAAGGGACAAAGGGTGTCACGTAAGTGTGCGCCGAGCCCTCGGGAGGACTCGTTCAGAAAAAAATGCGAACGAAAGATATCGCGAGGACTTCGAGGAAAAAAAAGAGAGAGAATGAGAGGGAGAATGAGCGCTGTAAACGCTCTCCACGGCGAGAATTTACGTATTTAGTGGCTTTAAATCGCCTTGCGCGACGAACTTTTCTACTAGATAATTAAAACAAGATTTTTAAAAAAGGAAAAGCGGGGGAAAAAAAACCCAGTAAACAAAGTCTCCCGACAGACTCTCAATGTGTTTGACGGGCCGGGGGTAAAAACGGTTGTACGCTGTATAATATCTGTCTCTGATAAGTAACCTCTGCTTGGGGAAGGAGTGCGCGTAGAGGATAAATAACTAGAACGAGAGAGGCGATCCGGAAAGATAAAAAGTTTCTCCGTGCTTTCAGAGACTCCGTAGAACGGCCCTTCGTGCGAGCGAGCTATATATGTGCTGTCAAATGCTGTCGAATGCCGTCGCGTAATCTCAACACGAACTGTCCGTAAAGCCAGTATAGTTTATATTCCGTCCATGGTCCAGATCTCTCTGGCCAGTCCGTGTTTGTTGCCATGTGTCCCCGTTGTCGATTTGTGTTAGGCTTAAGGGAGCCGGGTCGGCCGGGTGCCGCTACGGCGCGCCTACGCGCTTTAAGAAAAAGTACTCCTCGGGACAGTGTGGACTTTCCGCTCGATTCGGAATCCCCGAACTATCCTCCTCGCTGTACACTATATAGTCCCTTGCTACCGCATTATTGTCGTAAGATGTACGAGAAACGTTACGATACGTCGTTCCTCTTGCCAGAGTGCCCCCGCGCAGCTCGCGACGTGGTAATAAGCTACCTCCCGTCTGTGCGTTGCAGGACGCTCGATCCGACGGCGGCGGCGGCGGCGACGACGACGGTGGCGAGGGACAGTCCTAGTTGACCATGGGCAGCAACACAGACGGCGACAACCTGAATCTCAGCTGTGGGGAGAACGACAACGGCGACGAGCTGAGAATCGCCGCGGACGAGACGTACGATACCCGCAGTGAGGTCTCCTCCAGCAGCTCCAACTCGGACTCTAGCCATCCTAGCATCAGCTCGGTCTCCAGCAAGTCCTCGCGCGGCGACAATAAGCGCAGCAAGAGGAACAGGAACAAACGTGGTAGATCCAGGGATTCTAAATCGTCCAGTCCTGAGCCGAAGCGGGCCAGATCCAAGGAAAGCAAGGGCACCACTAAGAGCTACGACTATGCCACCAAGTTGAATTACTTGTTTCGAGACGCAAGGTTCGACGACGACAATAAATACCTATTGCAGTCTTTGTATTAATAACAGAATTCTGTTTGAAATATTTTCAAGTGTTAATTTTACACAAGTGTATCAAATTAGAATTTAATTTTAATTAATTATTATAAATTATAGTATATGGAGTAAAGTTTGCCATAATAAAATAATAAAGTTGCATACTCTGTATGTAGCTTGAAATTTTACCAAATTTTATTCTTTTTATATTGAATCAAATAGAATGATTGTAGTTTATAGTAAGCATATCTTATATGATATAGGGAGAATTTCTTTTTTTTAATTATATATTTTTAATGGATCGTCTAGACTTGGAGTAAATATTTCTAAGTCTCCTTTGCCAGATTTTTCATCATCAAGTCCAATAATGCGGAAAATGTGACGCTATCTAAAGCCAAGGGAGTATGGAGCACGTTGCCGCAAAACGAAGCAAATCTAAATCAAGCCTACAGGGAATCGCGAAACGTGTTGCTGGTATTTTCCGTGAAGGAATCAGGAAAGTTTGCTGGTTTTGCAAGACTTAGCACAGAATCGAGAAGAGATGCTGGTCCAGTTTCTTGGGTATGTAGAATGAAATATAATGATATAATGAACAATTATATAATAATTAGCAGATTCACAAGTAACTGATTAACTTTAATGTCATTTGATTGAATTTTTTTTCTTATTAATTAAATAAATCGTCAGAAAAGAGGAAATAATGTCATGAAATGGATTTCAGGTTTTACCACCTGGATTATCAGCAAAGGCCTTAGGTGGCGTATTTAAAGTTGATTGGATCTGCAGAAAGGAATTGCCGTTCACAGCCACATTACATTTGTACAATCCATGGAATGACGGTAAACAAGTCAAGATTGGTCGGGATGGCCAGGAAATCGAGCCCAGAGTTGCTGAAGAATTATGCAGATTATTTCCAGAGGACGAAGGTTAATATAAGTATTATGTTATTAGTTAATAAATAATAATCAAATATTTGTTAAATATCTTGTTTTGTATATTTACTAATATCATGTATATAAATATTTGTGTTTGTAGGAATCGAGATGACACCCATCTTGCGGAAATCCAAGGAAGCAGGAAAACACGTCGTAAAGACATCGCGTTATCGCGACAAAAGACCTATAGGTAGTTCTAGATTTTTACGAAGAGGTGGACGAGGACGCAAACTATTCTTGACCTCGAGATCACGTTTAGCGTCACTGGCGAGAGGATCTCAAGATGTTACAGGAAATCATAGGAGCTCCAGGGATCATTCGTACCGATACACACCGTGGTTCAATCGAGGCGATTCACCTTACACAAAGTACGCGATTATCCAATATTGATTATTCCTGGCTTTTAAAGTTGTACGATGGACATACACTTTTGAAATTTAATGTTATGATTTAACGCTGTTAATGTGACATTACACGTCGCAAATTATTAAATAATTCTTTTAAAAGGCAGATGTAAATTCTCGATACCTGATGTATCTTATATATCGTTTACCTTGTGTAACAATAATTTCTTTTAGGGGTTACGGAACTGGTCTGGGTGTCGCCGCAGTTGCAGAGGCTTATGTGGCAGATTATATGCGTACTATGCAACATCAATTGCCTCCATTACCGCCTTACGGCCCACATCCGTACGATTCTCTACCACCACCTCCACCTCCAAGGTAAGAATTTATTCAATACTGCAGAAGCGCTTATCTAATACTTTCCAGATCCTACTATTTCGTTCCGCTTTAACATTTATTTTTCGCACAGAGCACAAACTCCATAAAAATATAAATATCCATTCTCTCTTTCTCTCTCTCTGGCATTAAAAATTAAACTAGAAATTAAATATATTTATTAAAATTAAATAATGTTAATATAATAATCGTATTGACATTAAACAAAAATTATTTTATCATGGGTGTAAGATTGAATGAAAATTTCTTTTTTTTTCCCCCAGATATTACGATGGTCTACCACTGCCTCCAGATTACGCCAATGCAACAGCATCGGCACTAGAAAAGCGTAGCTACGAGAGGAGTGTCGACGAGTTCCTATGGAGAACGGCTAGTCGTCACAGTCGGCACAGCGATCACCGTTCTTCTCGCGATCATCACAGATATAGAGATCGCAGATAAGGATCTCGACTTTAGTGTTTCCCTTGAAAATCCGTCGGTCCCCATAATCCTCTATTGGCAATGATAGAATTGGAGAGGGAATTCTGTTGATAAAAAAATTAAACTAGCATTATTTATCATTTATATTTATTTGGATTTATAGAATATTTCCGAGGAATTTAATCCAAAAATATTTAATATAGTAATAATAATATTATATATGTTACATATAATATATATAATATTAATTAAATATTTTTATATTTAAAAAATATCTATATTTTAATATATTTTAATTAACATTTTAATATATAATTAAAATGTTATAAATATGTTTAGATTAAATTTGTATATTAATAAAATGAGTAAAAAGATTTAATTTAATTAAAATATAAAGTCTTAAAATTTATGATTAATGGGAATCGGCGGGTTATATAATCATTGTACACCATGGAGGCAATTTTAATCGATGACGTTTAATTGTCATTACTATCAAACGTAACTGCGCAGCGCACTTCCAAACGCATTCTACGCTGTTGTAAAGTAATATAGATTAATTAAGTTTTGTACCATTGAGTATTGGTAATTCTTTTACTGAATGTGTAACATTTTCTGCGATCACACAAATAAAATGCAATAATGAAATTATTTCGCCAATCAAAAAAAGGAAATAAATTCGAATATACGCGATAAAGATATTTGTTCTTTTGTTATTTTTTTTCAACTATTTTATACATTTTATACGTCTTATATTTGTGCGAAATAATTCTTTCGAAATGAGCGGATCGATTTAATCTGGGATCGATCAATTTTTTAATTTAACTTTAGTAGAACTGTACTATTGCTTCTAATTCAGTTATTCCACGTGTCTCGACTCTACTTAATGAAGCTTCATATTTTATTGATCTCTGTTTTAACCATGCAAAATGATGTTTTCCTCTTGTTCTACTCTTCCACTACCTACTCATGTTATTCACATTAGAGCAAAAAAAGTAAAGTAAAAAGACCAAACGCGTCACGATATTTTCGTTCTATGTTATTACTATAAGGATGGAGATTAGAATAAGAGGAAGCTTGAAGATAAGAAAGGCGCTCTGATGTCCTGATAATCCACAATGGAGAGTCGATTGTGTGTGTGTGTGTGTGTGTGTTTGTACGGTATGATAGTTTCAAGCTATATATTTAACAGTGAAAATTATGAGCAGGTCTTCTCTCTTTCGCGAGATATAGTTGGAAATATAGTTAGAATAAGAGAAACGTGTCTAATAAACGAAATCAAGAATTGACAAGTGATAAGGGATATCACTCACGTACCACCCACACAAAACGGGGTATTCCCGAGCGGATACTTCGTCCTGACGGGCTGACGAGAGACAGATGTACGGAAAGATTCTAATGTGCTGTAGCTTCAACGCATCAACATCAGAAATTATCTCTAATTCTTTTCATAAATTTCGATCATTATAAATCTTGAAAGTATTCTCAGATGGTGTTTTAAATAATAAATTTTAACAAAAAAAAATGTGTCAGTTTATGATTATTGTAAAATTGTAAATTATAACTTTCTCCGAGTCAAGAGTCATTTTGTGTGTCGTGCGGTCGATGGTTGCGACGTTTAATTCATCATGTCCCTTAGAGCGCAATTTTTTAAGTACGGTTCGTGCATTGTGTTATATTTTCTCATTTGCATAATTTTAATTAAAACGAGAAGAAGCAATGTAGAAAAAACGACAGGCGCAACGACGACGATCAAGTATCAGCCGCAAACGTTCCACTTCTCGATTTCAGATAGGATAATTAAAAAGGATGTCAAGGGGGAGATCAACATGTTGCGGATGGACGAATTAAAGGGTGGAACTTTCGACCTGCAGGTATATTTAGATGTATGAAAATTAGACGGAAAATATAAAAAGACGTTAAAGATAAATATAAGATAATAACAGATTTAAAAAAAAAATAAACCTCCCCGACGGGGAATCGAACCCCGGTCTCCCGCGTGACAGGCGGGGATACTAACCACTATACTATCGAGGATAAGTTTTAGAGAGATTGAAAGTTAAAATACTAAAATTGTGATAGAAAATGATATGTATATATATATATATATATATGTACATATTTCAAAAAGATTTTAATTAATATTAAATATGTTCAAGATTTTCAAAAACTTTTTAATTTTGATAATATTTGAAATAATTTAAGATTTTTATTATGTGTTAATTAAACATATATTAAGATCATTTTCTATCACAACTTTAGTATTTTAACTTTTAATCTCTCTACAGCTTATCCTCGATAGTATATATATATATATATCTTATAATTTTACATATTCTGGATTCATCTACTCCATTTTCAACTATTATTTTCATATTGTGCACAGGCAAAAATTGAAATTTTATTTTTACGAATGTTAAATGTCGAGGGTATCTGAATCGACGTATTAACTTTCCATTTTACGTATTCCTGTTAACAGAAGAGCGCGAATCTGCTGCAACAGGTATCGAACGTCTGCGCGAAGTACAAGCTGAAGACTCCTCTCGTCAAAAGGCATTTTTTATACAATGTCAAACATAAGTCGCTGTATTGCTGGATCCGCAAAGTCGGGTCTACCAGTTTCACCAAACTGTTTTCCGACATGAGCAACCGTAGAGTCGAGCACAATTTTTACAAGTAACTAATATTAATCATGATCAAACACTTAATGTATTTATTATTATTTATTACTTTGCATATTTATATAATCTTATTAAATACAATTAATAATATCATAATTAATTCGAACAAATTTACTTTGTTTTTTATTAAGAGACCCAAATTTTTCTGTCTAATTTATTACATTAAATTAATTTATTTTATAATAATAAACTTTATTTCAACCATTCAGTTACATATAGTTTGTAACGCATTATAACTCTATTTTTTATTTCCTTTATTTATTTTATTTTATTTTCGTGAAAATAAACTAATGATATACAACGTTAATTGTAACAGTAGTTTATTATATGTTAATAATTCGATAATGCATTTGTAGAGAAGTGGACGTCCTGTCGCCAGAAAGTTTAGAAAATCTGCAGCGTTTTGCTAACAACAATACCATTTTCAAATTGCTTGTCGTCAGACATCCGTTTCAACGGCTGGTCTCGACGTATAGGTAATTAGTCTTATTACACAAAGTACAATACTCTGAATTGACAACAAGCTGACATAACTTCGAAACAGCCACGAAAAAATACCGGTACAAAATTATTTACAGAGACCGCATCGAAGACAACAGCAAATACACCGCACAATCCTGGCTCTACACTCGCCAAATTCTTCATCTCTCAAGGCCGGAACTCTTCCGTTTCAACGCGTCGGGCGGCAACATTCTGCAAAGAATATTCTTGCCGGACAGAAGGTACGCATGTGGCAAATGCTTCCATCTAATTTTCTTACTTTACAATTAATTCACGCGTAACATAGAATACGGATCTCTATCTGCGTTTCTCTGCAGATTGAAGGTGATACCCAGTTTTCGAGAATTCTTGGAATGGTTGCTGAAGCAACCGCCGGATCACAATGACGTCCACTGGGCCCAATATCACACTCACTGCGCGGTCTGTAACGTGAGCTACAACTTCATCCTGAAACTGGACGAATACACGTTCGGGGAAGTCAATTACATCCTGTCGAAGCTGAGATTAGATAAAGATAAGATCTACTTGCCCAGGCTGCAGCGCACTCGTACTGGGGTCACCAACTCTGATATAACGTGTAAATACTTTCACGACCTGACCACCGACATGGTCCTGCGATTGTACGAAAGGTACAAAGTGGACTTTGAGATGTATAACTATAAGTTGGACAAGTATTTGCACTGTGCCAAGAGTAAAAATTGACTTTGACCAGGCAAAAAAATGATGGAGCAGCAATAAGTAATACTTAATTGAAAAAAGATAAAAAGAACACTTTTTGATAAATAACTAAATTTTTTAAAGACGGGATATTTTCTCGTGCCTTTTTTTGTAAACTGGAAAATAGGAAATATATTCTGATTGACTTTTTATGGATGAGTCTTTACATCTCTATACGGGAAAACGTAAATAAAAATATACATTTTTTTAAGATTATACTTAGAAAATTATTACATTATGTAATTATTAAAAATATGTTAATTATGAAAATTATGAACTACTATGTAGTGGATTTTGGAATTAAATAAAAATTTGAAATCAATGATTACACATACACGCGCGCACGCACACACACATATACACACATGTGAGAATATTAATCAATAAATCTTAGTATAAGTAAAAACAATCTATTTTTCTTTTCTAATGATCAAAATAATGACAATAGTTATGACAATATGATAATACATTACGGCATATGTATATTCGTCAATATACAAAATTAAATTAATTATTGTATCTATAAACCACGGATGTCACTAATAGAAAAGGAATTAAAAAAAAAATGAGACTTTTTCACTTCTCCGTGTAAACCATGCAATGTTAGAAATAACTTTTAAACTAATTTTCACACGAAAATGTTTCTCTTATCTCTTATGTTTTTACTCCGTTTCCTCTATTCTCTTCAAAAGCTTTCTTTACTCTCTTCTATCTCTTTACTTTTTATCTCAATTTGAACTTTAAATGTTTTCAAGTCCTTTCGTTTTCCACCGTATCTCTCTTCACTTTGAAGCTCATCTCTTGCTTTCGCAGTTAATCGTCGTCGCACACTATCAAGCAATCAATGTCATCGGAAGGCTTCCGCTTCCTCAACGTTGATTTCTTCAGCTCGGATGAGTTATCATGGCATGTGTCGTTACTGATAATGCAGATATCATCGCTATCATCGCCATTATCAATTTCCACTTTGCGTTTCTTAGCTGCTATCTCATCTTTGGCATCATTTTTACGCTTCTTAGCCACATCCGGCGTTTCGGTCACGGTCTACAGAAAAAATATTTTTTCAGCAAACAAATAATAAATAATAAAGTAATCAAAAGAAGTATTTCCCCAAGTACCCACCTGTCCATTGGAGCTGGAAGACTTCTCCGTTTTCTCTTCTTCCTCTCTTTCCTTCGGTTGAAGCGCGTTCTTATCTGCCAGTATTAAAAATTGCGGACTATCGTCTTTCGGACCAGGTTTCTCTCGATAAACTACGAAGACGGTTAGCGAATAGTTCTGCTGGAAGTCGTCGACCTTGAGAATTGCCCCATCCTTGATTCCCAACTCCTCCAATTTCTTGTCATTGTTGCTCTCTGTCTCGCCTTCCTCGCTGCTAATGACGACGGAACCAGTTCCATCGATCATGACATCGGGGGCGATCATGTTCAGTCTGTTCTTGAGCACCAACTCTTCCAGTTCTTTAATAGTCATGCTGGAGGTATCGACCGCGAGCACAGCCTGCGGGGTAGGTGCGCAAACGTAACATTGCGGATTGGGTGGATTCACTGCTTTTTCTGGGACTAACAGCTGATTACGGTGATTCATCTTTAAACGCAGATAGACGGATCTGCAGGCTTGTAGATTGTTCTCAAGGACTCGGAAAGCATGAAGGACCACCATGCCCGCAATGATAGCATTGGTGGTGGCGATCGCCGGGATTATGTTGCCAGCCATTGCTAAAGAACGAGAAAAATAACGTAAAGATTAAAATCGAAGGTTTCATGGACAGTAAAATGGAGTACGTTGAATAAATTGTTCGAAGACAGAAAGAAGATGCTGGATAACGCGTAGCTCCGTGCGAGAGCAGTTGACTCATAATCGACGATTCCCAGGTTCGATTCCAACTTATTCCATACCTCGATTTTATAAGAGATTGGAAAGTTGAAGATAATGTAAACGGTAACCCATATTTCAAGAGCAAGATGCAAAAAGATGCACAACAGATGGAACATTGTTACGAACATTTGATATCAAATCTGCTTTTCTGAGGAATTCCAAAGATGTGCGCGCGAATGTTGGCGCATGCAGCGACAAAATCCATAGAGTGCTGATCATCCTTATCCCAAACCAAATGATTGCCTGGCGATTTTTCTTGACAGGATTTCAATGTCTGACTCAAACTTTTCATCGATTCTGCAAAGATCGAGCCGCATTTGGAAATACTCCAGCGTTGTTGGTCCTTCAGCCCAGGCTGATTGATCTCTTTACTGCATCCGGCCACTTCAAGAAAATAATACGTTATTTTCACTGACAATGAGACAATGAGGAAGAAGATATCTGTAAGAACGGCAACAAACCTCCGTCTGGCAATTCCCTCCAATTCAATGGCGTTGGAGATCGGCGTTTTTTCCACAAATTGTCCATGCTCAGCAGATACTTGATGTCATCGTGAAAAAGCTTCGTAAACAATTTTTCTGGGTCGTAATTGCAGGACTGGGCCCAAACTCGTGTGGAAATCCTATCGATGTTCCCTTTATCGTTGGATTCCGCCTGTAAAGCCCCTTCCCCTGCTGTATCTGCAATATCAAAATACTTTAATTGCATCTATTATATTTTGCTGTAAACAATAATGATGATAATTATTTGATAAAGTAAAATAAAAATAAATATAATAACAATAACATTAAAAGTATTTTTAAAATAAAAATTATGTTAAAAAAATAAAATGTCAATTACGCTGTGTTTGTTCGGTATAATTATAAATTATATCGAATATCATAGCAAAATAATTTATGTATTACCAGTTGCTTCAGGATCCGCGGTGTCTGGAGAAACATCCTGATCGGGATCTTCTTCCCCAAATAATTGACTGCAATATTACATTAGAAAATTAATTAAGGATTATTGTTCATAAAAATCATTTATATATATATTTTGTTCAATTTATATAGACATAAGTAAAAACTGAACAAAATTTATACGAGTTTAATCAATAGATGGTAATATAAAATATCTTAATGTAGATCATGTTGTGATAGTTACTTAAAGAGATGTTTAGCCCATACGATGCAGTGAATGGGCTCGCTGGGCGTGTTGCGGATGGTACAACCGGGATAAGTCTTTTGCGCAGCTTTAGGCGTACATTCGTAGCATTGGCTCAAGCCCTTCTTGATGAGTTCGACCTGGCCTTCGTAACCCGCGGTACCGGACTCTATTAATGGTATATCTGCTGCTAGACACATACGATTCACATGATTTCTCGCCGCTCTATTGTCAAGAGCGTTTAATACCACAGTGAACCTCTTGAAGAAGGACAAGCCGAATTCCGATCTGCAAACGCACGAGACTTTAGAAACGTCGAATAGATTGCGGCGTCAGCGTTGCTGACTAAGAAAAGCGAATGTGTCAACATCAACTTACGATGTAATACTGTCGTGATAATATATCACTTTGACATCTGGATTAAATGTTAATGCCGTTTCACACGCTATGCTGGCTTTTGATTTTCCCACATGTTTCTTTTGGAACAGAAATTGTCTGTTTAAATTGCTGACGTCAATCGTATCCAGATCAATCTGAAAAACAAGGAAAGGCTTAATTGAGAACAATCTGAATATAATATCTGATTATATATCTATAAAAATATTCCAAGTAAAAGCAAAAACACAGAAAATAAAGTAAATTGATAAAAAAACTTAAAATAAAACGTGTGTAAAAGGCAAAATTAAGCACAGCAATCCGAAATAAAATATCTAAATCACTAAAAATAACCAAAATGAAAAATAATTAAATAATTAAATTAAATTAAATCAAGGAGTTATTTAAATAAGAATCAGATAAAATTAATATAAGAAGAATACAACAAACGTAAATAAGAGCCAGAATAAATAACGTCGTTATAAACAAATAAGTCAATTCTAATAGAAAAAAAAAGAAGAAAAAAGAAAGTAAATCAGCAGAATTATTGTGAGTAATGCGAATGCAGATATTTGTACTACTTTTATTATCTAAAACAATAAAGTTAACATTATTATTGTTAACATTAAAGTAAAAAAACAATAGAATGTGATGTTTATTAAGGGTGCGTTTAGGAAGCGAGCTTAGCGTTATTACATCGTTTTATCCATGTTTAACCTAATAAGGTTAATCTAATGAGCGATAAAGATAGAATGCCGCAATAGCGTTAATTAGCGTTAATTACACGTTCCGTGAATGCACCAAAATTGTTACTGACGTTACTGTAAATCGCTCGAAAGTGAGGTTACGTTAGCTATTACAGAATTGCGTGTACTCACGATTTCGATATCGGCGAACCCGGACATCACCAGGTTCTTGAGAATCTCGCAGCCGATACCGCCGGCACCGACGACGAGCACCTTGCTGCGTAAAATCGCATCGCGTAATTCTTCGCGAAACACTCCGTTCACAGTCGTCGCCATCTTGCCAACTCTCGGCGGTCAGGCCGGCATCGCGTTTATCGCGTTCCGATTCAGCGATCCCGCGATCGCGGCATTTTTCACGCATGCGCAGCAGCGCGGTACGAGTGTCCCTCGATTTTCCACGTCGCCAATTGGTTTAATTTGTAACCTAATTTTCTGATTGGTTGATTCGATCAAAAGACCCCAAGCACCGGTCTGTGAGTGGCTGTATTCTACCGGACGGAAGAAGCGTCCCTTAAGCCCGTATCACACTATGGGATTGCGGATTAAAATTGATTAATAAAATTCAATCAATCAGAATAAAGAAAATTGGGCTGTGAGTTCCAGAATTCACTGCCAGCACTGAAAATCTGTTGTAGTATAATGGCCGCGTTCAGCAGACATAAAGCCCCTTGCACAATGCCAGGCAACAGGCAATAGGAACAGGGAATAGAAATCATAAATCATGTATAAATGCAGAATAAACAGTGACACAGGCAATAGACACAGAGTTTCCGTCACGTTGGAAATTCTGTGCCTATTGCCTATTGCCAACCAATCATAGCATTTGAATTTTTTAGGTTGTAATTAACGATTTTTTGGTTATTTCCTGTTCCTATTGCCTGTTGCTTTGCATTGTGCAAGGGGCTTTACTGTTGAGGGGACCTATTATGGACTTGTTCGGAATGGATTCCAATCGGAATTGTTCAGTTATTTCCTAGATTTCTATTGTCTTTTCTAGGGAAAACGAAATAATTCCGATCGGAATCCATTCCGAACAAGTCCGTAATGCTAATCGAGAATTCACATTGCGTCCGATGTTCGACGTACGACGATCCGATATCCAATAACAGAATTTATTATTAGAGACAAAAATTTCTTATTGGATGTCGGATCGTCGTACGTCGAACATCGGACGCAGTGTGAATCCTCCATAAGACTCCATAGACGCGGAAACGCCGTGCGGTAGAGTGCATTGACCAATCAGAAGGCTGCCGCAAGTCGCCTGCGGCAAAATCAAAATTTGTGATTGGTCAACGCACTCTGCCGCATGGCGTTTCCGCATCTATGGAGTCTTAGCATAATACGTGCCCTGTTGAGGGAACCTATTATGAACTTGTTCGAAATGAATTCCGATCGGAATTGTTCAGTTATTTCCTAGATTTCTATTGTCTTTTCTAGGGAAAACGGAATAGTTCCGATCGGAATCCATTCCGAACAAGTCCATAATAGGTCCCGAGGTCGTCTTATTAACACTCTGCGTTGATTGGTTGGTTCTAAAAGTAAGAGCCAATCACGTTCGACTGCTACTGAGCGGCTGGTTTGCTGAACACGCCCAATTACGGAGACTGGGAAAGTCCCTAGATTATCAACCAACCAACCATCTTGGCCTCATCTGTCGCGCGACGCGCACGCCGCGCACGGTTATCAACGCGGAACGCGGTCGGTCGGGCAGTGTCCGTCGGTGTCCGTCGGCTGGTTGGGGTGTTGGGGCGAGAGTATGGTGGAGTGAGGGACTGAGGGGGGCCCGGGGCAGTTCGCGCAAGTTCGCGATATGGAACGGCGCGTCGTGGAACGGTGATCGTTAGGCGTCGCGGATCGGGAACGACGACGCGCCAGCTCCTCGCCTCGCCGCTGCGGATATGGCGGACGTGGCCGCGCATTAACGTCAACTCCCAGACACCTCGCCCGTGCCCGTGCACTTGGTCGTCGTCCGCGCCGTCCCGTCGTCCCCGTGTCGTGTCGTGGGAACGAACGGCGACGCGAGAACCGTAAACTGCCGAGGGCGCCGCAGAGCGGAATCGTGCCAAGTCGTGCGGCTCGCCCGTTTCCAAGAGATGCTCGCGCGCACATGGTGACATCGTCTTCCGGGTCAGTTCGACAGATACGTCCGCGATGGGGATGGGCAACCGCTGTCGGCGAGCTCCCCGCGTGTCTTCCCCCGGGCGACGTCGTCGTCGTCGCCGCCGACGATCGGCAGCGGCGTCCCCGCGTGGAGGCCCCGGCGAGCTCGGCGAAGCGGCGCGGCGCCTTCATGGGGAACTCCATGGTCTCCATGGGGTGTAATGGCGATCGGGGAGGATGTTTTGTTTCGTGAATGTTGCATTACAATTAGCTCAGCCAATTGTCACTTTACCGTATCGCTAGCTGACGTCTCGAGCTCTTATCGGGAAATTAAGTTGGACAATTTGCAAGTTATAAAGTCCGCCGGTGACGCGTGGAAGTCCGTCCCGTTCGACGGAATTGTAGAGAATTGTAAAGTTTGTCATTTTTAAATTAGCAGCCTTACTCGCATTTATAATTACACGGTGACATTAATATTCTAATTAAGTTTATATTTAATTTAGTAACAGTTTGCGAGCTTTTGCTCCGACGCTTTTGACACCCCATAACGCGTCAAAGCGCTTATATTGCTTATAATGAAACAGAATTATTTAGGGATTACATTTCACTACTTTATTAATGTTTGTTTTATTCCATTATCATTGACATTTTAAATAAATGATAAAATCATACGAGACTATTTATAAACGGTGCTTAACGCGACTGTTGTGAAGAACGTGAATTTTTGAAGATTGTATCTAATTAATTTCATTGCCGTACATTTATTTTTACAAATTACGGCTTGTAATCTATTTGTGCTTTACTTTATCGATGAGAAATTAATTATAGTGCAGTATTGCGTTTGATATTTTATAACGATTTTAGGAGAGTGTCTGTCGCTAAAAGTTATGGGATTTTGATTACGTTTAATTAATTTCATCAATTCACGATTTTGACTTCATACATTTTTATCGAATTATTAATTCAATAAATACTGGAATGTGTCAGACGGTTTATCGATGCTGAATTTGATATTTACTGGTGGTTGAAGCAAACGTTGTACAGTAAAACTGAATCAGATTGTGTTATTTTATGAGATTATTGAACTAATACTTACTACGTTTACGCGAGCGTTACTTCTGTAGTAACTTACGATAATTTACTCGTTTACGCGGAGTAAATTATCGTAAGTTGCTACAAAATCCCGTTTACGCGAAGGAATTATCGTAAGTTACTACTACAGAGGTAACGCTCGCGTAAACGTGTATAAGGCTGGTATTCATACTCGGTTCTTATTTCAAGACCATCTTAAGTAATGTCTTAAGATGTTAATACGGCTCTGTGATTGGTTCATGACGTCTTAAGATTGTACTTAAGACGGTCTTAAATATAAGAACCGACTATGAATACCGGCCTAAGATTGATATCGAGTATGAAATATCGGTGGACAATGCATAGACACACGCACACGTGTGTAATAATTTGGAGTTTACGTCTCACTAACTTGCTAATGTGTGCTTCATTAGATTGTTACTACAGCATTCATGTTGATAACAATATAATATTTCTATTTTTATTTTCAATTTAGCGTTCATTAAACGAATGATAAACGTAAAAAAATTTTATGAGCCGTCCTTAATGGCCACTGTGGGAAAAATGTTATATGGATTCACGAGATTCCTGAATTTGAAGATTATATTTCATTAATTTTATCAATGCGCATTTATTTTCACCGACAAATTAATTAGAGTACGTCTCCATGTGGCGCAAAACGAAAGTACCACGTTTGATATTTGTATAACGATTTTGAAAGAATATTTGCAATGTTACGGTCTTCTCGATTACGTTCAATTAGTTTTATTAATTTATAAATTTATTACATTAATTAAATACAAAACATTAAACATTAATTAAATAGAAATTTAAATATATGGAGCAGTTTACTGATATTGAATTTCACATTCAATATTGATTTTTCAGACGTTCATAAAAGTTGAACCAGATTGTATTATTTAACGAGATTATCAGATTAAAAGTGATGTCAAATATTGGACATCAAATATTGGGTAGATGTATATATACACAAAAATGTGATCAACATGTAACATTAAACATAACTTTTTTTTTACACATGTATGATAAACTAACATTTAAAACGCACATAACTTTTTTTACTGTCATTCCAAATATATCACTGAGAAATGAGCAGGGAAGAATTAAATTTTTCAAGTTGAACACGTCACAGAGAAAGAGAGCTTTATATCTAAATATAGATCTATTTATTTTCAACACATCTCAAGTACCTAGATTATATGTCTATAGAGACCTAGAATATACTTGGATAGCAAACATTGTGAATGAACTCCCGTATAACAAACATCACAATACAAACGTACATGATTAATGTACGTGTTTGTGGTCGAGTAAACACGTACATGATCCTGTGAACGATGCAAAAGCTCTTTTGCATCTATCTACCATAGGGACAGTATTCAAGTATTGATTGCAGCAACATGGTGTGCTATGGGAGGAGGGTTGAAACCAAGGCATGGCAGACCCACCTATTATATCTTATACCTGTCATTCAGCTTTTGTTTCCATTAACATTTTTCAGAACGCGTAAAGAAATATAACGGTTATGCATAAAAATACGAAAAAAAGTTATATAAAATGTAAATTTAAAACAAAAATCTGATTATAGTTCATTATAAAAAAATGTAAATATTTTAGAATAAATTCACAACGTGTAACAGCATAATTTTTATTTTAATTAATTACATTTATGACGTTATAAAATACTTTTACATTTATTATTATTACTGTTATTAATATTTGCGAAAGTTACAATTTTACATATTAACTATATGTAATTTTATTATACAAAACTAATTTTCAATATTACTGCACGAGATATTATTTTGCATTGCTTTTTTTGTTTTCTTAATTTTTATTTTGCTATTTTTGAAGAATATATTTTTATGCATTTGTATTTTATATTTTAAAATTTTTTATTTTAGAATGTTTTTAAATATATACGTTATAAAAATAGTAAAATTGGGGGAAGATATACGGGATTAATTCTTTAAGAAGGGTAGATATTCAAATTCTGTAAAGGTCAGAAAATCCAATTGACTGTGTTAATGTGCGATGCGATAGCTATAGACAACAATGGCAGAAAATGTATATGTTCTTTGATATACCGCGAAAGCATGAAATCTAGACAGATTTTACTTACAGGATCGTAAAGTTATTTTAAAATAATTTTTATTTTGTCACAGATTAATTAAATTTATAAATGTAAATTTTATTCCAAAATAGTAAGATAATGGAAGATAAATGGATATAAGGAAAGCAGGAAAGAGTATTTTGAAGCACACACAAGATAAGATAGTGATTAATCGTGACTCAGATTTGATTAATTATGACATTTTAATATGTAAAATATCAAAGTACTGTAGGTACACATATGTATTATTAGATATTTTAATCTTTTATCTTTAATACGTATTGATTAAATTTAATATAGATTTAATGATTTCTTTTATAGGTTGCTGCAATGAAGTATATCAAATGCATATGATTGACAATGGGCTGAAACACTTAAATGATTAGCACTTATATATAAATATCACTACTTCTTGTCAGTTATAGGTAAAGTATATATATATTAATTAAGTATTTTATCAAGTATTATTAAAGAATCTTTTGTTGAAAAAATCTTTTAACATTAAAGAAATTTATTAACATGTTCTTAAAATCTAATTTTTATTTAGTATACATAGATATATATATATAATTATTTCTCACATATTTCCTGTATTGTGACTTCAAAAAGTTAATACGTGTCAATAATTTATTACAAAAATTATTTTGCATTATAAAATTGGTTTAAATTGTAAGGACAACATGTCTGAATAACTAAAAATATACTAAATATATTTTCTTATGCAAAGCTTGTGCCAGACATGGCAGCGATAGAAGAGAAAAAGCGAGTAGGTGGCTCCAAGGTGTCGGCCATCGCAAATATCTTCCAATCCAAGCCACAACTGGATTTGAGTCACAGAACGAACAATATTCTTTCGGATGGATTTAAGGAACCAGCTGTTCCACTAAAGGAGTCTCCGACGCAAGTGACAGTGGTCAGAACTGAGAGTCATGTGGCACGTTTCAACAATGCGCGAGCCCTCTTCGAGAAACTTGGCGAGGAAAACAAATCGAACAGACCGTAAGCAATTTGAATTGAAAAAATTTATGCTATTTCTTTCAAAAAATTATATCTATTCAATTTTATTAATTATTATAGCTTTTGAAATCTTTTTCATTATATTTTTTATATATTTTTCTTTAACCTTATTTATTACACAAATTAATTACTTTCTCAATTATTCTTAATTATATTATTATTTAGAAAAATTTTAGCAATTAGAATTGAAATTACGAAAATTTTTTCAAAAAAATATAATTAATTGGAAACTAAGAAAAGAATCATTCCACTTGTTTATATTTTGTAATTATGAATCAAATTTATCAAAAAATATTTTCACCAAATATGTTATATTTTATTAAGTATAAATATTTATAAAATATCTGAGAGCGAAAAATCTAGTGTTTAGTTTGTGCGTACAAAAATAAAATGTTATATAATTAGTTTTAATATTAATTTACATGCTCGTTTAATCTACAGGGTGGAGCGAGTCACAAAACCGAACAACCTGCATGGCCTCCGGTCTCGCTCCAGTTCCGCGAACTCAGGTTCTGGATGCACTTCGCCCGCGAGATCACCCCGTCCTCACTCACCCTCTCCTCCGGGCAGCCGTGAACACCTGAGTACATGGAGCGCCAGCGTACCGGCTTTGAACGCGGAGCGGCACTTTGAGAACGGCCACTGCGCACCGGAGCGCACCGGCCGTCCTGGCGTGAGCTTGGGTAAGGTCGAACGGACGGGTAAAGAGAATGACCGTCCAGAGCGGCCGGAAAAGCCTGAACGCCGACCGAATTCAAAGGAGCTCATCGAGAAGCAACGGAATTGGACTAGCCACTTCTCCAAGGCTAGACCGAACCGGTACAATTCCGATCCGAATCGCTCGCTAGTTCAAACTTCTCTGAACTCCCAGAATGCCCAGAGTCAGGCGCAGCAATCGTCATCGTCGTTCGTTGATACGTGCCAGAGCGCGGCAGCTGGCGACTCTGCCAGTCCAGCTACCAGATCAGCAAGCTTTTGCTCGGCACGCTCACCTCCACCACCACCTCCACCTGTCAGGAACTCGTCCGCGGCCAGTAGGAGGGAACGACCGGCGAGTATCGCCGCCGCCAGCCCATCCGAATTACTGGAGAGCCCGGAGTATGCAACGGTGGAGAAGTTCGACGATATCTCGCCGACGATTCCAGAGTATGCTGTTGTGCAGAAGAAGAAACCTCAGAGCAGTCCAAAAGAGAGTAAAAGTGACGGCGATAAGACTCAGGACGCATCGTTGCCAGAGTACGCTGTTGTGCAGAAAAATACTTCAAAAGCGGCTTTGAAAAAGGAGAATTCCAAAGAGACTTCCAAGACACAGACGTTGAAGAGCGCAGCTAGCACAGACGCAGTTACGGAAAGCAAAATCGTGAGTTTGAGGTCGACGGAAGCCGCCAAAGACGTTTCTAAATCTACTGTGCAGAATTTGGCAAGCTCCACGACTGCAGAACCAATTACAGTTAACAAAACTATAATTTCAAAATCAGTGGAAGATACTAAGGAGATTTCTAAAACTTCTACGCAGACTGTGAAAAGCCCATCAGTTGTTGAGGCAGTTCCAGTATGCAAAGATGCAGCTTTAAGGTCAACAGAAACCTCGAAAGAAACCTTGAAAAGTTCTACATCTATGGAAGAAGCACCAGCATTCAAAGCTATAATTTCTAAACCAACAGAGTTTTCAAAGGAGGAAGCCATGGAGGCTGTGGAAAGACCGAAAGAAGTCACAAAAAGCTCAACGGTTCCAGAATTGAAAACTGCCATCGCAAACGAGTACAGCGACCTTTCCGAGCAGACAAAAGCATCGCCTGTACCGCACTGCGAGGATTCTAGTCCAGTTCGAAGTGCCTCGATGGACAATATTCTGACGAGGAGGGAAAGCGACCTGCTAGAAGCGCCGGAATGCTTTAACTGCCCTCCGAGCCCGATTCACTCACCAGCGAAGACTTCTGAATGGAGGAACGAATGGCTGGCAAAAAACGACGAAATTCTGAAGAGGACTGTGGACTTGAGAGATTTGAAGACTTCGTCGAGGGAGGCTCTGGAGGCAGAGTTACGTGGCGACGTGATCAGACCGGATCCAAGACCCGATTGGGCCAGACCAAACGCGAACGCGAAAAGAAAAGAGACTGTGGACGATAAGAAAACCGAGCTGATACGATCACCGGAATCTGAGCTGGGTCTGCCCTCCGCAGGCACTGACAGTGCCTCATCCAGCATGAGTTCACCCAGCTCACCCTCCAAGGATAGCAAGGAGGAAAAAGCGGAGAAGGAGATGTCAGAGAAACATCAGACAGGTAAGCTAGATTAGATTCGTAGAAAAAGTCTTGTAAGGTCGAAGAACTTTATCGTAGATGGAAAGAGTGTATTGTGACGTAAATTGATGGCTGTCACAATTAATAAAATCGCCTTAATGTTGTATAATTTTGTTTCTCAGCTTAAGTTTACAAATAAGACGAGAAAAATAATCGTTGTAGAATTACTAAAATAATTTTTGAAAGAATAATATTAAAGAAAATTAATTTTTATGTAACAAATATATATGCGCACAATAATGCGCATAATAATGTTGATTATTAATCTTATATATTGATTTAAATATGCATTTGAACGTATTAAACATCTTTATGGTAAATAGTTCGTTTCAAAAATAAATTTACAATTTTGAGAAGCGTCAGTGAAGCCAGGTGACTTTCGCTGTGTCGTGGGCTGAAATGGCAGTGCGCCAAAATGCCAAAAAGTAAAAGTACCAGACGCAGGCCCCCTTCTTTCCCCTTTTCTCCTTCCCTTGCTCTTCCACCTCCTCTTTTACCAGTGTGCCACGGTATTATTTATAGAAATCACCGTGCGGCTTGTCCAGCAGCCAAACGCTCGTGCCTCATCGCGTTTACTTTGCAAAAGTGTCTCTGGGGCTCTCCACAGAATTTTAAGATTTGAAAATCGTCAATGTTGTGTTTCAAACGGTTCTAATCAGTACAGTGACTTCTTCGAAGAATGAATTATAATGCGTTTTATAAATGCGAAAAGAGCAAGTTTGTAAAAACACTTTACTCTAGAAAATAATATAAATTTCTGAAAATGAAAAATATAAAAATTATTAGTTTATTAATAAACATACATAAAAAAGTGTTTGAATATGTTAATAATTTGAAGTTAATAATTTGGGAAGAAATGTATATATTTGCAAGTAAAATCTTTCAGATCTAAATATTATTTTATATATTATTTAAATTAGCAAAATAAAAAATTAAAGTTAAATTGTAGAATCAAAACGAGGAGCAAGTTTATTATGGAGAAATATACGAGAATTTTACAATTCGGTTATTTTTTATGGTATATAAATTAAGTTAAATTAAAGAATTAAATAAAAGGAAATCTGTAAAACTTTTGCATAAATTATGTAAACATGCAATAAAAGTCTAAACAATCTAAATACGCTTTACTTGCTATTTAAATGTATACCGTTAATTAACAAATAACATAATAAATTACTTTGAAATAAAATTAAAAAATTGCGCTAAATAATATTAAATAATCTTAAAATTTTCCACTGAATGTCGTAGTTCGGTTAATTAAGTTAATTGAAGGCCATATTCTACGCGAGTGTGTGATCTTGTATATAATAGTAAATAGAATATACACAAGATTAGTGTTTATATGTAACGCTGCACTATATTTTGTATCAATATTTTTATACTTATTGAAGCGCCACGTACTCTCCAGGAAGACATAAAATTATGTGCCTGCGATTACTTTGCATCGATTGCGGAGGTACTTTAGCGTCTGTGTTAGTCCGATAAGCTATTTCAGCGCTTTCTATATACGTCAGTTTCAGTATTTTTAATATTTTTATTATAAATCTATTTTTTAAATTCAGGTCGCAACAGCTATGACTTGGAAGCGGAGGATCAGGATAAGCCAGCCACGTATCAGAGCTGCGTCTCAGGCACGGAGAGCCTCTCCGAGAAGGACCAGTTCAAGTTTAACGAGACAGACACTACCACGGTCATTCGACGTTCTCACGTGCGCCTTGATCTTCAGGCTGCCGGGCTAGGTCCACGTCCACCCTCTGTCATCAGTTCTGACCAAGAATATCCGCCACTGGAACACAAGGAAATTCCTGTGCCCTCGCCGTACGCCAAGAAGTTACAGCAAAGTGAAGAAATTGTTTCGCAAAGTAATATCGAATGCAAAACTCAATCGAAACCAAATACGGAGGCAAAGAACCACGGCAGTACAGAAGCGCTGAAAATCAATACCACGTCCGCGGAAGATACGCTGGAGACAAAAGTGAAGTCTAGCAGCGATGGAGTATGTCAGAAGACGGTCTCGAATGCGAAGAATGATCAAATAAAAATCAGCGTGAGGGAGAAGATTGCGAAGAATAGGGAGGAGGTCTCTGGCAAGCGCTCCAGCTTTGTCGAAGCAGAAAGCAAGGATAATGTGGACAAGGCAGCTATTCGTAGTCAGGAGATGAATAGTTTTGGGCTCATTACGAAGGAGAGCAAAGACGAGGAGAAATATGTAACAGAGGTGGCGAAATCGGAGGTCAGCAGCAGAAAAGAGTGCATCGCAGCGGTGAACAGTGTTCTGAGTAGGAAGATGGAGAAGGAAATGGACCAGCCGCAGACGACGTGGGAGCAAGAGAAACAAAAGGCTGAATTAGCGAAACTCCGGTTATCGGAAAACAATAATCAGGATTCTACACCTAGCACGCCTTCCCAAAGACATTCCAACAAAAAATCCAACGATCAATCGTCGGAGAGCAGCCAATTCGAGGACAGTGACTCCAGTGACACGAAGACCGTTACAAATGTGGAATGTGTAGCAAGGGAAATGCAGGACAATTCTGTTAGAATTGCAGAGACAGCTTCGAAGAATAATGTCAATCATATCACTCCTGTGACGCCGGATACCATGACTCCAGACGAGGCTGAAAATCTGCTGAGTTCTCGGTAAATATATAGCGAGTAAGAGAAGAAAATGGAATTAGAGTGTTAGATTGTGTTTGTAATGATATATATATACATATACATATATATATATATATATATATAGAAACAATAAGAATTTTAGAAAGAGGGAAAAAGGAAGAATCACTTTCGTTTTTAAAACATTTAATTTTTACTGATATGACAATTGACAATTAATAATTGATAATTAATACCAATAAAAGAACCGAAACTTTTGGAATGATGCTGTTTTTGGGAGCTGCTTTTAGCATATAACTTTTGTATTTTAATACAGCAATTGAATTTTTTATAGCTGTATCTATATTTAATAGTAGATATAAATTTTTTTGCTGCAATGTTTTGATAATTTTGAATTTGAAGCTTAATATTAATAACTTTGTTTTTCTTTTATTTTGATTCTAATACGTTCGTGTTTATTTGAATGCAAATCTGCTGATTGTCATGGTCCATGCAGCATCTTAGAAAAGAAGATTAGGTGAGTACATTTGCAATTCTGTGATTTGATAACGGAAGCAGATATGTATTATCTCATGAGATAATTGCAAAATATTACGTTAATATTTCAATTAAATTTTATTGTTTACTTTTTAATATTTGTTTAAAAGAAAGATTTTTCTTAAAAAATTATATCAAAATATTTTTATCATTAAGACCACTTTTTCTGGTTGATCGTGTTTGTAATGAACACGAAAGACTAGGAAAATATATCTCAATCATGTCTTCTTTTATTATTCTATGAAAGAAAATAATACACAGAAGAGAAAAGATGAATATTTCTTTGTAAAAATATTATATAAAAAATATATATAATATATATATATATTTTTTTATCTACATATTTTTTAATTACGCATTACTCACTTGTTATTCTTTTGGTGAGAAAATTTAGATAATCATTTTTCAAGTTACTTCTGGTATAAAATAATTCTGAAATTTAAAATAAAATAATAAGAAATATTGAGACATTTCGCGAATGAAACACTGAATAGACATAACTGCTTTTGTCATTTGACCGCAGAATTGATTCGCTATCAGCGATTACGTAATTCGTGCGTAAAGCAAAGTGAATGATTCGTGAACATAAATTAGACAAGGTTCGGCGTTACTATCGGACGAGGAAGCGCAGGAGATAGCGAGGCTGCTGTCTCCCACCGGTGCCAATGACGCAATAATAGGTGATGGGATTTCTAATGACAAGGATAAGGAAGGACAGGACAGGGATAGGGAGGACCAGGACAACACGCCCGACTGGCTGTCCGATGTCCTGTCTGCTCCTGATTCCAGTCTTATCAATAGTGCCACTCATGATTATAGGTGAACGAGCTTATTTTTTTTATGTCTTCGGTTGCGCGTCCTTTCTTGTGTCTTTTTGCAATTTTATTTCTATTCTCTGTCTTTTTTTAAACAATTTTATGTAAATTTTCAATTTTAATATCGATTATTTGGTAAAATATTAGATTGTAGTGTTTTTAAAGTTTTATTTTTTCGGATCTTCGGAGGATTAAAATTTTTTGGAGCTTTGCACTCCTTCAATATTTAAAAATTGCATTCCTTGAATTTTTTTAAATCTGGGATAATAGACGCTCGAGTTCTTGTCAATTCTTGGACAACTGGATACCTAAAGATCTTCGGACTTTTGGAATTATACTAAAATTTTGATATTTACACTCTTCTCGAGCTTTTCTATCGACTCTCTGTTAACTTTCTATTTATTTCAGTTTGTCTCATAGATCTCGCAGTGACCTGACAATAGACTCGTTGACGGAAAGCCAAATAGGTTCGGTCACAGGAAGTGAGAGCGGACTGCTAGGTTCGGTCAGCAGCTTAAATGACACTCATGAAACTAACGATGACACCGAAACCGAGCATCAGGATGACTATATTCCAACGCCAGGAAAAATTGTAATATATATTATAATTATCACAATTATAACACCATCTTATCAATTTCTTTTCTCTCAGTTGCAATGCAATCAGAAAATATATCTGTGATAAAAAAAAATTAGAGAACAAATACAAAATCAGAAAAATAAATATATGATTTTTTATGATAGTTTATAATATAAATTTTTATTTTTATTTTTTTTACTGTCTTGATTTAAACAGTTTTGCGGCAACGTTAACTTGGATTATTTGATTAATCAGATACTCGTGGAGAATGGCGTGCATTACTTCGAAGATGGTCACTTTTGGATGGAAGTGGCGGGGATTCCAGAGTCCGACGAAGATGACGAAGACTATCCGTCCACCATGCCCATCAAAAAGACCTCCAAAGTGTCCTTCGATACCGGTCCCATGCGTGTTTACTCTACGCATTCGGTTAATGAATACGATCGCCGCAATGAAGATGTCGATCCTGTGGCGGCCAGTGCAGAGTACGAGCTGGAAAAGCGCGTCGAAAAAATGGAGGTAATCCTGAGAGAATAACTCTTCTTTTTTGTAGAATCCCTTAGAATAAAAATAATGATGACTTCTTAATCTTAAATCTTAATATCGCTGATTTTTCAATGCAATTTCTTCTTACGATTCAATTTTTTAAATCCTTGAACACTTCGTTTCTGTTATATTCTCAATTTATTCTTACTCATGAATGTTTCGTAATTTTATGATTGCTTCAAAAAAAGAGAAGCCTGGGGCATTTTGAGATACTGAGGGTTTCTTTAACAAGCTTTTATTTTTAATTAAATGCACTTTTTCCTAAGAAAATCCTGTGCTACTAATCTTAAAAAAAAAAAAACTTAGGTATTTCCTGTCGAACTGATGAAAGGCCCGGAAGGCTTGGGCCTCAGCATAATCGGGATGGGCGTAGGCGCGGACGCGGGTCTAGAGAAGTTGGGCATCTTTGTGAAAACTATCACGGAGAAAGGTGCAGCCGCGCGTGAGGGTCGGATTCAGGTGAATGACCAAATTGTCGAGGTTGACGGCAAGAGTTTGGTCGGCGTGACGCAGGCTTACGCCGCTAGTGTGCTGAGGAACACCTCCGGTCTCGTGCGATTTGTCATCGGCAGGGAGAGGGATCCCAAGAATTCGGAGGTGGCGATGTTGATTAGGCAGAGTCTCCAGGCTGATAAAGAGAGAGAACTGGCGAACGCTGCCAATAGGTAAAGTAGCGCATTTGTGTTATTTGATCTTCGAGTAATATTATCATAAGATTGTGATTAACAATTATTAGTTATTTTTATATTGACAAGTTATACTACAATATGAAATTGACCTGGTAAATTGTAAAATCTATTTTCAAAGAATAAGATATTTTATTATTTAATATTTATATAGTAAATCCATTTTGGTAACAATTACTTGATTAATAACTCGATCCAATAATAATTAACACATTTATATATCGAGACTTAATATCATGAAATTATCACATATTAAAAGATATTTTTTTATTGTTACTTTTGACTCGATTTGAAAACTCTCCGTCTTCTTTTAATTTAAACATTGGATGTCAGTATGGTCTAGTGGTAAAGCGCCAGACTCGTAACCACGAGAAACCGGGTTTGAATCCACTTGATCACAGGAATTTTAATATTCTAAATTGTACCATCCTATATAACCCAACTTATATCTTACTACTACTTTAATTTAAACACTGTTTCATTTGCGTTCCCAATGATGATTAATCCTTGCTCGCAAATATTCCGTGACGATACTTTGTGGCCACTCCAATGAGAGCCTGAGGCATCTTGGAGTGCTGAGGGAACTATGTTTTTCATAAGCATAATTTATAGCAATGCAATAAACAAACTGTTAATTTTAACCGGTGTTAAAAAAAAAGATTTATTTTCCACGAACAGGAAACTCAACTTCTCCGATGCTTCTCCCGATGGCCAACGAGGAAGCGAGGATATCTCTGTTGGCAGCGGGATGAGTGGGATTCCCGGTTCGCCGGCGATGTCCTCTTGCTCGGAGGGAGAACCGGCACATAGCCCCATCGAGAATTACCTGTCGCCTTCTAGTCGCAGTCGATCTCCGATACTCGGCTCGTCCATGTCACAACACAATGGCACTACGCAGAGCGACGTAGACAGTCTGAGATTGCTCTTGCAAGAGGTATTTTGCGTTTTTTACATTCTGTGCTTCATGACTCGAATATATCTCCTTTTCATCCGTTTATTTAAGAATATTATTTAGCGAGATGTTTACGCACTCCTACTCCTGTTTACTTATACGTGTGGTGTTAGTTTTATTTGTCTGTAAATAGTCATTAGAATAATGCATTGTTCAACAATGATGTTTCTACGATACATAGCGCATACATTTGTACATACTTTCGTGTGTGTGTGTAAATTAAGAGCATATCACATATGTAAGTTTATCGCAATCGCACAGTGTGTATTTATTGATTTTCTTTGTTTTTGTTTCGCTTATGCGCTATGCGTGTCGTTGGTTGCTTGCAGAGTCAGTATAAACTCTCATTAGCGGACGAGGAAGTGGAAAAGCTCAAGGCGAAGGTAATGTAACATTATAATAGTTACTCAATTAATATTATCTGATCATAATCAAATCAGAGTTATTCAAGTTGCTTGAATTAATAGGAGACTCATTAATATTAATACGGAAAGTTAGTGTGTGATGCAAAATTTGTTTTACAGGAATAAAAGACTCATTTTACTTATCCGCATTTATGCTTTAGTATGCTTCTCTTATATAATCTTTACAAATTTTTCACGCTTCTCTCTCTCTTTCTCTCTCTGTCTGCACTATATCACAATGCATGAAATATTAAGTGTACATTTATAGCTTACAGCTTGTGTGTTAATGTACATAAATAATAAAAATTCCCCGTTTTTCTATAATAATAAATTGTAGTAATTAACTTTCTAAATGTGAGATTCCATTACACTCTATAAAAAAAATTAAATTTTTCCTATTTTTGTATTTTTTTTTTAATACAAGTTTTTCCTAAAAATAAAAAGACATTAGCTCGGAATTTCATTGGAAGAAATAAATAAAATAACTTGAAAATGAAGTAATAAATGAAAATCACATTCTTCGCTCATAATGACAATATTTTATCATAAAAGTTATAAAACAATTTTAGATGATCTTTTTATATCTTTCAGACATTCTCTACACTAATCAACATTTCAGGCTTCTTCTCTGAGCTGTTTCTTTCATACAATTGCATGCTTTCATTACTTTACAGGCAATTCTTCTCTCGTGCCAATCGATGTCGAATAAACTTCACTTTTTAATTTTCATCAAACATGTATATAACGATAAACGGCATATAACATTCAAGAAATTATAAGCTGTACAAAGTTTTTTAACTCCAAAAGGAAGCCTTTATAAGCATACGTTTACGAAATTTTTTTACTCAAAATTGTATTTTCTATTAAATCCCAAGTTGATGTTCATTTTAGAACATTGTAATGTTGTTTCATGTATTTTGTAATCTTACAATCAGTCATATTATAAGCTCTATTTTATGTTTTGGGCAGTTAGTAGAATTGGAAAACAGCGGAGCAGGTAGCGAAGAGTATGCAGCCAAACTGCGGGAATCAGGATTACGCCTTCACGAATCGGAGAGAGCATTGGGCACCGCTCGCCAGGACCTGTCGACAGCCAGGGAGATGCTGTCACAGGCGACGGCGCAAAACGCAGCTCTGCAACAGAAGTACGCCAGAGCTAGAAGAGCTGCCAAGGAATTGCGTGCGGATATTACGGCTAGGGACGAGTTCTATCAACAATTGTTACAGGAAAAGGACACAGAATACAATGCATTAGTGAAAAGTCTTAAAGATAGAGTACGTATCGAAGGGTTTGACCGATGATATTTGATCTCAGAAAGAACGAGTATTTTTAAAAGATCCATTTCTCTCTCAGGTGATAACACTAGAGGTGGAGCTGACGGAGACCCAGAGGCGATTTGGTTTGCCGGTACGATTACCATACGATAACGCCACTACTAGAATAGTAACACCGCAGCTTTCTCGCAGACAACTGCCACCGCCACCTTCATCAACTAGCTGCCAGCTTTCCGACACGGAGACCTCTGATCTCAGTAGCCCGGATGATGGAGACAAGACTGCAACTGTGGAGAGGAAGCTACCTCTGCCGCTACCGGTGAAGGAAGAATTAGATCGTGCCGTACCAGCCCATCGTCTGCTGGACAATTCTGCTGGCAAGAGCAAGGCAGAGTTGGCCAGCAGAGGTGGCTTAGCCAATCGTCAGTTGCCCAGACGATCCGGAGGCCTCAGCAACAGTAGTTCTGTACGTTATTGAGCTTGCATTAATTCATTATAAACTAATTAGCAGCACACATTGCTTGTTTGAAGGTTAAAAATGGAACACAATATTTAAAAATAGATAGAATTAGAGAGCATATATGTTTTGAAACTTTTCTTTTTAAATAAATAAAACGAAATTATATGATAAAAAATTCTTATTTTAGGACTACGGATTAGACGAGTCGGGCGACAACACGGACGATGATTCTTCCTCAAAAATGACTTCGCAAGACAGCAGGTCGCCCAACGACTTGACATCCAAGCAGTCCAACTTGAGTTCCTATTCCAGCACTTCATCCATCAGTTCACTTAAGGGAAAATCGCACATGGATCCTATACATCCCACTGCGATCCGTCAGCACAGCACCATCAGCTCGCAAGTTAGGGCGATGACTGAGCAGAGTTGGCCCCAATCGCAGAAAAGTATGCCAATGCGTTTGCCTCGATGCATCCACTATTGTTATTATAAAGATTTTATTATTAAAGATATTCCGTAAACTCTCTCATTTTTTAAAATACATTAAAAACAACAAGACTTTCGCTCTGTAGCTTTGACCGGACCTCCTGCGTCATTGGCAGAACAGCTAAAGCAGGTTTTGGCCGAGCGAGAAAAGCGGCTTGGCGGAAACGACTCCTCGAGGGAGAGCTCTGGAGACTTTAGTGATCTCAACAATCCTCATAATAACGATCCAACTATGGTTACGCATCATCTCGTGGAGGAGATACGACAAGCTGTTAACGAGGCTAATCAAAGAGGTAGGTAAAAATACGCACTGAAATGAAATAAAATTGAAGAAAGTTAATTTATTTATCATCAAATGCAATAACCACAATGTCGGTTTATCATGATAAATTAAACTTGCTGTATTTCTAGTGAAAAAGGTATCGATTCCTCCATCGAATTTGATCGGTAGCGGAAGTGCCCCGTGGCATCATCCAGGAAGTTCTCCTTCGAGTTTGTCTTCCGGCGGTTCTGTGAGTCCTCCCGGTGTTGATCCTAGTCCTTTAAAAGCCGGCGGCGTCGTAGGTACTTGAAAAACTTTACGTGTTCATGTTTGTGTCAGCACTAACGCTTCGATCACTCGGTCAGGAATTAAAATCAAAAGATTTAGATTGAAATGAAGAACTTTCAAGAACAAATTTCCGTCAATTCCTTTTAATTAGCCTCAGCCCAGTTAATAATAACTTTATCTAATGATTATTTTGCTTTATTCGCTTAAATTTGCTTAAACTTTAAACGCATGATTTTTTATCAGTGTCTTTTTTTTTTTTATGAAAGCTTTAAAACATTTAACATAATAATTATTTAACAAAATATAAAATATGCTAACATTTATAGTACGGATAATGATTAATTACTGATGGAGTGATTACTAATAGCGTGATAAGATTTTCACACCTTATACTTACTTTCCATCCTGCATGCATTATCAATATAGATTCGAGCACAGTTTGGTTGCCCGCTCACCTAAGCGACTTTGGTTTAGGTGACAAGAAGTCCCACTTTTGGCAGAATGCACCAGTTGCAGATTGGTCCAAGGAACAAGTGAGTATTTCAGTTGATTGATCTGAGAAAAGTTAATTTGCAATTAAAAAACTTATTTTTCCACAAATCTTTTTAAACATATATCTTTAAAAGATGAGGATTATATGTCAGAGAGCTTTTGAAATAACTTAATATTAAATTATTTCCTCTGTTTCCATTCCTCGCTACAATAAAAACTTTAAAGACAAAGGCAATTTTTTGCTTTTTTATTTTTAGTAGCTCATATTTTTCTAAAAGTAAGACTGTCTTTTCAGGTGTGCCAATGGCTGACGGGAATTGGTTTAGAACAATACTCGTCTCAATTTTTGGATAATGGCATTAATGGAAATAACCTGTTGCGTTTGGATTCGAGAGATTTGAAGACTTTAGGGGTTTGCGACCCCGCTAAAAGTTATCTGAAACGCAAACTGAAGGAGTTAAGAGCGCAGGCTGATCGCGAGCGCAAGGAGCGTAAGGAACTCGAGCGAATGCGACGGAAAGCAGAGAAAGCCGCGCGGAAAAAGTAGCCTGCAAATAAATTAGATGCGTTCAATATCATTTAGACCCCCGGTAAGTTAATGCGGATTTTTTGGGCGCGAAGTGTACCGGGTATCTCGAAAGAGGTAAGGAGGAATTAATAATGGGAATTTTATTTGGACTCTATCGGGAAGCCGTCGAGAATATTTGTCGAGAAAAATTGAAAAGCAAATTTCCCGTGTGAAGATTAGAAAGAAGTTTGCCAAAGAGATAAATATTGGAACTAGAAATGACGCCGTCCATTTCATACAGGGTGTCGCCTAGAAAACTGTATAAATCCCTAAAATAGGAGTGTCATGTTCAAGATGAACGAATTTTATGTAAGCATATCTTCTGAATTACGCTTTCTTTTCACATATACAATTGCTTCTTTGGGCCTTTTTTTCTCTTCTTTTACTATTTTTACTATTTTTAATATATTTCATTAATTTCGGACAATGATAAAAATCATGATTATAAACAATTTTATATTTGTAATTGATATTATAATTATTTCAAATAATTCTTAATGATATTTGTGTGAAATAATAGTATTAAATATATAGTATTAATGAAAAAAATTACTTATGCGTATTTAATTATGATTATGTGAATTATTTGAAATAACTAATAATAACGATCGAATAATGATTCTTCATAAACATTTTAGTATTATTACTAGGAATTAATCTCAATTGAAAGGATTATTGTTTTAATAATTAATTGCTATTTTTGATAAATTTTTAAATTAATTTCAATAAAACGAGTAGCTATTAATCTTACGACTAATTTTTATTATTTTCTAATAAATGGAAGCACATGATAACTTAAAATAACTCCTATAATCGAAGTTATTATGATTTATTCCTAATACTAATAACTTAGATTGCGCCTCCTTAGGACACCCAGTATATTCATGGCGTTTCCTTCGAGATACTCCGCTTCCGTTCAATTATGATCTGTTTCCTTGAAAGAGGCCCATGTATTGCGCCTCCGCATTTACTTGTTGTCGCCATACTTATATTGTCGCTATATTAAGTATTTTTTTCCTCAGTTATTAATACTATTTAAAAGTGTGTGTGCGAGCGAGCGCGTATGTTTGTGCGTGTGTACGAATGCGTGTAAAAATTCTAGCAATTCAGCTAAACGGTCGCGTTCTAACTGTGCGTATAAGTTAGCGGCTGCTCGATTTTCGCTCTAACAAACGCTGTTCTTTTATGGGGGGGGGGGGGGGGGGGATAAAATCGTGAGCCGCTTTACTAATTCTAGATGGGTCATCTAGAACGCGATAAAATGTGTAATAAAACATCGTGTACGTACACTCTTTTGTAATTGTATATGTACGTATATATAGTATACATAATTATATATATAGGAGCATATAAGGATTATTCCGATATTTATTTCTACGATCGCGTTTAACGGCGCTTTTTCCACGATTAAGGATCGACTTTTCAAGTAGACGTTCAAACGTCTTTTTTGTCGTCTTCTTCAATTTTATATATAAACAATGCGTCGTCAATTATTAATTAATTATTAATTACGCGTTAAAGGTACGTCTCTGATCAATTACGGTGGACTTCTACTGTTGAAACTCTTTAAATTTTTGTAATCGCCAATGTCTAGTAGTCATAAATGAATTTATTGTTTGTTGAATAATTATAGCGTTTTTTTTTTATGATTGGGAAAAAATAATGGACCATTTTGTAGAAGTTTAGAGGGTGAAAGTATCCAGTGCGCTTAAGACCACCGAACGGTTTTTATATCCCGCGTACTTTATATCAATAATTATATATACATACAATTTATCGATAAAATATATACACAACACACAATATTAACATTTTTTAATAATAGATATTAAATATAAGCATATATCGTTTAATCAATGTTTTTTTTTTTTTTTATAATTAAATCTTAAATTAAAGTTGATGTTGAATATGAATTTGAATATTAACAAATATTAACAAATGTTTTAATATTGAGTAATAAAGAGTAATATTTGAAATATAATTAATATTTATAATATGAAAAAGTATGAAAAATTGCAATTTATAGTAGCAATATACTATAATATTTTTCTCGTATTCAATACCATATCGTCGTATTCTCTGCGATTAAGATTTTCCATAATAAATATTACGTTGCGTTCAACCAACTGCTGTATCAACTTGAGCCGAAAGGAAGGGACGAAGTTGATCAGAGACAGCCTGTACTTTGCAAACTTGCTATAATTACTTTGTATAAGAGTACACTTCTTCGTAATTTATACTTATTCACTCCAAATTTGCTCAAAGCAAGCAATCCTTCACGCACCGTGTCAGATATATCGAGAGACTTGCATTCTCCGCTCCCTTGTTTCTCACAGAATTTGTCAAACGCTCGCAAAAAGGGATGAGCCCATCGTTGAGCCATCGCGAATCGAGCCGCTGTAAATTCTGCGACAGAATCCAATAACATTCCACATCGGATAGAACGAAAGCCGAGCTACGCTTTCCCACACGAGAGGGAAAGCGAGGATGCAAACGACTACGAAACGGACGCTCTGCGAGCGAGAGCAGAGAGAGAGAGAGAGAGAGCCGCGCTGAACGCGAGGAACGAGCGTACTTATTTATAGTAACGTTGAAACATTTTTTCGCGCTCCATTTTGAACATTTCAAAACGCCTCGTCGCGAGTAGTCGGAAATGTTGAACTTCGGGGCGTGTAGCGTGTAAATATACATATGTACTGAGATATGATTAATAACGATGACTGTAACCGGTGAGACGATTAATATGTATGCGTGTTGTGTGTGCGTGCGTTGTGCGAGCTGCGTGAGTCGCGGAGCGACAGAGAGCGATTACAGTGTCATAATGTTACTCCACGAGGCATAGCTCTGAATTTTTGATCGTAAATCCTTATAGAAGTCCTCCATTAGCTGCATTACTTGACGATCGCGACGCGACACTTGTTGTTTTTGTTGTTACACTCACAACGAACTGCGGGAATGAATCGTCCGTGTTTCTTATAAGAATTGTAATATGATATCAGTTGCTATTGATGAAACGTCAGTGGAGCGATCCTCCTGCACTTCGATTATCCATAGCGAAATCTCTTTTGCTTTGCCTTCCTTCGATACTTCCTTAATTATACACTCACTAAAGACTTTTTTTTAGATCTTGAAGTTTGAGGATTTCTTAAGCGTCGAAAACAGACGCCCCGGGATGTCTGGAATCTGAAAGAATCGGACCTTTTCATCCACAGATCTGTGTATTTTTAAATTTTCAGTTTTATTTTAAATTTATTGGTTTTTTAGAACAATTGATTTTTTGGAACGTTGGAATTCCACGTTCTTGAGACTGAATTCTTTCTTTTTGGGTTTGCTAATCTTTTTAATCCTTCAAACTCTACATTTTGTTAACTTGGGATTCTTCGAACCTTGGATCCTTGAATCTCGAAATTTGTGGTATTTTAATTTCTTGTGACTTTAAAAACCAAATTATCCTTTATCTTAAAATATGTAAACTCTTGTTATTTTAAAATGTTTTAGTTGACCAGCGATTTGCTTCAGTCTTGATTGATTACATCCCTTAGTTCTCCAGCTGTTACATTCAGATCGCATCCTTTCACTCTTCGATTTTTGAATCCTCAAGTCCTGAATGTGTTTCCGTTCCTTAAGGACCTTTCACAAAACTGACTGAATTATCATAAGTTATATAGCCAATTTTCAACGAATCACTTAGCCACGTAACTACGAGAAGCGCCTCACACACGATCTGATTAATCGCAGAAATCGAGGTAGAAGCTTTTAAAAAAATCTTGCCATTTCTCCTTGATCATGTTGCTCGATTGTTTGACAGTCCTTAGCAATTGTATAATCAAGAGGATAAAATATTTCTCAATGAAATTAAGAACCACTCGTAATTGGTGGTCAAAATGACGAAGTACAAATTGATTATGTAACCTTGCGAAAAATAATCGTAGAGTTATATTTAAAGAAATATTTGAGAGGTTTCGGAGCCTTCAGACTGAGGCTTTAAAATGCTTTTCTTGAATATCGCTCTATGACATTTGTTCGCGAAGATATATAAATCTCGTATTTCGTTAAACTTCCTATCGACTTCTAGTGGTACCTCGATTTTGTTGGAGATGTATTTAAACTCGCGTATTGCTAGAGCAATGAATAATTTGACATGATTAGTCGTGAATGGCAAATACGTTTGATTTCATATCACAAGTACTTTTAAGCTTCATAATATATTGATAACATTTTTTCCCAAAAACGTTATCATGCACTTTTCGTACTCGCTTTTGTCAGATCGCGTGTGACTTGAATCATGTACACGTTTCCATTGATTTGGGATTATTGTTCATAAGGGGAAAGACGATTGAAGCGATAGAGAGGTGATCATGGAGGTACATGCGGAATGTGGTGGCAGCTTTTTAATATGTCTACGAAAAGTATTGTCAAACAAATACTCTTGAACGTTTTAATTAAAGGTAATTCGTACAGTACATAAAATTTGAATTTTATTCTTTACCTTTAATATTTAACGTAAGAATAATGCAAATTTTTCGACAATTTTTTCGCTCAAAAATATATATTTATCATGTTATTGTTATTAAATTATTATGATCAATCTGCAATTTGCATATGTGTTCTTTGCGGTTGCTTAGATATGTTTGTTTGATCGATATTTTACCTAGCGCTATATAAGAGTTTTACAACGAACAAGAACGGAAGTTGTGTCGATTCGAATGAATTGTTTGTGATAATCTAAATTCAGATTATGGCGATAGTTATTAAAGATTATCAATGGCGACAGACGGAGAAAAGAATAATAATTCACGTCCCTCTAAAAGGTCGCCCTAAAAATGTGGATTTATTCGTTATGGACAACTACGTAAAGGTATTTTTGAATTTTTTCCTTAACGTTTAAAACAATATTTTTAAACTTGAATAATTTGGATATTTTCCCTTTCCCTTTCCTTTATATCGATTGTTTAATTTAATCACATTGTATTGCATTAATTGATATATTTAAAATACAACACTTACAGTCACAATCAAGGAAACCTAAGAAAGATTTTTTTACATGTCTTTCTTGTATTATACATATTTTTTGTATTATACATATCTATACATAGGAGGATTTGATGTTCGAAAATAATAATTTTAATAACTTTTGAAAGTTGTACATAATTTTTAATTAAGAAACGATTGATATATTAAAATATGCATGAGCATCTGGGGATGCAATACTCGAAATAATAATCGATTTTTATTGAAGATTAGCTTTCCACCCTTTATTTTGGAATTATTTCTGTGGGAAAACGTACTTGAAGAGGAGAGTGAATGTACTTTGACAGATACCGAAGCTGTCTTCTCTTTACAAAAAGTTAGCATGACTATCAAATGGCCGAGTCTCGAGGTGGAAAACATTAGCAAGAGTGAAAAATGTCATACTAGAAACCGCATTTTAGAAAAAGCACAAAGTGTTTTGGAAAATCGTGCAAAACTTAAAAAGGGTAAGAATTGTTAATAATATGAACAGATGAGAAAATTTCTGTTTTTAAACTATGAATAGAATAATTAATGAGACGGAAAGGTATAATTATTAATATTTATATTTTATATACATCTAAAATTATGTACATAATTGTATAATAATAAAATAATAAAATAAATTATATATATAAAATTAATTATATATATAATTTCGTAAGTCAGTGAAATCGCGAGAAGGGTTAAAAATAGAACATTAAAAGACTACAGTTTTACTTAAAAGATGAAGTTGATACGCGTCATTATGCTCTAGAGAAACTTCAACATTTGCAAAAAGAAGCAGTAAAAATACAGGTCAATTTGGATACTGATACGCTAAATAAAATAGAGGCCTTGAGAAACTGTCATCGGAAAACTGCGATGCAGGATTTCGAAGAATGGCGATCAAATGCAGAAATGCCGATTCTCCAGGATATTTCCGGCAAAGTGCAAGAGAATAGGAAGGCATATAGGTATATTGTTTTAAAGAGAGATAGACGATTAAAGATATTTCAGAGAGTATGACAAAAGAATAATATGTCAAAAGAATGTAATTCTGTAGAAAAATTTAATTTGACTATTTTGTGTTTAATCGAAGACTTTTTCTGGAAGGCCTCCACTTAAATGGTTCAAGGATGATCTTGATATCATACAATCTCGGGAAATTGACAAGAAAGGAGGGAAAGAAGAATCAATAGTTATAGAAGAATTAAAGGAAGATCTAATTGTTAAAGAAAATACGAATAAACACTTAGTTACCGAAAAAAATCTGAAAGAAAAATTAGTTAATGAAAAAAAACTGAAAGAAGATTTAGATATTAAAGAAAATCCAGAAAGTGTATCAACAATTAAAGAACATCTGAAAACAGAATCAATCGGTCAAACAATGTTAAAGGAAGATACAACTCTCAACGAAAATACCGGAAAAGAAGCGGATGTAAAGATAAAGGAGACAACGAAAAATCTGAACAACAAAAAATCTAATATTAATTTTGAAGAATGCTCCAGTTGTTCCGAGGATTCCGAATCAGATGACGAGATTACGTCTTCTAAGTCTTCAACAAATTCTTTAGTTAAGGAAATGGATAAGAAATCTCTGCAAAAGTTCTATAGAAAAATGAAGAAGCAAAGACCAGACCAGGATTTGATTGATAGGATACTGAAGGATCGATATCCCAAAATAAATCAAATATTCGATGAACCCACAAAAGCAATTCCACTTCCTAGAAAAAGTGGAACGATCAATGTTACCTTCTCCGAACGGGCTTTTCCTACGCCGGCTAGAGAGAGCGCCTTCGTGGAAGAACAGGAAGTACGTGTATCTTTAATTATAAGTTTTACGATAAATATTTCTTGCTAAGAATTTTACAAAGAATTAATTTTTTTGCGAAAAAAGTGATAGAAATAAATTTCTTTTCAGTGAAAACTTGCTAGAAATTTATTTCGTCTTACAATTAGAGGAAACTCGATCAGCATTAATTCTTTTTAATTATTTCCAGCTTTGAACTTGAAGTTTTAGATCGATTATATACAATTTTTAATACACATATAATTTCATGTGCAGTTTATTTTTTTAGTGGCTTTCCAAGCAAGCAGAAGCTAGAAGGAAAACGGGATTTGTTGTCGAGAATCTCCGTCCTGAAGAACAGGATCCGCAATGGCTGAAAGACAAGGGCGAGTACGTTATCAAAATAAGTACTATTTGTCACATATTTTTCCATGTTTAAATTAATTTTGATTATTAATTATTTGGTATTACAGTGATTTCTTCAAAGCCGGGAATTATTTAGCTGCCATCAGTGCATATACACATGGTATCAAAATCAGCGATAAAATGGCGGCACTTTATGTGAACAGATCTGCCGCACATTACGCCCTTGGAAATTATTATAGGTGTATTGATGATTGTTCTAAGGTAATGTGTGTGTGGGTGTGTGTGAGAATTAAAATCAATATGTACATTCTACATATTCTCTAGAAATATTTCTTACATTTCGAAAGAATTTTAAGAGACATAGAAAATATAAGAGAATGTCAAAATAAAAGAAATATATATGTGCATAATAGATTAAATATAATAAAAAGTCAAAAATTATATATATATAAAATAGAAATAATTAAAAATAGATAAAATTGAAAATAAAATAAAAATACAATATAAAATTCATTACATATTATATATATATATATATATATATATATATATATGAATTAAGTTTTAAAATAAAAGATATAAAATAGAAAAAGAATCTTTAAATATCTGATTGATTTAAATACAAAGTATATGGGAAAGCTGCAGCTATATATTAGAAAAGAGACTTTTTTTCCATAGGTACTGGAGCTAATGGAACCAAAGTGCGAAAGCAACAAAATATCGCGAGCGAGGTGTCATGCTCGTCGTGGTGCTGCGCTTTGTAAATTATCCGCGCCGCAGCATGGCATCCCCGAACTGGAAGCTGCCCTGAAGCTAGATCCAGATAACAAGAGCATTAAACACGATCTCTATGCCGCTAGACAATATTTTAGTATGAAAGAATGAATGAAAGGAAGGCCGGGATTAATTTTCTAAAATTTCCCCCCTGTAGAAATTTTAGGAACGTTTCAATTTATATGTTTATTTATTTTCCATTATCCATACTAATAAGTTGATGTATATAAAATACACACAAGTAATTAAAATACAGTAAAATATGCAAAATTATTTCTTAATCTACATAAAAAAAGTATTGCTTCTCATATATTTATCATAGTAATTTTTTAAATACGATCTAAACGATAGTTCACTAGTGCAATCTAACATAATCTAATCTAATTTAATCGAGATCTACGATTCTAAAATAGAAAATTAAATACGTTCCAAAATATATTTAGAATAAAGATTTGAAATATATATGCATATGTAATTATTTTAGATTTTTCACCCAAACTTGGTAGAATAAGTAGAAATTGATAAGAATTAAAGAAGAAACGGTCATTCTTTATCTCTTCTTCAATTTCGAGAAAGAGGAGTTCTCCTTTGAGAAAATAAAATTCTAATCTTCCAAATAAAATCGTCATCATTTTAAGTCAACATTTATCTATATTAGGTTGGTTGAAAAGACAGATTTAAAAAAGTATTTTTCTTGTTTAAAATCTGGAGTTCTTCATGGGCAGAATTTTATCCATGCAGGCGCACTTGGTATGCTCCACAGCATGGATAACTTCATGGTGACGGTCTCGTTGTTGATCAATGCGATGTCTGACCATGAAAACGAGGCTGACGTTCCTGGTCTCGATCGGAGCGCAAATCTGTTTGGGATCAGGACAGCATCCCGATCCAGTGCAGCGTGTCAGAACTGTGGATGCAGGATAAAAAGCTTCGTCAGGCCCAAGACCCATGGTCAAGAGATCTTCTACTGCGATTGCCCTTGGTTGGGGCAACGAACATTGAAATTGATGCACCAGCTGTACGTGGCTCAAAAAATCACTGTCCCTATATTGAACGAGAAGAATGCACAAAAATGAAGGAATGAAAAGAAAGGAAGGCTAATGAAATAAAAATTAAGAGCCAAAGGGGAAAACAATGAAAAACAAGAAATTAAGGAACGAAGAACATACAAAATAAAAAATAAGTCAAAAAGAAAAATCTGATGAATGACCGTTTTGTTAACGAAACTGACAAATCTGACTACATATTATTCTCTCACCTGTGATGCCTGCCAACAACAGTTAATGCAAATTGAATGCAGATTATCAACAACAACACTTTCTTCATCTTCGTGACTCTCGAAGTGAGCTTTCACAAGTTGTTTGCCGCAGCTTTTAAATAAATGTTAATCAGCAAATTTATCAATAATCACTGTAATATATATTTGTAAAACAAAACACACTATTATTGAACTGATCAACAAATGTTGCTCGATAAAACTAAATTTTCTTGATTGGTAATCACAGTATTTCGCAAATGCGGTTTAATTTGTCTCATCAATAATTATATATTCTTTCAAGAGAACCGAATAGTTTTATTAGTAAAACAGTCTTTTTTTAATTAAACGGATTAAAACGGAATGCTAGAACTTTATATATTAAAAGTCCTTGATCTCTGGAACTTTAAAATCTTTTTCACTCTGGATTGAAGAGTAAAAAAAGTAAAGAAAAAATCCAAGAAAGTAAAAATATTCAAATTTTCTTCAAATCAAGAAGAGATTTAATCCTCTTTTTCAGCCAGTTTCAAATATTTTGATCTCAAATAAATTAATCTTTACACTTCCGTCATTCTCTTCTTTCAGCCAACTTCAAATCTTATTTCCAGAAATATCTCTTCTTGGCTTCAGAAACATTTAGATAATTTAATAAATTTAATACGTAATTGATTTTTTTCCAAAGTTTACTACGATCTTCTCTTCGAGCTTCACACTGTTTGCACCGAGAAGATCTACTGCCACTACCGCCAAGTTCTGCGATCAGAATTCTTTCATTCTGTATATACGTAACTGTTATCCAGCTTTTCCCTCACCCTCGTTCTCCCTTCTCCGATTTCTTCCCTCTCGTTACCACTTGCTCTTCGATTTTTCTCAGCGCAGAGGTCTTCCTCCGGATTCCCGGTAAGAGGAGAGAGAATTTGAGGAGGGATCAATCTATCCGTTCCGAGAAGCTCTTCGAAATAACCGTAATTACTAAGAGTGCTTCGCGTGACTTTTCTCCTTCTTGCTTCATTTCCTTCATCTTCTGAGTGCTTTCTTCTTCCTGTTCTCTTTCCTCGATCTTTAACTGGCCACCTGGTTTGAGATGCAGGAGTTCGAGGAGCACCGTGAAACAAACTGAAGAAGTCACGTTTTTAAGTTTAAAGTTAATCAAAGATCTTAAATCATAGAGATTATAAGAATTGATATTGCAATTTACAATATTAAAGCTGCAAAATTGCATTGCAATATTTTTAACATAAAGTATTAAATAAGACTAAAGTTTCAGTAATTAAATTGACGACACGACTTATTTTACACCGCTTAAAATTATATATCTTATATGCTCATTTTTATGTTGTAGAATGTAAAAATATAAGCAAATATACTTTGCAAGAACACATTTTATGTTAAATATTCCAATGCTCCAGATCTCTTAAGCGGCATAATTAAAATTTGATTGACTTTTAAATTAATTATTCCAGAGAAAATTTACCAAAGAACTCTTAAAACACGAATCTAATATGTTTACTATAATAAAATGTAAAGAAATAAACACATAAAATTTAATATTGTTTTTTATGTGTGAAGAATAATTTTTTATTATTTATTTTTTATTTAATGGAGATAAGAAGAAAAGCACACATTGCTATTCATACACGACACAATCACAAAAAGGAACTAAAAATATCATTCATTTCCACGAAAGGGAATTACCTATCGATCGGTATAGCGGCTTATGCTAAGATGATCTATTGCAGCAATATACCTACATAAGCGTCTACGTCGCGTCTAGCCGAGCATTATAGAGACTCATTCCTTATTTCCATAAGAACTGTACGTGATTTCCCCGCTGTCATTTAATAGATCGATAAATAAGCAGAAAAATTATAGAAGGTTTTGGCAAATATAATTACAGAGCTTATACTTAATTGATTTTATCATTATACATATATTATATATAAAAAATAAATTTACTTTAGAAATTTTTACGCAAAACAAATGTATAAATATAACAATAAATAAATAAACAGTAAATATAAATATAAATATTAAATTTTATGCTGTTATGAATAGGCAAAAGCAGAGAATGCGAAATATCCTTAAATATAATTTATTGCCTCCTACTTATCTGCAAGTAGATATATGTTATAATAAGCTGTGTTTGTAGAAAAAAATTATTAATTATATATTATCTACTATTAAAACTTATATAAATTAAGCGCATTTATAATCATGCGTTTTGTTTGTCTGCCACAATGTGATTTGTGTGTAAAATATGCGAAACTTATAAGTTTAACCAAATACGACGATTATCTCAACGAGATGAGTTATTCGTCATCATGCACAATAACTCGAACTAAGGAAGTCCGAAAGATTAAAATTCCTTACGCAAATTAGGCGAGAGATTGGACAAGAATGAGTCATCGAAAGCCATGACGGAATTCGTACCGCTTTGGCGATCATATATATTTCACAGATCGTGTCATCATAGAGAAAGTGATTCATGGTATAAATTTAATATGATATCTCTATATGCAGTGTAAATCGATATATTTTATTTCTTTCTTTTTTAAATTAAATTCTTTTTTAAAATTATACTTTAGGTACTGTATTAAAATATACATCTCGAATAAATTGGAACTATAGCAACATTCTTGAGATATTTATTCTCGAAGAATAACTATTTTAAAGCATAGAAATTACAAAGTTGGCAGTCTAGTATATAATATAGATGCAATGTGGACCTGCACAGAAGGAGTATTCATTCGATCACTAAACCGCATGTCCCAACATTTGTTCTCTTTCACGATTTTTTTCATTTTACACAGAGAAGATCAAGTCTGCTTTGTTGATAAACGCAGTAAGTAGTACCTATAACAATGGATAGAAATTAGTTTTTCTGATTAATTTTTTGATTCAGTTCCGAGTTAAATTTCCGGTAATTCTCCTTATTCACTGTGTGATCCTTTGTTCGACTTATCGTTAGATCGCTGTCCTAATCTGTATCAAAAAATGAGATAAAAGATACATTAAATAAATTAAAAAATACATTTTGAAAGATTTTAGTCACTTAGTAGCGTAAGTGTAGCAAACGTAAGCAATTTAAATTTTGCAATTTTTTTCTTTAGTGTTCGTGCACGCGTGTATGCCGTATGTTTTTCTCCCACGTGGTAAAACACTCTACCATACGTGGTGGAACACACTACAACGTTTATCGGAAAATAAAATAAGAGATACATTTTTTTTTAATGAGATAAATAATATATTTCGGAAAATCTTAAGCCTGTTCTACAAAAGCCGTAAGAGTATGCGGTAAGACGTAAGCAGTAAAAATTGATCAACTACATTTTCTTGGATTGTAAAAATCTTATTATAGTCAATATCAATATATATAGCTTACTGCTTATACGTCTTACATTTACTCTTACGACTATTGTAGAATGAAACTTTCTTGTCATTCAAAAATTAAGCGTAAGTAAAAAAAATGCGGACAATCTGAATTTTGTAATATTTTTGGTTTTTCTTTTGTGCTCGTGCACGTGTGCCATGAGGTGGTAGAAGAGCACAGAGCTCGCGATATTTCAGATTTATAAAAAAACATTTTTCTATAAAAATAACTGTAAAATACATAACTGTTATGATTAATGATAGCCATCAATTAAGTCTACGAGTCACTTGCACTTACCATAGAAAAATCTGAATGGGGGCTTTTACATTGCGAGTTCATTATAACGCATTAATCATTTCGTGTAATTATAAACTAGGCTTTATCATGTTTTATTTCTGGAATAGGAGCCTAGTCAATGGGTTGCGTAAGCCATAAGGATAAAAGGAATTAAGTTCCGTCTGCGATGAGTATATCGAGCAATTACGTTGGCAAATACGTCATTCTTACGTATAACGAGTAATAATGAATGACTTGACAATACGAAAACTTGGATTTCTCGTAAAAATTCTAATTGAATCCAAAGTAGTAGACCTCCTTCAGAACAATTTAAGACTCGATCAAGAATAGTGCGAAAGATATTATACGTCCGTAAATTATATATCTAAAGAATCTTCAAAATATTAGAACCTCTTTCTTTATAGTTTAGGTACCTATCTGTAAAATTTCGAGTTCTCTCTATGTTCGAGATAGCGATATAATATAAAAGAAATAAAGTAGACTAATTCAAAACTTGAAAAATTAATTTAAAAATTTACGCGGTATCTAAAGAGACATTTAAAGAATGTTTTAAAAAAATTAAAACGTCTTATTTTAACCGTCTATTATACGTTTACAAATGACTAAAATTTCTAATTCAACAAATTCCTTATCTATAATATTTAACATCTAACATCGATATGTATTTTTATTGTAAGTGTTCGGCGACATGATTTAAAAGCGATTTGAAAGACAAATGCTTATCTGTTGCAAACGCGTATGTAATAAATGTGCAGGATAATATGCAGAAAACCATTCACGTTCTGAATGACGTCAGTAATAAGGGAACTCCCGACGAAGGAAAGAAGGTATCTTCGGCTTGGTGTTCCCACCAGTTCCCATATGCGTCACAGCACGGGCAATGATGTTTAAAACCTTTCACAACGGGTGCAAAATTATCTGGCACGGATGAAATCACAAAACTTGTACATCTGCATTGTACATTAATATTTATGTAAAAAAATAATATATACAATCCACTTATAAATTAAATATATATTTAAATAAGGAATAATATACATATACTAAAATAAAAGTACTCATGTGTATATTAAACCTTGATAATACAAAATTAAATAGATACATTTCTGCTATTTTTTGATAATTTTTATCACTTATTTATAAAAATAATATCAATAAAAATAATAAAATATAACAAATTTTTATTATTATTATCAAATACGAATTGAGTAAAGTTCATTGCCAAAGAATTTGAGAGAGAGGGAAGAAGGAAGAGACAAAGAGAGAAAGGACTATGTATGTACATGTTCGAAATTCTTCAATAATGTATGTACATACATAAATTGATAAAATAACGATGCTGTGAACACATGGTTTGGCACGTGGCCATATAATTTCTGATAGAGGCGCCTGTGCAACAAGAAACTCTTGGGCGCCGCACCGCACACATATAATTAGCCAAGCAATAGAAATCTTAGAGGAACTACGATGACAATCAGAAATATTAGATTCACTGGAAATACATTGATTTCATCTGAATCATCTATCGAGATTAGTTCCCGAGAAAAAGAAAGAAGGAAAAGGAAGGAATTCTTCAATTGTAAAATAAATTCCAAGATTAGAGATCTCATCGTACAGAAAATAACTTGAACTTGACTTTAACGTGATGTGAGAAATATTGTACAAAAATAGCATAACAACTTATAAACACCTATGTAATTTAAGCTTGATATAATAATTTGTAAAATAATTTTACATTTAACATACTCACTTATGTAATTTTAGTTATGTAAACGCATATTAAGTAAGAAGTATAATATTGCTCATTTATTAATGCAGCCTGCAATTTGCATTAATGTAATTTGCTTACTAATTATTAATCCAGTTTTCAAACTACTTCTCTGATACGACCTTGACGGAATCTTGTAGACAAAAGCTGTGTTGCAAGAGACAGATGTAATTGCATGTTGATAGTCGTTAATAGTTGATTTGCGTAAAAAAAAGCTTTTAACATTCAAATATATCATTTCTATTCCGATGTACTAGAAATCATTACTAAGAAAATAAACGTGATTAATATCCATATTTCTGCAATTTGGTTATTCACCTGTCAAGATGACGCATGTGGTCGTTATCATGTTCTGATTTCTTAAGAATTTGTATTTATCTGATTAAAAAAGTTTAAATCAATAAATATTGGAAAAGAGAGAGAGAGATAAAAATATTAAATTTTAAGTTAATTTCACCGATGTGATAAGTAAAATTTGCAATCTCCTGTTAAGGAAAATACAATTATGTTACTTACTGTTGACAAATTCTAAGGAACAAAAGCTAGGGAATTATATAGCATTGCAATGTGTTTACTCTAACATTCTAACTCTAGCGTAAATAGCAATTTCCACGAAAACAAATAGTTACGCTTTTTCCGTGTGAAACGAAGAAAAGGGCATTTTACGATTCGTAGAAGTCAGCAAATCCGCAACCGAAATAATCGAGATAATCATCGTTCGCGAGATGATCTTGTCTTCGTCGCTAGAAACGCTCGGCCGCGAAAAGTGACTTTCAGCGTGACCATCCGCGTATAAAAACGCCGCAGTCGTTTAAACGAATCGACGTCGCACGAATAATTCGCCATAACAATTAATTTCCCGTAATAAATAAATAAAAAATCGAACTTTCCCTTGTTACTTGACTCGTCCATTGTGAAAATGTAAAATTATTCTTTTTTTATGAATTATTATGTTATATCGTCGAATCAACTCACTATCGTCATCGTGATTGTGACCACTTTATCATTTATCATTATTAAAACAATACATTATTGAAACAAATTTTTATATTTTCTTTTCTTTTCAAAATCACACATCCAATAAATCTCAGACATTCATATGTCTCAAATTCACTGGAAATTCTTTTCATAACAGATTTTCAGTGTAGATTTTCCAAAAATGTCGAGAGTCAATCGTTTTTGAGTTATAATAAGTGATACAAAAGCAGTGATTGAAAACAAAAATCTTTCCACAAATTAAATTTTAGAGAATTAAGAAAATTATATTTTTGAGTTAATTTCAAATAAAGTTTATTTTATAAAAGATTTTTAAAATATAATAATAAAAATGTATTGCAAAAAAATTGGAAAGTTGTAATAAATGGCCATTTTTAATTTTCCTCAAGAAATAAAATATTGATTTAAATTGATTAAGTAATTTATCATTAAAAACCATTCAATGGTTTCATAACAAATTTTATAGAAAATATTGATACTAAAAATATCAATTATAGATACCAAAATATTTGCCATCGTGTTATTTTATTCTCTTATATTATTGCATTATAACAATATTAATACCTGACAATCTCATTACCGGCTGTGACAATTAGCATTCAAACTGCGCAAAGGGTTAAACAACATACCGGCACAAATGGTTGCACAATAAAGCGGAATCATCGCGGAAGGCACGCGCGATCCGGACTTTACGCGTGTTCTCGCATGAGGCATGCGTGCAAGCTCTTCGATATATAAATACTCGTGTGTCAGTGGGAAAATCTCAGTCGACCGATACTTGGTGTCTGTATACTTGCTCTTCTTTCCCGTTCACTGAGCTACCTTTATATTCAAAAACCAGAAGTTCGCCACGTGGTTTCCTTGCTTCTAAAAAAAAGAAGTTTCGGAAATAGAAAAAAAAGAGAAAAAGGCACTTTACCTTAAAGGGAATCCGTCAAGTTTATCGTGCCATGGCACATATCCTTTTTCTTTAAAAAAAAAGACGACACGAAGAAAAATTCATAAAGCGAAGAAAATCTAAGAAGATAGTGATTAATAAAGCGAAAAAAAATTTCAAGAAGAAAGAGGATTTTTCATCTTTTCGACAGCGTGGCGATTTTATCCTTAAAAAGATCCACGTCGAAAAGAAAGCACAGCAGGAAGAATTTTTTACCCTTTCTGTGTTATTAATATCTTCAGTTTCACTGAGCTAGTGATCCTGTGTAATTTAATTCTTGATCGAAAGATTCAATGGAATCGAGACTTGGCAAGTTCAGTGATCAGTAACGAGTACATTTGTTGCGGCCAGAAATCACTGATCGATCCAGTGATCGAGTGCGGTTGAGCTTCCGAGTCGGAAATCCATTTGAGCTTGGGCTTCGAGTCCGCGTGATTTCGCTTTTGGGGAAGACCGGCTAGAACCGTGCGCGACGATGAAAGGCAGACCGAGGGAGTCGCTTTTAAGGCTCTTAATTCTAATCCTAACGGCAGTGGATCAGACAATGGTTACGGCTCATCACGACGGTCATCATCATCGGGCCTCAGGGAGGATTCATCTGCCGCGCGCGATGGAGGCCACTAAGAAGTTCCTCTGCAGAGAACCCCAATCGAGGGCCTACAATCTGAGAGACCTGGTGCACAACATGCAGCCGAGTGAGAGCGTGAATCGGCCGGTGTACATCGTGGTGAAGAAATGCGACAGTCACACGGGCTGTTGCGTCAGTCCCGATCTCAGTTGCGCGCCGGTGCGGTCGTCGATCTATCACGAGGATATGGAGGTCGAGGTCTGGAGTCTGCTGACAAACAGCACGAAGAAAGTGTGGATTAGAATCGAGCAGCACGGCAGATGCAGCTGCGAGATCAGTAGCGCTGGTGAGAGACTTATAGAGGACACTCAGCCACCTAATATACAGATCCTTTGATCCTCGAGGTTCTCGAGCATCAAAACAGAAGACTGCAAGTGGATCGGTCAGCAACCGACTGGATTTGCATCTCGATAGACAACGCTCTGCTGGAAGAAGAATAATGCGGAGTGTCAATTAAAGTCGGTTAATCAAGACTGGAACTAATTTTTTAACATTTTTATTTGTACTTTAATTTTTTTTAAGATCCGTTAAAGTTGTGCGTCAGGACTAGCGCTGACTTGCCCACCAAGAATTTTTTATACTATATGGTGCAACGTTAGAAGAAAAATTGATATAAAGTGCTGATAAATGTTGGTTGATTGTAGTTGAGACTCGGCCAGATTGGATTAGGACGAAGCCTCTTTAGAACTTCAGTTTCGCACTATCTATCCTGTTTACGGCTATGTGACTACGACAGCGAAAGACAAGAAGCGATAAAGTGAAATTAGTTAGCAGACATCATACAGACTTTAATATTTGATTATATTACTATGCAAATTATTTTAATTAATAAACCTAATTAATAAATTAAAAACTGGTGAAAAGCTGACGAAGAAAGACTAACTTCGTTAAGTGATTGTGATCGTGATTATGGAGAATTATTGTCATGAAGAATACAAAAATCATTATTTGGATGACTGATAAAAAGTGGAAGCAAACCTTCCAGTGGGTAAATTAATGGATTCAAAGATTTAAGGATCCAATTCCGCGTTTAGTTATTATTATATTTTCACTTGCCTCACAAAATGTGATCGTGAATATTTTTAGACACTTAGGCATACTTTTAACTGACATTGTGATAAGATCATATCAATTTGTAGCGATAATAGCGAAGTTTCGAAGTGTGATATATGTAAAACATCAACTATTCCTTACTTACGTTCGGATTTCACGTTTAATTTTCAACGTGATCTTTATACGAAACTAATAACATCACGTAACTAACAGCCACGTTAAATATAACTTCACTATATATTTTGCTAAGTGCGATACTGTTTATGCGTTGAACGCAGAAGTTTACATTAGTTAAACAAAGTCCAGACGCAGCGGAAATAACTGCGTTTGTATGTAGATACAAAGCTCTATATAATAAGCACATGCCGCAAAGTTATAAGCGAGTACTTTAGAATTCGAAAAAAAAAACTGTTTTGCATCGCAAACGATTTTTTTACAGGTCAACTTCTATAGGTGTAAATAGGCAATAAATTTGTATGATCTTTATTTTATCAATTTATGTATTAAATGAGCGAGATGAAGTGAAAATCACGACTATTATGGCCAATAAGAAGAAGCGTTTTTACAATTTAGTCCACAACACAGTATTTTGATACCAGTTTTAAATTTAGCGCAATTTAAAAAAATCTAACCGTTTATTTATACTATTATTTATTTATTTATTGAACGGACGATTTGTCAAGGTAGAATAAATAATAAGAGAAAATCGCGATCGGTGTAAGTTGACGCATCGAAAGGGTTCGACAGTATTCTTGTAGTACTTAATTAGCAACTAATGACTCGGATTATTTAATTTTTGTATTAATTAATTTATATGTCGACTAATTTATGAAAAGCAAAACGACAAAAATGTTTATATAAAAATAAATTGCAGCTTTGACTATTTTTATACTAACCCGTAAGATTTATTTCGTGCTTGTTACCTATTCTTAATCTTTTTAAATGTAAAATTAAGGTTAAATAATTCACTTATTTACTTTCTGTTTTTACTGAATTTTCTCAGATTATTACAATTATCTTCGTAATAAAGAACAACATTGGTTCAACAATTTTTCATCTAAAAAAAAAGTAAGTTTAAAGAAAATATATTAAAATATTTTCTAAAATGTAAAATTCGAAAAATCATTGTAAACTTCATGATTTTTTAAATTTTTTATTTTAAAATCATTATATATATCGATATATACTAATTCTCTCTATTTGAAAAAATCGACTAGTCCATTTTTCTTTCCACCGATTGGAGAAATGGATGTACAAAGAAATATTGCTGTGATTTTTAAAATAAACTCAGTATAAAAATACGGACAGTATAAATAAGGACAGTATTCATAATCCGATTTTATATTTGTGGTCATCTCAAACGATCTCGAAATGCTATACGGTCAATTTATTGACTGGATGGAATCGTAAGAACCGTGTTAGGACAATATTAAATATAAAATTGAACCACAAATACGGACTCAAGCGAATTTTTCTCCGATAATACCTTCAAACAAATTTTTTACTTCACATTTAATTTCAAATAAAATTTCTTGAAAAGCTAGTGTTAATTTTTACGGCAATAATCTCGTTATTAACTGTATCATTTATTCGCCTGTCTGTCTACGAAAGACAAAAATAGCGAAACAATACGTATTCTCGATTTAGCGCGCAGACGTGCGAAAAGAATTGGACTGACGCCCAAATGAAAGCCGGCGGCGCCGTTATGTCAACGATGTTCACGGACACCTGTTCCGCAAAGTCAAAGAAAAAAAGTATCGCGAATCGAAGTTCCTGAATCGCGTACCAATATATATCGCGTATAAAATTACACAATAATATGTTATTTACTGGAAAATTTAATTTTCCGCATGTCCATTTTAAAAACGGACTTTGGGATCTTCGGTCAAAAGGAACAATCCAACTCAGAAAAGAAATAGAAATCTAACTTTATTTTCTTAAATCTAAAGTTTCTTTGCTTACTTTCTTATAATACTACAAAAAAAATGACAAAACTTGCAATCTTTTTCGATTCTCAAACCCACATTAAGAAGAAACGAATGTCTCAATCTTCCTTAAAGAAAGATCTGCTGAAAAAATATGAAAAAAAATGATATAACATTTTCTATACATAAGTTGTCTGCACATGTTCAAAAAATAATTAGGAATGTTAAAGCATTTATTATCTAAATGAATGAATCAGTTTACTGGTGTTTTCCCTTTACTTGCGTTTAACATAAATCGACAATAAAAACTACATAAAATATCTGACGAATAAAAGACGTACATAAGACAGAGAAAATGCTGTGCCGATATTACGAGTATCGGGCATAAGGATATTTCGAGCGCATTCGTCGGCCTCGCGTCCCTCGTCCTCGTCCCCCCTCATTGACGGCTCCTCTAGCCGCGTGTCCTCGCATTACGGGTTGTCCTTCAAAAATAGAGATAACATTTATACACAAAGCATTAGTGAAGAAAGACACAAATTAGACACGTGATATAAATTCATCAATAGTAAAGAGAACGGCAAAATATGCTAATCGTTCATATACATGCATTGAATATTTGAATAGTGAATTATTTGTCTTCTAATTGTAAGTGAAGCAAATGAAAAAGAAAAGAAAAATTTATTACAATATTCAAATAAAAAATTAATGTAATAAAAGATATGAAACAATTTAAAAACCTAATCGCACTACTCGACTCACCTCTACCCGATGAGCTTTCTCCCCATACGATCGGTGTAGGCCTCGCGCCTCTTGCCGCCCTGAAGGGCGACCTAGGCGATCTTCTCACTGTTACTCCTCTGGCATTGTTGGGGTCACCCGCAGCCGCCAAGCTGGCTGCCATTGCCCTCTGGCGAGTGTTACTAGACGGCGATGCCTCCGCTTCGCGGTTCTCCTCTTCAACCTCGTCTTCAACGAGTTCGCTTCCCGCCTCTTCCGTCGCTTCTACTGTGTCCACGGCATCGTCCTCGCCAGATGCCAAAGCCACTGGTTCTTCTCCTCGCTTCTCACCTTCCGAGCTCACTCCTTCGAAAAAAAGAAAAAGAAGCGATAGAATTGTCATTCATACTTGTTTTCTTAAAGACTAAACTCTAATGAATTTGATTAGATTTAATGAGATACCTTCGCTTGGAGTTGCGCTGGATTCTGTAGCCTCAGTTGAACCGCGTTGCTGTTCATCAGTACCGATGATACGAATGCTAGGAATGTTAGGATCCTCGGGATTATCTCCAGAAGTGGCCGTTACGGAAACATGCGTCACAGAGTTTTCTTGATCTTCAGATTGACTGCTACTAGTCTATTGCAATGAGAATTACAAAAAAAATCGTTGAGTAACAGTATTAATGATTAATGTTTCATAAGAAACTGCAATGAAAAATATTGTTCTTTACCGAAGGAGGTAGATCTGCAGCTGGAGAAACTTGAAGAGGTGTCGTGGGAACGCTTCGACCGGTTCCACTGTCTTCCAGTTGGCCCAAGTCTATTCTGTTTTCGTCCAGACTCTCTTGGACAACCTGAACTACAACGGAATTGGTTGAATCAAAGATTCTAGTAGTAGAGCCTGTCGTTGGCGTTGTCAGAGACGGTGTCGAGGAAGCTGTTGTAGGTGCCGAGGGGTCTCCAAAAGTAAATCGACCTTGTGGGACCTGCGGAGAACTCACAGCTTCGCCGAAACCGTCGCGACGGGGAACGAAAAGAGTAGGAGTGCTTGGTACAATACAGTCGTCGCCGCCATCTTCGTAACCTTGTTGTGGCTTTAAGCAGAAAAAAATATCGATAATTTGTAAGACAATGTAAAGTAAATTTTGTAAAATTTAATAATAAAAAAAATAGGGAAAATATTTTGAATACCAACCAGAAGAAGATGTTGCTGTTGTTGCTGCCTGGGCATAGGTGCGATTCCTCTGGGCCTTGCTGTGAAGGACGTAGCAGGTTCTCCAGTCGGTCCAGCGCTACTGATAGCTTCAGATTGTTGCTGGTTTGTAGGAATAATGGCTTGACCTTGTCTAGAGATCTCAACACTAGTGGAATCCTCCTCCATAATAATTTCTACCTCATTATTGTCTCGTTCAACCTCAACTTCTACTTCATAGGGCATTTCTTCTTCTTCCTCTATCTCTTCATACGTATCGTTGTCAAATTCCTCTTCTTCCTGTGCTTGATGGTTGCCTCCACCTTCACCCTCATCACAGTCCACCACTACTACGCAACCTTCTTCTACTTCTTCATCTTGATCCCTCTGACTTGACGTGGGCACCTGAATCGTTATCAATATTAGAAAAAGTCAAAATATTATTTTTGAAACTAAATTGTGGATAAATACTCAATTGTAAATTGTAAATTGTTTATTCTTCTTTCTATCTCCCTATCGTACTATCCTCACCTGATACTCCACTTCCGAAGCGCTGGCGCTCGCAGTAGCGCTAATGTCCTGTCTGCTCCTCTTAGTTTTTGGACTCTGCACCTGCTCTTGACGTCCATGGTCCAATCCTTCGACTATCCCAGAGCCGGAGGCGGTTGAATCTAGGCCTCGTGCTCTCTTGAGTCCCGTGGAAGCTTGAGAAGTACTGACTGACTGCGTAGAGCTGCTTGCCACTGTCTGTTGCTGATCGCTGACAGTGATCTGCTGTTGCTGCTGCTGTTGCTCCACTCTAGGACTCACAAGCGCTACTGTTTGTTGCTGCTGTTGCTGCTGCTGCTGACATTGTTGCTGTTGCGGCTGCAAGTTAAGTGTCTCCGCACCTTCTGGGTCTTCTCTCTGTGTCGATTCCGCCGATTCGCTCAATTGGGGTTGTACCACCAGTTGACGAAGACTGCTAGTTTGTGCACTCTGCGAAGAAGTACTAGTACTTGCCGGCTGGAAGTCAGTTAGGCTGCTAGTCGGCGAGCTCGTCTCCGTAGTATGCACTACCTGTTGTTGCTGCATCTGATGTGGCGCAACCATGACCGGCGCACCAGCTGTAGTCGGTAAGACGGCAGCTGTTCGCGACTGCACCACCACGCTCATTGGTCTAATGCTGGCCAGTGGAGTTTCTGCTCTAGCTGACATTGGCTTAATATTCGCTGTCGGTGGTTCCGTGGTCGCGCTTACCCCACTCACTCCTGACAGCTGTCTCTGGAGTTGAGCAACTCGCTGCAAAAGCGATTCCTTCTCCGCCTGTATCTCCGTCTTCTCGTGCTCCAACCTAGAGATACGACCTTCCATCTGTGATTTTAATGCCACCAATCGTGCGTCGTGGTCCGTATCAGAATCTCCTTGAACTCCGGTACTGCCTCCTACAGAGTCCATTCTATATTTTAGATCCATTAACTCTTTTTCGCAGATTTTCTTTGCTTCAGTTAACTGCATGATTTTCGTTCTGGCGCCCTTAAGGACCTGTTTTGCCCTATCTTCCTTCTCTATACTGGTGCGATTCATGACCTCGATTTCCATTCTTAGATTATCGGCCTCGCTTTGAGCCGCTGCCATTTGACGAGTTACTTCATCTATCTTCGTCGTGAGCTCAATGTTCACTTGACGAAGTTCCTGGCGACCTTCCTCCCGTAGTTGGTCCTCACGCTCTTCCGTTATCACGCTGGGAGCATCCTCGTTTCTGGTTTCTTCATTACGGTTCTTCTCTTCCTCGACGGTTCGAGCGAGTTCCTCAAATTGCGTTTTATACTTCTTGGCTATTTTGCGGATCTGAATTTCCTTGTTTCTGATGTCATTAAGAACGACGTCTTTATCGCCTAATTCCTTTCTGAGAGAAACCAAGTCCTTTGCCTTCGAAGAGGAATCGGCTAGTGCCTCGTTGAGCTCCTGACCTAATTTGCGGACTTCGTCCGATGCTCGCGACATTTGTTCATTTTGGATTTGCATCTGTCTTTGTAACTGCGTCAGTTGCTCCTCGAGTTTCGCCTTCTCTGTTTTCACTTGATTAAATTCTTCAGTTCTCTTTGCATGAGTTTCCCTCTCTGACGTTAACAGTTTGCTCAGGTTCTCTCTTTCTGTTTGAAGTCGTCGCCAGTCCTCAGGGCTGGTCTTATTCGATCTTTCCAATAATGTATTCGCTCTTTGTCTCCATCTAGTTGCTTCGCCTTTCAAGCTGGTGTTTTCCTCTGTCAAAGCTTCTGTTTTGGCTGTCAAATCTCTAGATATATCTCGAAGAGGTACAACTTCCTCCGATAAAGCGTTTACTTTGGCCGTGAGTTCGTTAACTTTCGCACTAAGATTATCTCTTTCTTCCCTAAGGATTCGGTTAGAATCCGTGATGGCGTTTAAGGTCTCCACTTTGCGCAATAATTCCGCATGCTTGGATGTGGCCATCACATCAATTTCAGACTTTTCTCGTTCAGAATTCAGCACAGCTTCGGTTTCCTTCAATCGCTTCTCCACCACCTCGGTCTGTGATTTCAACCTAAGATTTTCGGCTCTAAGAACATCGGATTTGGCTAAGGCCAGATCTTTCTCTCTTCTCAAATACTTCATAACTCTTAACAATTGTTCAACGGAATTCGAGTCTTCCTCCAACGAACTGAAACTCTTGTTCAGAGCTTCCATACTAGTATCAGGACTGTCCCTCCCGCTTATCTTGGTCTGCTGACTCTGCATAATGGATACTCGGTCACCCAACTCCTGAATCTGATTATGCAAAAGTGCATTCTGCGTATCGAGGTCTTTAATTCTCTTCTGGGTTTCTTCGACCTCATTCACGAGCCTCTGCTCTCTTTGCTTTGAGGCTGATTTCTCAAGTTCCAGAGCTTCCACTGCCGAATTCCGCTCTTGAGTCAGAATATCAAGTCGTTGTTGAACTTGCTGAGCTTCCTCTTTTAATTTTGCCAAAATCTGCAAAAACAAATATGTAACGAAATAGTTAATAATTCTTATATAAACGTATTTCTTTATTGCTTGACTTACCTGCAAATCAGACGAATGCTGCATCATTTCTCTAGTATATTTTTCCTCCGCTTCTTTAGCCGCAATAGAGACAGTTTTCAGATCGCTCTTTAGCAATTCTAACTCACCCTTCAACTCGTCCAGCTCTTCGACCTTTCTTTCAGCCTCAGCTAGTCTATCTCTTAATTCTGAGTCGGTTTCTTGCCTGCCATTTGACATCTTTACCAGATCATCAGCCAGCTCCTTTACTCTTTTCTGCAACGAAATGATCTCTACACGTGACTCTTTCAGAGCATTCTCCAATTCTTCTTTGCATTTGTTATATTCGGCTGTCAATTCTCTCAATTGCGTTTCAGCACTCTCAGCAATATCACAATATTGTTGACTTTGCTGTCTAGCTGCCTTCAATTGTTCGGAGAGCGACTTCGCTTCAACCTGAGAGGCATTCAGCTGCGTCTCCAACTCCTTCACTCTCTTTACAAGACCTTCATCTCCTGTCAAGGGCTTAGCAATGGAATGAGCGGCTACTTGTCTCAATTTATTGCTTAATTGATCAATTTTCTGGCTACTTTGAGCCTCAGTTTCTCTTGCTTGATCCAGCTCCGCCTTTAATCTCTCACTCATTTCACGTTCTTCTTTTAATCTCTCTTGAGCGATCGTCAACTGTCTCTCTAAATGAGCTGCCAATTCCCTGAAGCGATCCTGTTCTTCCTGAAGACGACGTCGAAGAGCAGCGCATTCTCTGTTGGCGTCGTCGAGTCTGTGTTCGGCTCTAAGCTGTCCTTCAGCCGTGACTCGCTCCAAACTGGCCTTAATTGACTCCATATCAGCCTTAAGCAGTGCTTGAGTCTGTCTTTCTCTTTGGTAAACTTCCCGTTCCTTCAGAAGACGTCCCTCAGAATCCCGCAGAAGTTGACGTTCCTGGCGAATGTTTTCCAATTGAACTTCCGCCCGGGATAAACGAGTTTGAGCGGAGAGCGTCTCATCTTTTAGCATCATAATACTCTGCTCATGTTTGCTGATGGTGACGTTATAATTGGTGCATTTCTCCTCAAGCGCTTTGATCTGGGACTTATAAGAAGCGACATTGCCCTGCAAAAGTGTAAATCTCTCGTTCGCCGAGTCCAGTTGTGCTCTCAGTCTGCAACACCTCGCCGAATTTGCTTCTGCCTCTTTTCTAAGTCTTTCAACTTCCTCACCTAACATCTTTTCATGGGCGGTTCGTTCTTTTCGATATATCTCATACTCATCCGAAACATGTTTCAATTTATCCTCAGCCTCTTTCAATTTTCTTAACAATTTCTCTTTTTCTTCAACACTTTTCGTTGTCTTCGATTCCTCTTCTGATTTGACGTTGTCCTCTTCGATATCTTTTTCCACTTCCTCCTTCTTTTTTTCACTTGAATTCTTCATCTGTTGATACATGTTTTTGTACATATCTCTCTGCTTCAAGAGACCGTCCAACATCTTCGACTGCCTATCTTGCGCAGCCTGCATCTCCGTTAACTGTTCCATATAACGGTCCAACTTCTCTTTCATCTCGCCCGAATTTATTTCGTCGGTGGCCCGCTCGATTTCCTCTTGTCTGGATGACAACGCGCGGACAACTGCTAAAAGTTTCTGATTGTTCTCCTGCAGTTCCTCAATATCCTTAAACGTCACCAATTTCTTGCTAATGATCTGCGACGACAAGATGTCATCTGTGTCTGCAGAGGAAGATAGATCTCTAGTTTCCATGCGAGTGCCAGTGCGGCTTTCTTGAACTTCTTTAAGCAAATAACATACCTGTAACAATAAAAAAAAATTAGTAATCATATATCATAACGGATCACCTAAATTTATCATTCTTAAACTCTAGTTTGTTATAATGTGTAAAAAATATAACTCACTTGTCTAGCCAAGTCGGCCAATTCAGTTTTCAGCCTTTGGTTTTCTGTAGTGTGATGCTTGGCAAGACGGTTAGCCTCGTCAGCAGTTTCATGAAGACGCTGATTCTCCGCGAGTAGTTCGTCCAGCCTGTTTGTCAGCGTTGCGATATTCGCCATAGCCATTTCATAATCCTGACGTTGTTGTTGCAATAACGGTGCCTTCTGCTCCAACTCACGAAGGATCACATCCATCTGAGATTTCATGCGTTCATTTTCTTCTCGCTCCGAGGTTAATTCATTGGAGACTTCAACCAATTGAGTATAAATCTGTGTGAGACTTAAGCCTCTGCGTAGCACTCGACTGGTTATAGCTGCTGTAGGTGCTAATTGTTCTACAGCTTGGTTCAATTTCTCTACAAAATTTGTAAATATAATAAATATACATTTAATTATAAGAAAAATAATTCAAAAATATAACAATACGTGCAGTCTAAGAATCAAATGTATGTTATCAGCATAATGCATTAAACGAAACAAAGAATTAAGTTGTCACTCACCTTGCTTGATGTTCTTCAGTAATTCATTAGCATGTTCTAACTCTTTTGTCAATTCTTGAATAATCTGCTCCTTGTCATCAACATCCTGCTTGTGCTGGACCAATAATTGATGGTACTTTGTCTCCAAGCTTCCATATTCTTCCGCAGTGCTATCCACTAACTTCTGTAGCTCGCTTGCTGCATTAGAGATTGCCTCGGCCTTTGCATTGGCATCATCCTTCATCGACTCGTATAAGCTGGCTAGATTTTTCTGCGCATTGATTTCTTTTTGGTAGGAATCGTTTATAGCGATTTCATGGGCTCGCTGCTGCTCCACTTTCTGAACCAGTTCATCGCATTGCTTTTGAAGCGAGGAAACTGATTCTCGCAATTGAGAATTGGCTTCATTGGCTATTCGCAACTCTTCTTCGCGCTGAGATAGTTTTGTATCGATTAAGAGAGCCCTAGAGGAAGCTTCGGATCTCGCTGTCTGAAGTTCAGAGGTCCTCTTGGATAGTTCTTCCTCGAGGTTTGCCATCTGCTGCGAAAGGAGCACTCGTTCTTGCTCCAGTCGTTTCTCCCTACGTACATGTGATTCAAATTAAGAACATATATTAGTAAGATTAATTAAATTTGTCATGTTATAAATCATACAAACGTAACAGAAATTTAATAATTCTAAATAACACGTAAATGATGTACATATATGTATATACGTTTATGCGTGTATTTAAGAAAAACGTGTTTTCTCTCTTCTTAACTCACTTGAAGTCCAAGGTCATTTCTCGACTGCGAATTTCCTCTGTGTCAGCTAGAGTTTGGCACTTGGTCGCAATGGCAGTTTGAAGCTGAGAGCTCAAAGAAGACAATTCGGTACGCATTCTTTCGATTTCGGTATCCCGCCTTTCAACTTGCAGTTGTAATCCATTAGCTTCATCCGTAACTGTGTCTCTCTGTCTACGTAATTCACCATTTTCCTTCTCCAACCTGTAATCCACATTAAATCAAATCCACGTGCAAAATATTAAATATTGATAACACTTCATTAAGAATAAACATTAGTCTCTTGCTATTTTATACAGTACGTATATTATTAGTTATCAAAATATTATAAAAAATTGTTTGTATATATCGATATTAGAACATGTAAGAACATGACATTACCGTTTGACAGATTCCTGTAATCTGTGCACTTCAATTTTCACTTCCTCAAGATTGCTACATACTTCTGTATTGCTCTTTTCCGCTAGCTCCAACTTCCCCCTACACTCGTCAAGATCCAACTTTTGCTCTGCAAGTTCCTTCTGCGCCGTCTCTAAATTTTGCTCTGCAAATCAACATTCGCGATATAAAGTTCTCGGCCTTCCATTTATTTATGCAAACGTCTTTATTTTCAGATAAATTTTGGCCATGACGTATGGCTTTCGATGTTTGAGACTAAAGAAGTTTACATTGAGTCTCGAGTAAATAACGAAAGTATTGTTAGAAGAGACCTAAATTCGAGAAGGGTAAATAAAAAGCGCGCCGGCGTTTCAGAAGTATGTAAATAAAACGTGCGTCCCTCAAATATTCGAAGCTGTTAATAATTCTCAAACGGCGCGTCCAAGCTTACCCAAACATTTTCGGCTGGTCTCGAAAACCGCCTTGGCGGTTATGAACTCCTCGAACTTTGCATTAAAATGCGCATTGATCTTCCTCGTTAATTCTCTCGGGATTTGTGCCAGCTCCTCCTCACTCGCGATCTCGCGAAGAACGTTGGGCTCGCTCTCCTCGACCGCTTCCATGTCGATCGGATACGTTCTTCGACGCGTGGATCAGTCGAGCTTTACAACCGACGTTTTCAGATTCCAAGGTTGAGGTGTTGACGTTCTCTGAACAGGCACCACATTTGCGTCTCAGTTAATAAACGTTATCACGTTTCTGCAACGGACACGCGAACGTTTTACCGCTCCTGACCGCTTCGTCTCGTTTGTCTGCGTTCGTCGTCAGCGTCACGTAGCGCAAATCAGTGCAGAATGTGCACTTGTGCAGACCCTTCTGCCCCTACCGCCTGGAGCAAGAATCAAAGCTAGTCAGAATAGCCATCAGTCTGGTTAAATCCAGGGTGACCAGATTATCCGATTGCGAAGGGTTCTATTAGAACGATCCCGTGATTGGTCCGCTGATTCCGCCTCCGCGGCCATAAGCGGTAGCGAATTCCATACCGTTGATTTCCTTAGTACCCGTCTACAATAGGTGTTTTAAGCATAGAGATATATAAGAATAGAGTGCGCGAGCGAGCTGAAAAAGCGATATAGGAATAGAAAGAGAAAGCTGCGCAGAATAAAAAGAGAAAGCTGCGCATGGGCCCCTTCTGTCTTTGTTTCGCATGCACGCGTAGACAAAGACAGAAAGGGCCTATATGCAGCGTTCTTTTTCTATTCCTATATCGCAGCCTCTTACGTGCTAGCATATGACTCGCGCACTCTATTCTTATATCTCTATGGTTTTAAGCCCTAAACTCTAAAAAATTGACCAATCACAGTCAATTATTCTCTTCAAATTTAATTGTGATTGAACAAATTCTTGGCACTAAAGCGGGGAGCACACACTTCTGCACAACGCATAATGCGTAAGCATAAGAAATTTGATTGGTCTATTTTATTATGCACATGTGTATGGACCAATCAATTTTCTTATGCTTACGCATTAAGGGCCGGTCTCACAGTCTCCGATTAACGTGATTCTCCGATTAAACTCACTCTGCATTTCTTTCTAACTATCCCCCTAGAAAGAGACGAAGAGTGAGTTTAATCGGAGAATCTAGGGAGAATCACGTTAATCGGAGACTGTGAGACCGGCCCTAAGGTGCCAATTCATGGGACGCTGAAAAACAGCGTTGAGCGACGTCACGTGACATCACTATGATGCCAGCGTCAAGAAAGAGAAGTTGGATTTTTCCAACTTCAAGCGTCAAAGCCAAAGCAGCGCGAAGACGCCGAAATTTTGACGCTGTTTTCCTTTTCATGAATTTCAATTGACGCCGGCGTCAATTGTGGTCATGCGACCTTCTTGCCGCTGAAAATGAGCGTCGAGCGTCAGCATGAAAAGGCACCTTTATGCGTTGTGCAGAAGTGTGTGCTTCCCGCCATAGCTTTAATAAATGGTCTAGTTTATATCGCGCACTTGATAGTCTTGATACGCGTATTAAATCATAAATAACTAGTAACGTGTAGCTTGACGTATTGGCTGATCAGCTCAAATATACTTATTTGATACGCGTATCAAGAGATCGCTGTAAACTATAGGCCAATACCTATCGGCCTATAAATATCAGCCATTATAATTGGATGACGTCTTGGATCTTGGTATGTATTCGTATGCATACGTATATATACGTATATACACGTGTGCACGTGTACATACATACATACATGAATAAATGGCATCGCGCTGATCGCGCGACGCGCATGCCCGGGAAGCCTGGGTCGATGGTCGATGTTGCGCGAACGGGACGTATCTCGCGTCTTCTCCTAGTTGGCCGTTTCCGTCCCGTCCGGAGCTGACTCCGCCATAGCTCCAGTTCGCCGGTTCCTGTGGATTGAGTTCGTGGATTCGCTGCCGTGCCGAATCGTTGAGGCACGTTGCTTGCGCCGCGAGTTCCGTTTGGACGCGCGCGACGACAACCATACCGGATCGTACGAAGCCCAAGACCTGAAGACCCTCGACATCCAGACTATTCCAGACTGTTCCAGACCGTTGGCGCGTGACACCCTCCTCAGTGTTCTAGCAACTTCCCAGCCCTTCGCATCGTATCTCCTCCTGCCGACCAACAACGGCCGTGGAATGTATACGAACGGGTACTCGCAAAATCACAAGTACGTCCTTTGACGTCCTTTCGCACGTCGCATTCTAGATTAGCGCGTAGCATTCGATCGGCTTCAATGCAGATCGTTGGCTCTTGCTCACAGTCTTGCTGCTCGCACAGCCGCCATTTTAGTCACAAGCTTACTGTTACTCGCTCCATTTTCTATAAAGGTATCCGACGGATTTAAGACTTCTGTGCCCGACGGATTTTACCTAACAGATATTGACCTTAAATTTATTAAAATACATGATTATCGTAAAAAAGAAAATAACATGATATGGCAAGAATGTGAAAAGTGACCGAGCCAGAGACTTTTTTTTTATCAGACCATTATTTTCATCGCTAATAAAGAACGTATAAATATTATATCTTGATTTTACAGATGGAGCAATGAAAAAAATCGATATGCATTTTATCGTTTGCTCAGATAATAGATAATTCGCAAAATGTCCAATAAATATGGCCCACGTGTTCTCGAGATTTTAAGATCCATATTTAAGATTGTTTCAACGTCGATTTCGATCGTATTATAATGATCGTACGTTATAATAATATTGGTAACTTTCCAGCGAGCGATACAAGTCGACACGGAGTAACAAAGACAAAGCAACACCTGTGTCGACTTGTGTCGCTCGCTGAAGCTCCCATTATATTATCAATATATCACTTTGTTAGCTGGAATCTTAAGATTAGATGATCTTCGAAGACTTGGGACGATCTTGAATATGAGATCGGATAGTGACGGCTACTTTATCGTTAGATTGCATATCCCATTGATATCTTGGTCTTTGTCTTTTATTATCTTTAATGTAATTTGGAGTAATATTTTTTCCTGAATATTATTTGTCCTCCGCGTATTATATTGAAAATAAATTGATACTCGTGTCCAAGACTTTGGTGTTTCAAGCGCTAACTAGGATCCTACGCAGTGTAGGACCCTACCTTGCGAGGGTCTATCCAGATAACTTGCATAGGTGCATAAGCATATGCATAAGGAAATGGATTGATCTATTTCCTCATACACATGTATATAGACAATGAATTTTTTATGCTTATGTTTATGCGCTATGCAAGGTTTGTGGGGATAGACTCTAAATAGGAAAGATGAATTTTAATTATTAGTGTTATATATAGCACAGTTAGTAAGAAACGTGATTTGAGATATATATTTGAGGATTCGATCTCATTTCAGTACAAATTTCTTTTTTTCGTTCGCAATCTATTGTAATATTAATGTTAGTTGAACATTTAGGTGGATATGTTTGATTATAAATATACATATATTTATATATTTTTTTTATGAAATTATATTTTAATTGCGCAAATAATTAAAATATTTTTAAATGAAGAAATTTTTTTTGTGGTTTCTCTTTTTATAAATTATCTGAAAATTTCTGACAAAGGAAATATGTCGGTACATGATGTAAATTGTAAATCGTAAGAGATACACGGTCTGTGTCTCGCTACGCGTACACTTAGCGCGAGACACTACTTATCAAGGGCGTCCACAGGATTTTTTTCAGAGGGGGGATATGATTAAAAATATGTTACTTTCTAGATTTAGAATACTTATAATTTAAAATTTATACACCTTTTAGTATAGTAAGCTTTCTCACCGCGACAAGATGAGAAAGGTTTCTGCGTTTTTTAATTTATTTTAATTTTTTATTACTTTTAAGTACAAGACTACGGACAATAGAATATCTACCTAAGTCGTGGAGACGCGTTTAGTTTCAACAACTTCCCTGGAACACTTTTTTTATTCACACAATTTATTGCAATCTCATTTGTAGAAAGCAAAAGCAGGCGTTGATTAAATAAAGTAAAACTGAGATCTTATTTGATTTTTTAATAGCAGGTGAAATGAATTAAATTTAAACAAGGCAGGCATTAAAAAACTAAAATTTTATTAAAATAAAAAAAAATGTATTTTCCTAGGCAAGGTTAGCACAACTTTGTTCTTTCTTTATTTAAAGGGAAAATAAATGCTTCATTTTTTGCTGATTCCAGGGAGGGAGGGCAAGTGCCCCGTCTTGCCCCCCGCTATGGACGCCTATGCTACTTATATTGTGTTTCTCTTGACAAACGTGTAAAACAAATACGTTCTGTATAGCACACTTTACAAATACATATTCCTTGCACGCGCATTTCGCGTACATGTCCCAGATGGAAAATAAATTAATCCCTTGTGTTATTTCCCTTGTTTGTTATTTCCCTATTTTATTTTCAGAAATAAACCCATTTATAAATTATGAGTTGTCCTGTATACATGTTCGATAATTGGTGTAACGCTTCTCGTGAGCAAGTAGAACGGATTAAACTGGATAGAAAAGCCCTGTGATTTGTGATTGTCGCAATAATTAATAAGAAATTAATTAGTAAAGATCTACGAATGAGCGCGTGCATTCGCAGTTGCTACAGGTGTGCAGCGAGGCATTGGGAGGAAGGGCATGTAACGTTAGGCTATCTTTTCTCGCAGCGTTTTACCTAGCGTTTCACTTAACATATAGAGCCACTTTTTCCAACGTCTGTTAACTCTAATCGATCGTGTTAACAGACGTTGGAAAAAGTGGCTCTTAAACTAATGCCAGACTACGCGCACGTCGTAATGATTTACGTTGTTTGATTTCACAAGAGAACGCGCTTCACTGACGACGTGGCGTGAATGGTAAACAACGAATGCAAGCTCGACAAATATGTCCATTCATCCTATTCGTGAACCTCGCATGAACGACAAATCTCGAACTGTTTCGAGACACGACGCGCGTATGGTCTGGCTTTAGATTTGTCGCTGAATCCCTTCCTTACGGATGAGAGACAAAGGGCCAATTTCACCAACCACGGTTAGCTTAACCGTCGGTTAAGCTAACCGTGGTTGGTGAAATTGGCCCGAGACTTGTACCTCCAGGAAAGAAAAATATTTTTCTTTTCTGGTGCCGCGCCCCTTTTTCTTATTAGGAACTCCCGAGAAAAAGAAGGTGTGACCATGTCTCTTCAGGTAGCTACGTCAGCAGGGGGTCTACTGTGTATCTTGAAACGAGGTGAAACGTACGAAAGGGAGGAAATTCACTAGAGTATCTACAATTTTATTTGTTGAAATCTAGTAAATTTGTTCACCTTTTTAATTTTTATCTCATTTTAAGATTGGTACTAAAAAAAGAACAGCATTGCGAATTATGTAATCTGCATAAAGGCTCTCAAGTTGAGGGTTGCTAATATGGCTAAATAACATCACTTACTATTGCGAATGCTCATAAAGAGGCAGTCAGACGTTTTAGAACAGGTCAAGATCCACTCAGGATTACAGAGTCAACCGTGATTGAATGAACAAATAAAAATATATTTCTATAAAAAATCATTGAACGTATGAGTCAGCCGAAAAAAATCCTTTTACGTGCTGCTTTTCAAATGAAGGTTTTACGTAGTTTCAGACCTAAAGGGACTCGAGATCATGCCAACCGCAATGGAGGAGTTGGTGGAACTTATTGGAACAGTCAGCAACAGACTCAAAAGGATTACGGTGTAAAGAAGCAAAATCATAAGAAAACTCCAGGCGATTTACTGAAGAAGCCTACGTGGGACGTGGGAAAATTGCCCGTAATAGCAAAGAATTTATACGTTCCCCACATCAATATCGTGAACAGATCACCTGACGAGATCAACAAATATCATGCGGGCAAGGAGATCACTGTAGCGGGCAATAATACGCCTTCTCCCATTCAAGCCTTCGAAGAGAGCAACTTTCCAGACTATGTGATGGAAGAGATCAGGAAGCAAGGCTTCGCCGAGCCCACTGCGATTCAAGCTCAGGGCTGGCCGATCGCACTCAGCGGACGAGATTTAGTTGGAATCGCTCAAACTGGTTCCGGGAAAACTTTAGCGGTAAGTACAGCATCTTATTTGAATTACGTAGTTGATAAAAATTGATAAAATACGTCGAGTAAAAACTATTTAGAAACTGATCGCTAATCTGAAAGGGAATCGGGAAAGACTGTGATGTACATACAAAGGCATCTAAATGTTTTAGATTTTTGAAAAATATTTACGTTTTCATAACAAATTATAGAAAATATATAGATATTATTGAAAGATTTGAAAAATTTAAATGCCTCTTTGTTCGCATTACTATTTTCTATATTTATTTTAGTATATCCTTCCGGCAACGGTGCACATCAACCATCAGCCTCGCCTCAGCCGTGGCGACGGACCAATTGTTCTGATTCTCGCTCCCACGCGCGAATTGGCTCAACAAATCCAAACGGTCGCACGTGATTTTGGCTCGTCCTCGTGCATCCGCAACACTTGCATCTTTGGAGGCTCGCCGAAGGGACCTCAAGCTCGCGATCTTGAACGCGGAGTGGAAATCTGTATCGCGACACCCGGTAGACTGATTGATTTCCTCGAGAAAGGTACCACAAATCTGCGTAGGTGCACATATCTGGTTTTGGACGAGGCTGATCGAATGCTGGATATGGGTTTCGAGCCACAGATACGCAAAATCATCGAGCAGATTCGACCTGATCGGCAGGTACTCATGTGGTCCGCCACTTGGCCCAAAGAAGTGCAGGCCCTCGCCGAAGACTTTCTCACTGATTATATCCAGATCAATATCGGGTCTCTAACTTTGGCAGCCAACCACAACATTCGGCAAATTATTGAGATCTGTCAGGAACACGAGAAGGAAACGAAATTGTCGCAATTGCTGCGCGAAATTGCATCCGAACGTTGCAACAAGATGATCATTTTCGTGGAGACAAAGAAGAAAGTGGATGATATCACGAAGGCAATTAAACGCGAAGGCTGGTCCGCGATCTCGATTCACGGTGACAAATCGCAGCCGGAGCGCGATTATGTTCTATCAGAATTTCGCAATGGGAAGACTATGATCTTGGTCGCGACAGATGTGGCTGCGCGTGGCTTGGATGTCGAGGACGTCAAGTACGTCATCAATTTTGATTATCCCAACAGCTCCGAGGACTACATCCACAGGATCGGCAGAACCGGTCGCTGCCAGAGCGCAGGTACTGCGTATGCTTACTTCACACCGAACAACGCGAGACAGGCGAAAGAGCTGATCGCAGTGCTGGAGGAGGCCGGTCAAGCTATAAACCCACAATTGGCGGACATGGCAAATTCTATGAGGAACCAATACGGCAAGGGACGGCAACGGTGGAGCCACGTACGAGGAAATAAAGATACCACGTCTCATGGAAGTCCTAGAAACAACATCAGCCCGACGATAAGCAACTGGCAGCATATGTTGCAGACGAACCAACAGCATGGGCATCACAATCAGATGATTCAGGAGAAAAGCGTGGCACGTCATCCTCGCAACAATGGCTATCAAACCAATCGGCAGAACAATTACCAACCACAGCATTCCTATCAGCAACAGCACCAGCAACGACAATCCATTACTGGCTACCAACCGAACAACTACCAACAAGCGGCTAACAACACATGTCAACAACCCGTGCATCAGGCTACCAGCGCACCCAGGTACCAAGGCAGAACTGGATACCAGGGTAATCGTTTCCAAAGTCGGCAAAACGGCTTCAGCGGCAATCAGAACGGGCCCAATGTCTACTCGATGCCGCCGCCCTTCATGATGCCGTCCGGTGGACACGCGGACTCCGGGATCCAGAATCTCGTCAACAACAAGTTCTTCCAGACCAACCGACCGCCGCCCAACGCTGGTGCCTGTGCCTACCAATCGATGGGCTACGGCCAGTTTCAAGCAGTGCCGCCGTACGGTTACCCGTATCCGCCCACACCGGTGCAGCAGTGACGCCTCCCACGATGTAAGACCATCGGGGTACGGGCTAAATGAAAAGTAAGTATGTCCCGCCTATCGGGCTTTATTTGGATCGCTCTTGCATTGGTTAGTGGATCCAATTTATTGTATTATGATAGACTGCCGATAACGGTTAACTGACTCATAAAGATTGCAAAGTTTTACTTTATAATTTTTCTATTAGTTACTCGCACACTTCAATTACGTGCAATCTCAAGATTTTGCTTTGGGAATTTTAACGCCTTCTAAAAAGAAATTAACTTTGCTCAAAAAGAACGTGCAGGGTTTTTTTGCGACCATTTTTCGAAAAAGATCTGATTATAGAAATATGCTTTTTTTATGAAAGTAGTCTTGATTTTCAATTTTTCGTCAACACCAACACTTTAACGTATCGGCAGTCTATCTATACTATTCTTAACGTAATACTTGTTCTCATTTTCTTTTTCATTTATTTTTTTCTGGAATTGTGCCCGATCGACATACAAAATAGTATTTATTTCGAGATGTTAATCACGACGGAGTTATTATCCAACAAGTCATGTTTTCGATAGAAAAATTAGATTTGTTGTTTAAAGCAAATTATTTAATACTTAACAATTTGAGTTCGATTAACGCAATATTAGGACGCATAATAACTCGTGTAACTGCCAAAAATTAAAGGCCAAAGGCCAAAACACTCAGAAAACTCAAGAGTATCTCGGTCACACTTTGTCATTTATAAATTTAAATTATTAATTATTAAAAGTACAAATATGCAAAAAAAATGAAAACTATTAAATTTGAAAAGTTATTAACTTATAAATATATATTATATTAAATTTTTTATTTATAAATTATAGATATTAAATTATTTTATTAAATTATCTTATTAAATTATTATTATATTAAAAGTAAAGGAATATTTTTTTAGTGCGGGATGTATAAATATTAATGTATGTTTTTTGGTCGCACTCTCTTTATACATCTTGTTGTCTCTTCACTCGTTTTTTTTTTTTTTGCTTAGTTGAGAAGTCTGACGAGTTAAATGGACTCAAATTGTTAAATCAGCAGAAATAACGGAAGCGGTAATTAATCGAGGCACATTCCAGTTTTCAAATTCTTGATGTAGCATTTAGCACCGTTAGCAATGAGCATTCATGATATAATATCGATCCTAGATGTTAATCATCGTGTTGATGGTTCACGAATCCCTCTACTGATATAATTGAGAATAAATAATAATCCTCTTATGCGAGTATTATTGTAGCTATATTATATAAATGCTTTTTTCCGAAATGCACGAAACATATAGAAGGGGGTGGATTAAGACTATATATCAAATGTACTAATTTATAATTTATTTATATATATAATTCGCGTGATTACACATACGCAGAAGAAAAACCCAGGGGATAAAACGCGCGATATGCTCTATAGGAAGGAAATTTGTAAGGCCTTTTGCATAAAAATTAAGCCGTTTTTTATGTGCCCCGGCATAACGAACAAATTGTCGTGCCCTTTGTTTCGGGAACGGGAAATTAAAAAAAAAGAGAGAAAAAGCAAAGAAACAAGAGGGAGAGAGAGAGCGAGAGAGCAAGACAAACTAGAACAGCAGGAACATCTATTTGACTATAAAGCAGCTTCGCTGACGGGAACTAAACCTATCTTAGGCACTCTGTTTCTCTGTCTTTTCTCTCTCTCCCTCTCTTTCTTTTTCACTCTCTCCCCGATACAACTAATTGTAGCGTTAAAAATAAGTATCTCGTGCTCCGATAATCTTATAAAAATTCAAACGAGCTTTGAGGTCTCTGGATTCTTGAAATTCTGAAGTCAGCGGATAATCTGAGACTTGTACTTACAGGACCTCTGAGTCTATCCAGAACTTGGATACTTGGATGCTTTGAGTCTTAAATGTCATTATGTTACATTGAACTTTTTCAACACAATGTATTTAAACTCTAGCTCCTGAAAATTCTCAGAATGTCGGTTTCTCTGGAATCCCTCACTCTAGAAGATTCCTATGCCTAATTAAAGTTCTGATTCAAGGCTTGGATGTTCTAATTCTCATGTATTTTAGAGATCCGTACTTTTTCTTCGAGATTCTCGAATATATCCTTCGTTCTCGCACATTTAAGTTCGTGGATCCTAAATCTTTGGGCATCCTCTGTGAATATTAAATGTTTAACTTCTTGGACTCCCCGACTTTCTAGAAGTCTAGAATCCAGATATCCTTGGCGGGTTTTGAACGCTGGATCTTTGAAGACATGCAGATGGCTTTTAAGAGGACAACGTAAATTAAGCACGTAGTCATGATGGCTGTGTACCTTGATGCAAAGTTTGATACCTTATTTTTATATATATATCGAAAGTGATTTGTTGTTGAACCAACGAATGATTATATGATACATTGTTGTTTGATGTTTATGCAATTGGCCACTGAGTGGTCTTGTCTCTGCGCACCGTGCGCGCAGGCTGGCCGCCATCGATACTAATCTGATTTTTCAGTTGTACCTGCTATTTTAGTTAACAAGCAACCAAATTAGAGTATTAAATGCGCCGTCGTCACCTATCACTCCGGTGAACAATAATAATTATGCTACTTTTCGCTGATGCTTCAACTCTTCAACCAGTGACTGCTTCTGATTTCGTGGATTAGGCGAACTTGGTGAACTTTGAATCTTGAGCTTATTTTTATTCTTTCAACATTACTTTCTAGAACTCAGGATAGACATTCTCTCTTGGGACAGACATTCTAGGATATTCTTGATTTGAAAAAATCTTCAACGTGGAAAGAATAAAATCCTTGAGAACTCGAATTCATGAATTTTAAATGTTTGGCCCTTAGACAGGGCTGAATTTTCGAATTTAATTGACCTGAAAAACCTATATATATTTCGTGGAGTTAGAAGATACTGGTTGAAAGTTGAACCATCTTACGCATAATGAATTAAGGATATAACATATTGTTGTATTCTGAAGCAACCCTTTGTGGTGCCGGAGGACGTTTTTTGATCAACATGCCCGAATTAATTATTAAACTAACGATTGGCGCACGCTGTTGGGGCATGTGATACATTTTATTAGCAGCGTGTAGCAATTTTGCGAGCCTCCAGATTACTCTGCACATACCACCGTATATCATGTAATTATTGAGAAGGAAATAGAAAGAGACAGTGATTTTAAAAAACGGAAGAAAAAGAGAGGAAGATAATTCTCTGGTCTCAATCAGGAAAAATAGACGGCTCGTAAAAGATTTCTTTAATTTCTTAAAAAAGCTCATTGATTTCGTTTCTTACACAACATGTAGCTGATCATACCTTTTTATAATTATTCCGCTTAATTATCTTTGTCATGAAATTTGTGTTTCCTTAAGTTTTTCATTATTTTTTTGTCGAATATTTCTAATAATCTTAAAATATACGATTAGTTAAGGATTTAGCTCTTCTTTTTATTTAAACTTCCTGAACAGGCCAGAGAATCGATATCGGATAAATAAATGTAGAAACGCTCTCGCGCAGGAACGCTATTAATTAATGATTGTTAACTGTTGCCGCGTGGCGATTATTCACTCGCGACTCGCTTTTATAAAATAATTAACAACTCGTCACGCACACACAGTGCACGAAATGCTGGGACGCAAAGGTGTGTCCTGTTTGCAGAAAAGAAAATCCCATTCGACTCGTTTAGATCCACGTACGTCTAGGTACGTACTCGAACCTGAGCCGTGGATTGATTTGGGACATCGTTAATTGTCGTAGAATCTCCAGTGTTTTTTACGAAAGAAACATAAACGATAGTCAATAATGTTCAACGAAGTGGGATATTCGTGGTTCCTGGATCGGGATGCTCGTGTTCTCGGATCCTTGCATCTTTGAAGGTTCATATTCCTGATTGCTGATACCTCAGTTTTGTTTTTCATACATTTCGTGGGTGAATTTTAAGAACGAAATAAATACAGAATTGTTCAAGTCCTGGATTTTTTGCCGCTCTAAATCTTCCCAACTTTAGATTCTTCAATTCCTCGAATATTAGGAACTGAGAGAAGTATTGGTATTTTAATACCCTAAAGATATTCGCGAGTACGAAAAGTTTCGAAACTTTGGTAGCTATAGATAGGACTTTCGGAGCTCTATAGCACTCTCGAGTTTTGAAACACAAAAGTTTCACAAACTTCCACAGCTGTGAACAATCTTGGAATATAATGACTTCGGACAATCGAAACTTTGCGAGTCTGACATCTTTTTGGAATTATATAGGAAACGGAGATTTTAAGCTCTGGGCAACGCGCTTGAAAATTACTTTAGAATCTCTTGTCCTTCCGGATTCTTAAAATCTTACTTCAAGTTGCAGAACACGGGTACTTAGATAACCGTGGCAGATATTTAATATTTTAATTGCTTGTTTTTCTTGTCTTCTCCTCAAAGATGTGCACCTCAAAAGGACGTGTTACGTGGTTTTATCTCCGAAAGATTGGATTTTTCTTTGATTGCTGAATCTTCGAATTGGAGGATCCTTGGATTCTAGGGTTTTTGATCGACGAATATTAAGCTCGACGCGCCTACTTTGTCAATCTGACTGCGTACGTCGATGAATAGTGATATAATAATAGGAAACGTGTTGCGAGCATGAAAAAAATACTGAATACTCTCGCGCATTGCGTATGCCCGCTATCAAGTCGCGACGATTTCCGATCGAGGCGATCGAAAAAGAAAATAATATGGAGCAATTCGCTATAAAATTAACCGACTAATATTAGTTAATTAGCTAATTTTAAGTTTCCCCGATGAAAAAAAGACCATCATCAATATTAATAATGATTATCAATGCTATCTGCATTTTATTTTGTTCTAAAAAGTGGATTATTTTACAAACTATTGCATAATAATTATAAAATAATTATATAATATATGTATATATTATTTTATAATTATTTCATTGAATATTAAAAAAAAAATTTTCTTATTTCTTCTTTTCTTTTTTCTCTACTTCCCCTTAAATAAACAGCAATTTTTAAATGAAATAACAATGTAGATAGCGGGTGTACGCGTAGCTCTGTGATATGTAAGGCATAGCATATTTCTAGCTCTACCTATCGTGCATCATGATTAAAGTAAGGGATGTATCTCATCAGTTTTATATGCGGTATCCGTCATCAGATCTTAATGATGCTTTAAGCAGGGTCGTCGATATCTATTTAGCTAACAAGAAAGGAAAGGGAAATGACACCGAACGCAACTTTTCTCTCACTTTCCTAGAATAAACAATATAACGATGGGCTATAGTTGATATATCCAATTAGACTGTGTAAAAAGTTTTTCCCGATAAAAAGACAACAAGACGATAACGTTGTCGTAAGATTAATAATATTGTCATTTTCGTTTCATAACACGCATCATTTTGTTCGCAATATAAATACAAATCGACATCTACCAAGTGGTACATCGCTGTCCCGAAATTTTTTGGTTTTCTGAGCAAAGAAATGGTCAAATCGAGATTTTCTCCGAATCTTCAAAATCCAAAAATACTTTTTATCCAATCTAACAATTAATTACTAATTACTAATTAACTATTACTGAGTTATAGCGTGTTCTCATATATTTTTTATTAATCGCGATTATATCGCCGAGAAAAATCTTAAAGTAGGTTTATTAAATTCCATAATTAAAAATTTTAATTTATTTGGATTGTAAGAGTTAATTTATGTACTTTTTTGAGGTATAATAGTGAAATATCAAATAAAAAGTGGCTTTTATTATTAAAAGGATGGGGCCAAGAAGTTCTTCAAGACAGTTATTTCTTTGTCAT